TTTAGCACTAGATGTGAGCGCTCAGCAGGCATAGATTCCAGGGTTGGATCCATTTCATGGACAGTTGTCAAAGACTGACCTCTCCTTATGTTAATTTTGCGAGTACTGTACTTGATTGTGCAGTATGCTAAACGGTGCAGGATTAAATGTTCTCATTTCTGAGCTGTGAAGTGTTGAAACTGATCAGGAAATGAAGACAGAATGTCCATCCTCTGGGAGAAGAATCAGCCAGTCTATGTGGCCGCCACTCTTGGCTGCTGATTGGAATGTAGCTGTTAAGGCAGCTGTTTAACCGTTTCCCCAACTTGAAAGGATACTGCCAAGTGGCAAATACTTTTCATAATAACATTTTACTTTTGCTAAGAACAACAATGCATTTTATTGAGCTCCAGCAGTGTGCCAGACATGACAGATTTATGACTCAGCAGGTTCACAACCTAGACTGAGCATGAATGCTCATTTCCATTTTTGATATTTATAAAAAGAATAAATAGGCCCCAAAGGAAGCCTCTACACAGAACATCTCTACAGCTTAATTATTTGTTGGAGTGATAGCAGATTAACTTGTGAAAATGAAATATCTCTGAAAGGAAAAATGAAAACCTAGAAATGTCAAAGGAAAAAGGGAAAGGGTTAAATATTTTAAGCCTCTCTAATGTGACCCAAGGGTTATTTCACTCCACCTGTCCAGGACAGATGAGGACAACAGTAGCACAGGAAACACATCATCTTCTGCATCCCCTGCATTTCATGGGTCTCATTCTGGGTCATGCAGTTAATCTATGCTGTTAATTAGAATACTGACACAAAGTACTTAGTAAACAACTGTGTTGCATTTGACAGGCTGTGAACTGGGTGGGGTAGGGCTGGGGGATTATCAACTATTTTATTTAATGGTAAAAGCAGTGTGCCAAATATGAACATTCAAAATTAAGAAAACACATTTAAATGCTTAAGTATGATTTTCTTCCAAACTCCAAAGTGCATAGATCATGATCATGTTAGGTTGCTTTCCATACTCAATATATTCTTCCTAGTCAGAAGTTCATGCTTTCAAAAAGGCTTATGGAAAAGGGCTCTAGGCATTAGAGGGATCCTGTACACACCTATTGTTTGTTCCACTTGAAATGATACTAGAAGAAAGCCTTAACCAACATTAATAGCATTTAGTGTGCAATTCCCACAAACCTTTATGAAGACTACAGGTGTTGAACCAGAGGGATGCCTTCTCATTTTAATAAACCACCATCATCAAAGCTGGAGTGGAGATGTTTCTGAAGGTGAACTGGGCTGAACAAAGGAATGGTCAATGGAGGTTCTAATTTCTTTTTTCCCTACTGTTAACTAAATCATAGATGACAACAGTCTAGTCAGCCTGTTTCCTCAAATTGCAAAAGCACACATTTTCACAAAGTTGACATGATTTCTTGAAGAAAGATAGATAAGCTTTGTACTCTTGTTTTTCAGGGATAGAGTAAAGTGGTAAATGCAAACCATGGATGAAATTTATAAGATCGCTTCCACAGAAAGGATTCAGCAGTTAGAAAAAGAACTGTCTGTGCAACTGACTGAACTGAAGTCTGCAATAGAAGAACAGGGGACTCATGGAGCTTACAGGTGAATAGTAGTAGTGAGAAGGCATGGTCTTCAGGGGCTTTAGCCCCCACTTTTGCCCCATAATCTCCATCAGCTCCCTCTTCTTTTTATATAGACAACTAGCATTATCTCAAGCTCAGATTTTATGGCTGTCTGTAAGTGTTCCCTATATTTCTAGAATTGCCAAGGCATTTAGAGGCAATGTCCTACCAAAGAAAATAGAAAAGTGCTTTTTACATTTCACAAATACCATTGTCTTAAAGTTCCAGAAGCTATTATACAAATCATACTCACTGAAAAGCAAGGTCTCATTTTACCCAAAAATATTTTCATTGAATTTGACCTTGATTTTGATGAGAAATATAAAACTGAAATAATGCTAGGTATTTGGTAATGAGTTCTGCAAAATGGTATTTTATTAAGGAGCTCTTCTATAGGTAAATGTTGGCAATAATATCAATCTCTTCTAGAGAAATAGGGTAACCAGATCAGCCCCTAAGTTGTAAGTCTCATGGGCTCAGGACCTTCAAATCCCTCTATTTCTATTACTGCCACAATTGATCAAGAGGAACAATATGAGATCTCTGATAGGTTGAGTAGCCAAGTAAATACAATGTGGATGGTGAGGGTGGGAAAGGGAAGATCAGTTGAAAAAGCAGTAAGTAGGTGCATTACTACCTCACTCCAAAGATGATTCTGAAGAACCAGTATTAGTGTGTTTTATAATTTGGTATTTAAAGCCATTGGGTGTAGGAAGCAGATCAAAGATTGTATGATGAAGTGAAAAGGTAATGGAACCATGCAAGCCATAAATTCTCCCAACTTTGGTTTCTTTCTGTGAAAAATGAGGTTATAGATATGTACCTTGCCTATCTTATAAGGATCAAGTAAGATAATGCACGTTAAAGCACTTTGAAAACTAGAAGACACCATACAAAGATCAAGTTACAATTGATATTGTTACATCTTAAATGTCTGAGTGTCAAACAAGTGACTCCTCTTTGTACATTGTCCTGAAGTCTCTTTTATCTTTCAGAATAGAGTGATGGGAAATCTCTGGACCCTTGTATTTTTCTACTCCCCCAAACCACTAAACACTGCACCTGGAAGAATCTACCTATTAATCTGACAAATACTGAGCAACTTCTGTTTGCCAGGTGTTGTACTAGGTTCTGGAGTCCAAGGAAAATGTAAAATGTCCACTTCTAATAATCACTTCAGTATTCTCATTCCCCACCAGATTGAAAAAATTTATTGAGAACTGTAGGATAATGATGCCTTGGTCATTTTTCTTTTTACATTCTTTCATCAATTTATCCCCATGAGCTCAAGTCTTTATGGTGGTTAAGTATCTCATAAATGCTTGCTGAATGAATAGATGAATGAATGTATGTTGAATAAACAATACTTGATGAACAAATAGGTGAATCTCTTTTTTGTGGGTTGACATACTCACCACCAATCTCATTCATAGACACGCCAAGACTAACTGAGATGAAAAACATGATTTGAGTAAGGGAAGCTTCAGCAGCTAAGCCCAGGACACTGCCCAGTCTTCCAGCATGCCAAAGAAATTCGAAGACAAGAGGGCAGGAGAGGGATGAGCTTCCTCTGTTTCCCTGACTGCCTGTTCCCTTTCTAGTTGGTTACTTGACCTCCATGAGGCTGCAGCCAGGATTCAGGTACCCAGGAATCACAGAAATTATAGCTTTGATTTAGTAATGCTTTTTTTTTTTTTTAAGATTTTATTTATTTATTTGAGAGAGAGAACGAGAGAGAGCAAGCACATGAGAGGGGGGAGGGTCAGAGGGAGAAGCAGACTCCCTGCCGAGCAGGGAGCCCGATGCGGGACGATTTAGTAATGCTTTTACTCTTAAGGCCCTTTCAGAGCTTGCCTCATTTTTTTTTTTTTTTAATCAAAGCCAAGGTGTGAGGAGATAAGGGAGGCATTATCTCCAACTTCAGTTGGGAATTCAAGACAAATAGCTCAATGAGTTGCTTCGAGTCATGTGGCTGAGGGACCTCCTGACTGGTCTTTTCACAGGACCACTGTCCCCAGTGAGGGAAGAGCTGACAAGTGTACAAACAGTCTATTTTCATCTTTCCTTAAAACTTACCCATGGGGACTAATAGGGTCATATGAACAATATTAACCTAAATTCCACTGCCTACCATCCCTCTCAAGTCTCTAGGTGGTTTCTTACATGTGTTTCACAGCTACCTGCTGTGGTTTCCTTGCCAGTGTTTGCAAGGTTTCACTTAAGGAAGTGATGTCTACATCAGGGGTGCTGTCCCCTGATGTTCCCAGAGCTGCCAAGCCTTGGCGTGTGTCTTACCCCAAATGGGGAGAGCTCCCTTCTTCCTGCCACAGGATCCCACGCCATTCCTGGGCTCCACAGCAGTGCTGCTTGTGCCTTCTCACGTCAGAGCCCATCATGCAAACAACTCCTTTGTGACTAGGCTCGGATGATAGAATTCGGTTAAAAAAAATTCCCAAAGTATTTCATGTTTGATAAACCAGCAAGAACACAGAAATAAAAACAGTCTGTTTAAATTATAAGAGTCTAAGTAGGGTGAGAGATGTCTGATGAGCACTTGTTAGAGCTGAGGTTATTGGAGGAAATACAGGTGGGGGAAAGACAAATCTCCACCACTTTGCCTCTTCCTGTATTCTGGGATTGTAAATCACGGGTAGTAGGAAAGATCCCGTTTGGGGTGAAGAAAATTCGCCCAGGGAAAAGGTTAGCAAACGAGGTATACACAAGAGAGATTCAGACTAAGACAGAAGCATGTGGTCTTTACATGCTCTCAATAATCCACCCTAATATGACAGTTATTTAGAAATTAGCAGTTGTGAAGAGTTACAGATTAATCAGGGTCTGTCTGTAATTTTGTTTATGACAGTTTCTATAATTACAGCATCTATTGCATAAATCTTTCTACAGCTCTGTTCGAATACCAAAGGACATTTCTTACTTTAGAAGAGAAAGGGAACTGGCTCTAAAGAAAACTTTACAGGTGAGTAGGAGTGTGTAATTGTAATACACAACTGTATTGTAATACAACATATGTTGGATTTTGCTAACTTTTTGGAAACATTTAGCAGGAAAATTTTATTTTTGCAAACAACCAGCTGATGTTATTGACAGTGTTATGAGAACAAAACAGCCCAATACTCACTACTAGATCAGAGCAGGCCACTACTTCTTTGGAGATACTTACTTTTTGTGATGTTTTAAAATTTTACAGTTTCTTGATTTGTGATATTAAAATTTGTTATATTGTAACTGAGGTATAACAGTATAATGTGTTGTATGTCATTTGCTGTCATAAACAATGATAATTTTACTTCCTTACTTCTTTTTGTTTGCCTGCTCTGTTGCCCTGGGTTCAGGTGGCTGAGTCAAAGTCCCTTGTTGTTCAAGCAGATGTCATGCAGAGGGAGCTAGAGAGCTGCCTAAGAAGAGAGTACACTCCTGAAAATTTACTTTTGCTTCTGTTGCAGGTAAGTCATGTTGCAACCTGAAAAACAGATCTGGAAATTAATAGAAATGTATGAACAAAGTTGGCTTTCTGGTATATCCTTTGGCTAGGGTAGGATTTTCTCTACCTGTGTAGTTTGCAGAACTTGATTATTGTAAATTCTGTTCTTTGTCAGAGACCCATATCATAGTTCAGTTCGGTTTAGTTATAGTTACTAAACAATTGATTTTTCGGGCTCCCTGCTCGGCAGGGAGTCTGCTTCTCCCTCTGACCCTCCCCCCTCTCATGTGCTCTCTCTCATTCTTTCTCTCTCAAATAAATAAATAAAATCTTAAACAATTGATGTTCTATCAATTACTCCCTGTGCTGGTATTATGAGGAAATACAATACTAAGAAAGTCTCAGTCCTCAAAAAGCTGTTGGCTTAGCTAGGGAAGATATTTATGGAAATACCTTTTTATAAAATAACTCAAAATGTGGTAGAAATGTTTTCTATAAGGATTATTATTGCAGCATTATAATAAAAGTGAAAAAATCAAAAGTGCTTACATATCTAACGCTAGGGGAAAGAGTTAGGAAAAACAGTATGAGACTTGATAGAATATTGTTCTGCCAATAAACATTTTTTAGCATAAGGAATTATTGTTTTTATGTAATGTTAGTGAACAAAAACTAACATGTCTGTGTGTGTCATAATAATGGTCACATAATATATAGAAAAACCACTTGATGGACATTGATCAAAATGTTAGCAATCACTGTCTTTGGATGGCAGAACAACGAATTTCCTTTTTTTACTTCTATATATTTTCTAAATTTCTTATAATAGGCATGTATTGTTTTGATTTTCAAAATTCTTTGTTCTTTTGTTAGAAGTTATATCCTCATTATGCATACAAATTAGTTCATTAGCAACTAGTTAGCAATGAATGAATAAATGAATCACAAAGAAATAAAAGACATTGAGATTATATTTGCAAGTTAAAGTTTTGTCATTATCTTCATCCAAGATTCTCTTTCCCTATCATTCTAGCACTCTTCATTCTTTTGTGTATATCAGTGATTCTCAGGGGAGAGAAGGGGAGACTGGAGATGGTGGACATTTGGTGAAGTCTGGAGACATTTTGGGTTGTCACAATTTGGGAGTGGATTGCTACTGGCATATAGTGGGAAGAGGCCAGGGATGCTGCTAAACATCCAACTATGCACAGGACAGCCCCCGCCACAAAGAATTGTCCAGTCCCAGATGTCAATAGTGCTGAGTTTGAGATCTCTGTGCAGATTTCTGTAGCCCTTTCTCTGTATACTATCCCCCTTTCCAGTCCTGTGCCCTGCAAACTCCAGCTGACTCAGCCTCCTAAGCATCAATTTCTTTCTCCTTAACCCAGAGAGACCATTGTGCTCTGCTTGGGATTCCCTTTCTTACTCCCTGGTTCAGAAACTGCCTATTTCAGGCAGAAAACCAAGGTGATTGTAGGGCTCATTTCATTTGTTTCCTTTCTCTCAAGGACCACAGTCCTGCACTGTGTGTTGTCTTGGTCAGAAAATAGTTGTCTTGTTTATTTTGTCCTGTTTTCTAGTGGTGTATGATGGAAGGATGAGTCTGATCCTACTTATTCCATCATAGCCATTATTATATTTATTATTGGAAATAAAACATCTAAATGGTTGGTTTATTTAACTATTTTTAAATCTAAATGAAATTTCTGGTCTAAGATTAAAAGTTATAATCTTACCTGTAATGTGCTTTGTATTTTTTAGTCTCATAACTTCAGTTTTTAAGAAATTTTGAGCTTAGCCTTAGACAATTGTATAGGCTTTTATATCACTGTTAATTGTTCATTAATTGATAAACGAAACTATAATCTGTTAGATTGGCAACAGATCATATAGATTTAGAAATACATACTTGCTTTATTTAAAATTTAATGGTATCTTGAGCCAGGTTTCTTAATTTTATGATCTTCATGTAGAAAAATCTATCTTTCTGAAACAACCAGAGACTGATTTTCCTATTGTTAGTGTTCTTACATCTTAATTCAGTCTTTCTACTATAATTGTATTCTAAGTGTTAATTTTTATTGTTGTTTCTGTTAAAGTATTATACAGAGAGAATTACCCAGCTGGCCCAGAGTAAATATTCACACATGCTTAGATGGAAGAGGTTTTGCCAGCACAGTAAGATTATGGAGCAACTTTATCCTCTTTACAAGGTAGGAAGCCTAGGAACAGAACCTTTGGGCTCTTTTTTTATTAAGAAACAAAATGGTCAATAAGCCTATCAATACATATTATTAAGTATAGTCATCATACCTGTATATTAGATCTCTAGACTTATTCATCCTACATAACTACAAATTTGTATCCTTTTGACCAATATTTCCCCACTCTCTAGCCCCTGGTAACCACTGTTTTACTCTCTGCATCTATGAGTTTAACATTTTTTTAATTTGTCATGTAATCATACAGTATTTATCTTTCTCTGTCTCGCATAATGTCCTCCAGGTCCATTCTTAATGTCACAAGTGTTAGGATTTCCTTCTTTCCTTTTTTCTTTATTCCTCATAACTGAATAATATTCATATTCATATATTCAATTATAAATATATATGTATATATATATGCCACATGTTCTTAATCCATTCATCCATAAACAGACTCTTAGGTTGTTTCCATATTTTGGCTAGTGGGGATAATGTTGCAGTGGACACAGGAATACAGATACCTCTTTGATATACTGATTTGTTTTCTTCAGATATGTACCAGGAAGTGGGATTGCTAGATTATATGGTATTCCTATTTTTAATTTTTTGAGGAATCTCCATACTGTTTTCCATAATGGCTGTACCAGTTTACATTATTACCAACAATGTATCTTGTCCGTTTTTTTAAGTCATGGCTAAAGATGGGAAAGAAACTAATGGAAGCACCTATTTGCCTCTTTTGCCTGTGGCAGAAGATAATGGCACCTATTTTTAAGGATGAGATTTGAAGGAACCTTTGTATGATAGAAAATGCATTTTTCTTCGTGGATTTGGCTTCCTCTGCTATAGATAAAAAGCTAAGAAGCCACCTTCAGTTACCAAACATCTGTATGCACTGACTCTTTTCTGAAGTCTCTTTCTCCTAAGAATGTAACTGCTGCTATTGTCAGTCAAATTCAGAATGTGAAAGTACTTTGATATTCCAAGAGCCTCTTATTTGGCCCCCAAACAGCATTACCCTATGCTTGGAAGCAAATGACACAAGAGAATAAGGCTTGCAAATAACCATGTTCTGTCTCTGCATTACTCTTAGAAACAAGTTGCCTACATTATGCAGGAGTATAATGATGCCGTTCAGAGAGCTGAAAGATTGTCTGTTGCACGGGAAAACTTCCTAATGGGAAAAAACAATCCTTCTAACTTAGTGACACAGGAAGACCTGACTATTTACACAAAGTGGTTTGTGTGTCACCTACACTCACTCAGGACTATTCACCACTACTTACAGGTATGTGAAACATAATTATGTGATGGTGTGGTACCCTCCCATGATGGTCAGCATTGTTTTTTCATACCTGCACCTACTTTTGGATTGTCACTGTTTCTGTATTCTACTTACCCTACAAATGACAGGAAAATAATGAGACACTAGCTTTTTTCTTTGAAACCTTTTAAAACTTTTTCTTTTGAAATCTTGCTCTAATGAAACCACTCCATTAATCTAGTTTTCTCAAAGATGTCTCTGTTGTATTATTTCATACTCACTCTGCAAGTTCTTGTTTTCATCATCTTGTTGAGAATTTATGAAGTCCAATTTAGATCCACTTTTTTATTCAGCAATATCTAATGAGGGTCTAATATATGCCAGGTAAATGTCCAGGGCCATGAAGCAAAAATACGGTCTTTGCTGAAAAGTAACTGGGTCCCAGGTTGGTAGGAAAATGGGCAAGCAAATAGTTAATGGAAATACAATGTGGTAAGAAAGAATAGAATAAGTATAAGCACAGAGTAAAGAGAGTCACAGAAGAGAAGCCCTAACCCAGGCCAAAGGCATCAGAAATGAGTGATGTGATCCTATTTTCATTTTAGAAAGATTATTATTTTGCCACCTAAACCTTTTCCTACTCCTCTATGGCTTATCTCAGTGATACCACCATCCACGAAGTTACCCAAACCAGAAACCTGGCCACCATCCTAACTTCACCCCTTCCCCAGTCAGTCACTATGGTGTCTACCTCTGAATCCTCTCTCCCCGGTCATGTGGTATAATAACACTCTGTTCATAAGTCTCCGTTCCCCACTAAACTGTAAACTCTTTGAGGTTGGTCCATGGCTTAATTCTTCTTGGTATCCCTAGCACCTCACACAGTGTCTTGTCCATTAGGAATGCTTGATCAGTGTAGACCCACTTGGAGGTTAAGGTTGCTTAACATTGGTGACTGCAACAGGTCTCTCAGATCTAGATTTAGCACCCCATGTTTGAGCAGTTTACTATCAGGCCCAACTATCAGGTTCCTTTATCAAAGCAAAGGGCTGCCCCTGAACCTAAGTCTAGAAGCTTCTGTGAGAGTAGAGTTGACATTTGGCCTCTTGGTGATGCTTTTCTGTAGTCCCTCCAGTACTTGCCCATCTCCAAAGTGCTGAGTGTAGCTGTCGATGAAGTCACTGAGGCTGGTCAGGAGAATGAAAAGGTCTGTGTCAATGACACGAACCCTAACAACCAGGGTTCTGCATCTCCAGGCTCGGTGGATACCAGCATTTCAGGTAAGAAATTAGTCTTCTTTCCCCTAAGGTAATGTGGAGAAAGAAGATTGTGGCTTTGCACATGTGTTATTTTGTCACTTGATCTTGCTTGAAATTTTTCTATATACCAAGAAGTTATATCTTCTTAATAAACAAATATTTAATACTTTCTGATGAAAAAAATATGCACTTTTCTTAGCCATTATTATCTCCATCCTTATAACTGGCAAATAAAGAGAGAGGAAAAGAAGCAATGAACTTGAAGTTGGGAGTACTGGGTTCTAGATGTGTTTCTGTCAGGGCTTCACTGTGGGCCTGCATGTTTAGGTCATTTCATCTCGTTGGGCTTCAATTTATTCATCTCCAAAATAAACCTTGCAGATTAAGTGATATCTAAGATCTCTTTCAGTTTGAGTATTACATATTTGAAAAATAATTTCCTTATCTGAATCAATTTAATGTTCTTCCTGTCCTTATCTTGTGTTATAGATGACTAAGAAACCTAATTAGATTTCTACTCTGAGTGACATATTTGCTTAGGATATGTACAGAGTGACACAGGAGCACCTGAAGAGACAGCCAACCTAGTTGTGGGGAATTAGGGAAGGCATCTCAAAAGAAGGGAGTCCAAATTGGGTCCTTAAAAATGAACAGAAGTGAGTCAGGCAAAAGGAGATAAAGGCTCTCACCTTCTTCTAATTTGTTGTTTAATTTATAAATCATGCTCTTAGTTTACCACAAAGGACTATGGGTAGTTCTCCTCCCACTAAGTCATTCTTCAAAGGGTCTGTTGTGTTTCTCCTATAGGCCCTTGAAGGTGAGTGGTTTTGCTCCCTCCCCCAGAAATCCAGCATCAAATGTTTGTCAGATAGGTGTGGCCCAGTGTGGTGCAATCTGTAAATTATAGCAGAGAAGGTTGGACAAAGCAGAATGGCCCTGTCAGCAGAGGAGATCCTGCCTCAATTTCATCTCAAAGGACACTCCATTTTCTCTCCCCGACTAGTGTTTACTGGTCTTCATGCTCTTGATTTTGGATTGTTTTAGGGCTGACAAGAACAGAAGCTGTTTTTTTCCTGCCCCAACACACGACTGAAAGAGAAGAACTGACACCTCAGCTGGGGCTCCTGCTCTCCCATTTCAATATCCCCTATGACGTGGAAGAGCTGAGAGATCCTGCTCAGGAAATGGAACTTTTTAACTTGGTACTTGATGGACTCTTTCTTATACAAAGATAGGTGTTCATGAAAGAAAACACTACTATTCGCCACAAAGTTGGATATCTCTTCTGCCACAATTGTTTCTAGAGTGATAAAATATAATAGTAATAGGTGAGATTTAGATTGGCAGTTGAACCTCCCCTCTGTTAAGAGAACTGAGACCCTTGAATATACAACACAGACGGATTGCAGGATTGATTTTTCTGCAGAATTTAAAGAAAAAAGTAGGTTAGAGTCCGTAGTAGATGATGTAAATGTAGCCAAGATTTGGCAGAGTTGCATAATGGGGTTGTCTAGAGTCTCGAGCCCTTTGATTCTCACAATGTGTTGTAATAGCTCTCCTACTGGCAAAATGCTTTATATATTCAATACAGTTTATATTGCATAGTGATTTTTCAAGTCATGCAGTCTGCTCTGCTATAACACAGTGTTGCACTTCCTTTAAAAAAGCCTCATATTAACAAAAGCCATGTTAAGGGGCGCCTGGGTGGCTCAGATGGTTAAGCGTCTGCCTTCGGCTCAGGTCATGATCCCAGGGTCCTGGGATCAAGCCCCACCTCGGGCTCCTGGCTCAGTGGGGAGCCTGCTTCTCCCTCTCCTTCTGCCTCTCCCCCTGCTCATGCTCTCTCTCTCTGTATCTCTGTGTCTCAAATGAATAAGTAAAATCTTTAAAAAAAAAAAAAGCCATGTTAAAACTTATTTCAAAGGGAAAAATAGGATTATGTATAGACAGTTTCAAGTTTATAATATAAAGTTTTCAGCCAAAGCATCCACAATAAAGATATTTCTCTAGCTCTGGGTATATAATATTTGCAAGTATATATATTTGCTAGGTAAAAGTAGTAAACTGATTTAGCCAAACAGGCAAAAATCAAATCTGAATGTTTTTGAATGCTCTTTGTGTAAGAAGGAGCCACTGTCTTCTCTATCACCACTTGCCTTGACATTCAGGTTTCACTTCCATGTGTGCTTATTCCACATGATTTTACTAGGATTATTTCTGTATGTAACACAGGCTCTTTACACTCCCTGAAACCGGTGGTATCACATGTCCTCCAGTTTCTTTGAAGGTGATGATGTTTTAGCTCTTGCCTTTCTTTTCATTATCTCCAGCAGCACTATCTACAGAAGAGTGCTTTTTTTTTTTTAAGATTTTATTTGTTTATTTGAGAGAGCAAACAAGTGTGAGCAGGAGGAAGAGGGAGAGAGAATCTGAAAAAGACTCTGAGATGAGTGCAGAGCCCAACAGAGGCTCAATCTCATGACCATGAGATCATGACCTGAGCTGAAACCAAGAGTCAGATGCTGTAGGCACTAGCCACCCAGGCGCCTCTACAACACAGCGCTTCTATGCGAGTATACTTACCCTCATTATCAGCAAGTGTTATGATAGATGAAAACTGGAATTGGAATACGATGGTGTTTTAAAAGAGTCAAAATAAATACAAATAAATTATAACACAGTAGACTATCGTCAATGATAACAAAAAAACATGAGGCTGTTGAGCAAACTTCTCTCCAAAGAATAGCTTGTTTCCTTATATAGTGATAGTTTCCACTTCTGACTTTCTTATAATACTATTATGTGCAATGCTTGTGCACAGTTTGTTTGTTTGTTTGTTTGTTTTAATGCGTAGGAAGAGTTCTTATATTTGGGTACTATTTATTCTGGTTCTCTAATTCCTTAGAGCAGGATAAGCAAAGTATAACCTGCAGTCCACCACCTGTTTTGTTTTGTTTTTTAAAATAAAGTTTTATTGGAATTCACCCATACCCATTCATTTACATATTATCTTTGACTGCTTTCATACCACAACTGCAGAGTTGAGTAGTTGCAACAGAGACCTATGTATGGTCTGCAAAGGCTAAAATATTTACTATCTGGCCCTTTAAGAAAAACTTGACCACCCTAGCCCTAGGCTAGCACTGTCTGATCTTCCTGCATTGATGAACATGATCTGAATCTGCACGGTTCAGTATGTTAACCATGCAGCTATTGAGCATTTGAAATGTGGGCAGTGTAACAGAAGAACTAAATTTTAAATTTTATTTAATTTTAATGATTCAAATTTAAATGTTAAACAGCCACATGTGGCTAGGGGCAAGAACATTGGATAGCACAGCCCACAAGGTACCAGCATTAACTGGAAGAATCTTTAGCTCTCTGACTCATTAAACTTGCTCTCTCATTCCAGAAACCTTTGTTAAGGCCCTAGTATGTGCCAGCATTGTGGTAGGATCTCTGTGCATGTGTGTGTGTATGTGTAATAAAATATATATAAGACTGACCATTTTAACCATTCATAAATGCACAGTTTAGTGGAATTAATTACAAACACATTGTTGTGCAGCCATCACCATGTGGTTGGTTCTTGAGATTCATAGTCTGTGCCCTCAAGAAGTTCACCAGGTTGTAGGGAAATCATGATGTACTGTGGCCAGTGCAATGAGGAAGGTGCTATCACAGGCTCAGTAAGCCTGGGCCCACTCTAGAGAAGGAAGGAAGAAGTGTTCTACATTTGGCAGGAGAAAATTTATGTCACAGAAAACACTATTAGCCTCAGTCAGAAAATGAGAGGTGAAGGAATTGGCTGAGGTACCTTAAAGAGTTTTAACAGGTCCCAGCATTTGGAACCTTCTCTCTAGCAACATCCTGGTTAGAATTCTGGAACAAGGATTTATCTAACCTTTAGATTTTCAAGTTTATCAGGTGGCCAGAAAAAGTGAATGTATTTCTAATGGTGGACAAATTTGCTTCCCATTTAGGGTCCATCTCAAAACACATATAAATAAATATATTACACAATTTCCAATCTTTGGAGCAGATATTCAGAACAAGTAACATACACACACAACTATGGTAATGAGCTGACTGCATACACGTGCCTCACAGCTGTATACATTCAACGCCTGTTACTGTCAGAGTTATGTTTTATGAATTAGTTTAACTTCAAGACTGTCTCAAAGGCAATCAATTGCTGTTTTTGAAATGGCCTACAATCTGAGACTTTTCTTTAGAAGAGACTTTACTCTCTTTAGAGTAAAGACTTTACTTCTCTTTAGAAGAGACTTTACTCTCTTCTTAATCCTATTTAGGTTTCCCTAAAATTTCAAAGCATCTTCATGGAGCAACAGAGAATGCAAACATTTCCAGATTATGACGCGGAGATAGCTAAAGTGGAGAATTTGGGTTTGGCGGGACCTGGTATGGCCTTGAAAAAGAGAGCTAACTGGACTTCCTTTATAAAGGTAAGGAGACCTGTGGTGACAGTCACCTGTCACAAAGTATCCTCCAAGCAGGCCAGGCAACCTGGCAGCACCAGGTCTGTCACATTCCTATTGTCCCCTCTCTTCAATGCCCTAAGCAAACTGTCCCCTGGGACCAAGGGTAGGTGCCTGGCCTTGTACACCAGGTTCCCGCAGCTCCTTCCTGCCTTGGGTCTACGTTGAAGTTAGCCATGTTGACCTGCCTTCTCTGGAAAGTCCCCATACTCCTGTACTCTCTGTTGGGTCAGAACTCCATTCTTCTTGTTAGTGATCTTGGCTACTTGGCTAGAACCAAGAATAACACTCAAGGGTATAATTGAGTTGTATAAATCCAGCTTTTGAGTCAAAAACTATTCACTGAGTATATACTGTGTGTCAGGAATGACCCTTGGTTCTGGAGATATGCAATTCACAAACAATGCACAAGTAAGCAGATTAAACAAGGTGATTTTGGGTAGTGGTAAGTATAATTGATCCTCATTGTTTGGGGCAGCTCTTCTATAAAGTTGCCACAAACATTGAATTAACAAATACTGAGCCATCTCTCCTAGGGGAAATACAAGGTTAGGTTCATTAACTGATGGATACATAACCTTGCTTTATGTGTATTTCTGTTTAAATATACTTTAATACATGTTTTTGATTCATTAACATTGATCTTATGGCCAATACCACTATGACTCATGCCCAAAGCGTATCAAACATAAATATTTCTTCCATAAGACATATCACAGTCTTCCTGTACTTAGGAACACTAGGCAACACTTCAGCACTACACTTAGGGGCCACTTTAAACATCGAATTCACCAACAAAACACACAAAAATATAGAAACATATCATTAACTAGACCACAAAAAGGACACTTGTTTATAGAATGAAAGCTGAAAAAGAAGGTTGAATGTTGCCTTGTATGACCTCAGCTGGAATGTGGAGTTGGGTGATTCAAATTTTTCACCATTTTTTGCATACCCATGAATAACCAGAATAGATCTGCCAGGATTGATTTTGGGGTTACAAATAAATTTTAGTGAGAAAAATTTGCAAATACAAAATCCATGAATAATGAGGATCAGCTATATTGTGTAGGAAAGAAAAGTCTTACGTGATAAAGATGAATGGAAGGAAAGGAGAGAAATCAAAGATTACTCCTAAGTAATGGGGCTTGAGCAAATAGGTGATTGGTATAGGGAAAGCCAGACTTTCTGTTCTAGATTTTTACATTTGCCTTCCACCTATAGATATCAAGGAGATAGTTGGATATCACATACTGGAGCTTAGAGCTAGATTTAAGTTTGAAAGTTATAAGTATATTGATGTATTCAGAGCTATAGAACTAAATTTTGAAATATGCCCTGTTAACGGGTAAGGTAAAATTTTACATGTGGAGTCTTTGAAGGAGAACTTCTCTTGCCCTATAAGTCAAGTGTGGTGTCCTACGCTGATGGATTTAGGGTCCCTCCTGCTCATGGATGGTGCTGTGTCATCGCAGATGAAGCTAATGCATCTCATAGGCCAGGCACCAACAGGAACTGCCCTGCCATCTCCCTCCATGGATCCATGGACCCATGAAGACCCTTTCCAAGACTTCACAGGCTGTAACAAACTTTCTAGCGCTAAGGCTAAATCCCATTTCAGAAGGTCCTTGAATCTCTTTGCTTGCAACTTTTATTGAGAACTATTCTGTTATGTTGTACTTTGTGTGAACATGTTTGTCCACTAGATTAAGCCAAAATGTGATCCTTGGCAAAAGAAGATTTTGACCAAACTAAAAGAACGGAGAAGAATAGATGTATTAATGCAACTCCAAGCAAAGTTTTTGAAGGTAAGAAAATTGCCATCTTCCCTTGTAGATAAAATTCTTGCTAAAATCATTCTCAGAAAATTGAATTTTCTTTCCTTTTTAAGAAATGTTAGCCATGGATTCTCTATGAAGACTTTTTTGGAACTTTCTAATCTAATTGCCAAAATTTTATAATACTGTTAATTTTCAATAGAAAGTAACAATTTTTTCAGCTTTGGCACTAAGTCTCTGTGTGATATTGATCTAATCGCACAATCTCCTTGAGTTTGTTTCCTCATCTGTGAAATAAAAATACTGGATGAAATTATCTTATTTTTACTGTGGTAAAAAGCACATGGGATAAAATTTCTCATCTTAATCATTTTAAGTGCACAGTTTAGCGGTGTTCAGTATATTCGCACTGTTGTGAAACCAATCTACTGGAACTTTTTCATCTTGGCAAACTGAAACTCTGTACCTATTAAACAACAATTCCCTACTTCCTCCTCCCCACAGCCCCTAATAACCACCATTCTACTTACTGTTTCTGAATTTGACTACCTTTACATACCTCATATAAGTGGACTCATACAGTATTAGTCTTTTTATGACTGGCTTATTTCACTTAGGACAATGTCCTCAAGATCTATCCATGTGGTAGCATGTGACCAGATTTCCTCTCCCCATTTTTTTTTTCACGAACATTTTACCAGCTTTATTCATAATAGCCAAAAATGGAAACAACACAGATGTATTTCAGGGGGCAAGTAAACTAATCATGGTACATCCCGTACCATAGAATACCAGTCAGCTGTAAAAAAAGAACAAACTAGTGATATACCCAAGAGCCTGGATGAATATCCAGAGAACTCTATGAGTGAAAAAGAGTCAGTCCCATAAAGACTGTAGGAGTTCATTTATACAATGCTCTTGAAATGACTAAGTAGAGAAATGAGGACAGATTCGTGAATTGTAAGGGTTAAGGGGAGACTGGTGAGGAAGGGAAAGGAGTATGGCTATAAAAGAACAACAACATAAGGGATCTTTGTGGTGATGGATCTTTTCTATAAGTTGACTGTATCAAAGTCAATATCCAGGTTGTGATACTGTAGTATGGTTTTGCAAGATGTTAACATTGGGGGAAATGGAGTGAAGAGTACATGGGACCTCTTTATATTATTTTTCCCCTCTTTTCTTAAATGGTGGTAAAATACACATAACATCAACTTTACTATTTTAACTATTTTTAAGTGTATAGTTCAGTGGCATTAAGTACATCCATATTGTTGGGTAATCATCACCACCATCCATCTCCAGAATTCTTTATCTGGCAAACTGAAACTGTTTACCCATTAAACAATAACTCCTCATTCTTCCCTCCCCCTAGTCCCTGGCGACCACCATTCTAATTTCTGTCTCTATGAGTTTGACTACTCTAGGTACCACCTATTGGTGAAATCAGACAGTATTTGTCATTTTATGACTGGCTTATTTTACCCACCCAGGTTCACCCGTGTTGTAGGATATATCAGAATTTCCTTCCTTTTTAAGGCTGAATAATATTCCCTTGTGTATATCCACCATGTTTTTAAAAAATCTATTTGTTGATGGACATTTGGGTTTCTTCCACTTCATGGCTGTTGTGAATAATGCTGCTATGAACATGGATATGTAAATACTTCTTTGAAATCCTGCTTACAAATCTTATGGATATAAACCCAGAAGTAGAATTGCTAGATCATAAGGTAATTCTGTTTTTAATTTTTTGAGGAATCTCCATACTATTTTCCATAGCAGTTGCAGCATTTGGCAATACTACCAACAGTGAGCAAAGGTTCCAATTTCCCTGCATTCTCACCAGCACTTGCTATTTCCTTCCTTCCTCCCTTCCTCCCTTCCTTCCTTCCTTCCTTCCTTCCTTCCTTCCTTCCTTCTTTCCTTCCTTCCTTCCTCCTCCTCCTCCTTCTTGTTATTAGCCATCCTAATGGATGAGGAGATAATCTCATTTTGTTTTTGCTTTGCATTTCTCTGATGATTAGTGATTTTGAGAATCTTTTCATATGGTTATCAGCCATTTGTATATCATATTTGGAAAAATGTCTATAGAAGTCCTTTGACCATTTTTTAATTGGGTTATTTGATTTTTATTGTTGTTGTTGAGCTGTAGGAGTTCTTTATATATTCTGGGTATTAACCCCTTATCAGATATATAATTTGCAAATATATTCCCTCATTCTATAAGCTGCCTTTTCACTCTGTTAATTGTATACTTTGATGTACAGAAGTTTTAAAGTTTTATATAGTCACATTTGTCTATTTTTGCTTTTTTTTGCCTGTGCATTTGGTGTCATATCCAAGAAATCATTGCCAAATTCATTGTTATGAAGATTTTCCCCTGTTTTTATCTAAGAGTTTTGTAGTTTTAGGTCTTATGTTTAGATCTTTAATCCATTATGAGTTAATTTATTGTATATGGTGGATGATAAAGATTTAACTTCATTATTTTGCACGTGGATATCCTGTTTTCCTAGAATCATTTGTTGAAGAGACTGTCCCATCTCTGTTGAATGGTATTAACTTTCTTGTCTAAGATCATTTGACCATATACTCGAGCATTTATTTCTAGGCTCTCTATTCTATTCTGTGGTCTATATGCCCAATTTATTCCAATACCATGCCATTTTGATTACTGTAGCTTTGTAATATGGTTTGAAAGCAGAAAATATGAGTTCTCCAATTTTGTTCTTCTTTTTCAAAATTACATTGGTTATTTGGTGTCCTTTGAGATTTCATATGAATTTTAGGATGAATTTTTCTACTTCTGCAAAAAAATGCCATTAGGATTTGGTAGGGATTGGACTAAATGATATTTGAAGTTCCTTGTGATATTAAAATGACTGAAATACCATAATACATGTATCGCTGCTGTTGAAATTCAACTCTGCGACTATTATTTGATCCTTTACCTCCAGAAGAGAAGGAACATTTATTCAGTACCTATTACATGCCAGGCATTCTTGCAGCAATCCTGGGAGAGACATCATTAGTGTTCTTATTAGATTGACTTGTCCTGCTCTGTGTGGTGAAGTCAGGATTTCAGCAGAGATACAAGCCAAGGCCCGTGTCCTTACAGATCCTGTGCTTTCCTCATACTACTTAATTTCCTCTTCCTCCATCTGCTGGCAGCTTCCTAATAGCAAACAGAGTTTGTACCCAAAATGATGGGTGTTTATCTTTTTATTGGTGCCACCGCACTTGTGGGGGTACAATCTGCTATTGTGTTTAGAGGGTTGTCACAGAATTTTAAATGAGCTGCTATGTGTATTTAAATACTTACAATGGTTGGGGGGGGAAGATGGCGGAGGAGTAGGGGACCCTATTTCAACTGGTCCCTGGAATTGAGCTGGATATCTACCAGACCACTCTGAGCACCCACGAAACCAGCCTGAGATGTAAGAAGATCTGGATCTCTACAAACAGAATATCACAGGCGGTTGGTTTTGAGATACGAAGCTGAGAGCCGTGATTCTGCAGGCAGATATCGGAGGATAAACGGAGGCGGGAGGGTGCCTGGACATGGGGATCCTACACCGCCGGTGAGTGACAGCCTTGCCCGCTGAGGACGGGCACAGACTCGCAGACCGGTAGCATTGGGAAAGGACTTTAGGGCAGCCCCCGGGGTGGAGGACCAGACCGGCGGGGTCGCGCCCAAGCGAACCGCAGCCACCTGGACAGAAACCCGGAGCGACGGTCATGCGCACGCGGACTGCAGCCTCCGAGACAGAAACCTGGTGCGCCGGGGTCCCGCCGTGAACTGCAACCTCCGGGGTGGAAACCCTGAGCAGCGGAGTCGCGCACACGCGAACTGCAGTCCCCGGGACAGGACCCCAAGTGGCGGAGTCGTGCGCGCCCGTGTGCACGAACTGGGAGCGGCTGGTGGTTTTAGAAGCACAAAGGGCAGAGATGTGCCCTGACCTGGAGGCAGGACTGGGAGTGCTGCAGAGGGGCGCACAACCCAGGATGCTGCAGTTTATAGCAGCATGGACAGAAACGGAGACAGTGTGGCCTGGAGAGCTCACTGAAGAACAGACTGAGGTCTCTCTGCTCTGAGGCAGAGGGTTGGAAACGGTCTCTTCTGCTCTGACTCCCGGAAGAGACGCGGAAAGCCGCCAGGGAAAGGCGCCAGAGAACAAAAGCCCCAAAGACTGAGTCCCACTGAGCCCATCCCCCGCCACAGGGGCCCAGGGCAACTCCGCCCAAACAGGGTTGCCTGAGTAACAGCACGGCAGGCCCCTCCCCCAGAAGACAGGCTGGGAAAACAAGAGGCCAGCAACCCTACGGACCCAAGAAAACAGGTGCATCTTGCTTGGGTTCGGGTCAATAATTTGGACTGTATACATTCCCTCAAATACCCATCAACAGAATGACTAGGAGGGGGAGCCCCCAAAACAGAAAAGACTCAGAGATTATGACTTATGCTGCAGATTTACAAATGGATGCAGATATAACCAAGATGTCGGAGATGGAATTCAGGCTAGCAATTGTGAAGACAATGGCTAGAATGGAGAAATCAATTACTGGCAACATAGAGTCTCTAAGGGCAGAAATAAAAGGTGAATTGGCAGAACTTAAAAATGCTATCAATGAGATCCAGTCCAATCTAGATAATCTAACAGCTAGGGTAACTGAGACAGAAGAGAGAATAAGCGATCTGGAAGACAGTATAATAGATAAAAAGGGAAAAGAGGAGGCCAGGGAAAAACAACTCAGAATCCATGAAAATAGAATCAGAGAAATAAGTGACACCATGAGGCGTTCCAATGTCAGAATCATTGGAATCCCAGAGGGAGTGGAGAGAGAGAGAGGGCTAGAAGATGTATTTGAGCAAATCAAAGCTGAGAACTTCCCTAATCTGGGGAATGAAACAAACATTCGAGTCCTAGAGGCAGAGAGGACCCCTCCTAAGATCAAGGAAAACAGGCCAACACCCCGGCATGTAATAGTAAAACTTGCAAATCTTAGAACCAAGGAAACCATCTTAAGGGCAGTTGGGGGAAGAGATTCCTTACGTACAGAGGGAGGAACATCAGAATAACGTCAGACCTATCCACAGAGACCTGGCAAGCCAGAAAGGCCTGGCAAGACATATTCAGGGTACTAAATGAGAAGAACATGCAGCCAAGAATACTTTATCCGGCAAGGCTTTCATTTAGAATGGATGGAGAGATGCAGAGCTTCCACGACCAGCAGAAGTTGAAAGAATATGTGACCACTAAGCCGGTCCTGCAAGAAATATTAAGGGGGGTTCTATAAAAGGAGAAAGACCCCAAGAATGATCTACAACAGAAATTTACAGGGACAATCTATAAAAACAACGTCTTCACAGGCAACATGATGACAATTAATTCATATCTTTCAATAAGCACTCTCAACGTGAATGGCCTAAATGCTCCCATAAAACGGCACAGGGTTGCAGATTGGATAAAAAGACAGGACCCACCCATATGCTATCTACAAGAGACTCATTTTGAACCTAAAGAGACATCCAGACTGAAAGTGAAGGGATGGAGATCCATCTTCCATGCCAGCGGACCTCAAAAGAAAGCTGGGGTAGTAATTCTTATATCAGACAAATTAGATTTTAAACTAAAGTCTGTAATAAGAGACACAGAAGGACACTATATAATTCTTAAAGGGTCTATCCAACAAGAAGATCTAACAATTGTAAATATCTATGCCCCCAACATGGGAGCAGCCATCTACATAAGCCAACTGTTAACCAAAATAAAGAGTCATATTGATAACAATATGTTAATTGTAGGAGACCTCAATACTCCACTCTCAGCAATGGACAGATCATCTGAGCAGAAAATCAACAAGGAAACAAGAGCTTTGAATGATACATTGGACCAGATGGACCTCATAGATATTTACAGAACATTCCACCCTAAAACAACAGAATACTCATTCTTCTCGAGCACACATGGAATTTTCTCCAGAATAGACCATATACTGGGTCACAAATCAGGTCTCAACCGATACCAAAAGATTGAGATTATTCCCTGCATATTCTCAGACCACAATGCTCTAAAACTGGAACTCAATCACAAGAAAAAATTTGGCAGAAATTCAAACACTTGGAAGCTAAAGACCACTCTGCTCAAGAATGTTTGGGTCAACCAAGAAATCAAAGAAGAACTTAAACAATTCATGGAAATCAATGAGAACGAAAACACATCGGTCCAAAACTTATGGGATACTGCAAAGGTGGTCCTAAGGGGGAAATACATAGCCATCCAAGCCTCACTCAAAAAAACAGAAAAATCCTGAATTCACCGACTAACTCTACACCTTAAAGAACTAGAGAAAAAGCAACAAACGATGCCAAAGCCATGCATTAGAAGAGAAATAATTAAAATTAGAGCAGAAATCAATGAATTAGAAACCAGAAACACAGTAGATCAGATCAATGAAACTAGAAGTTGGTTCTTTGAAAGAATTAATAAGATTGATAAACCACTGGCCAGACGTATCCAAAAGAAGAGAGAAAGGACCCAAGTTAATAAAATTATGAATGAAAGGGGAGAGATCACGACCAACACCAAGGAAATAGAAACAATTATTAGAAATTATTATCAACAACTATATGCCAATAAACTGAGCAATCTGGATGAAATGAAGGTCTTCCTGGAAACCTATAAGCTGCCAAGACTGAAACAGGAAGAAATTGACAACCTGAATAGGCCAAAACCAGTAACGAGATTGAAGCAGTGATCAAAAACCTCCCCAAAAACAAGAGTCCAGGGCCTGATGGATTCCCTGGGGAATTTTACCAAACATTCAAAGAAGAAATAATACCTATTCTACTGAAACTGTTTCAGAAAATAGAAACAGAAGGAAAACTTCCAAACTCATTCTATGAGGCCAGCATTACCTTAATCCCCAAACCAGGCAAAGACCCCATCATAAAGGAGAATTTCAGACCGATATCCCTGATGAATATGGATTCCAAAATCCTCAATAAAATCCTAGCTACTAGGATCTAACAATACATTAAAAGGATCATCCACCACGACCAAGTGGGATTTATCCCCGGGATGCAAGGGTGGTTCAACATTCACAAATCCATCAATGTGATAGAACACATTAATAAGAGGAGGGAGAAGAACCATATGGTCCTCTCAATTGATGCAGAAAAAGCATTTGACAAAATACAACATCCTTTCCTGATTAAAACTCTCCAGAGTATAGGGATAGAGGGAACATTCCTCAAGCTCATAAAATCCATCTGTGAAAAACCCACAGCGAATATCATCCTCAATGGGGAAAAGCTGAGAGCCTTTCCCTGAAGAACAGGAACACGTCAAGGGTGCCCACTCTCACCACTGTTGTTCAACATAGTACTAGAAGTCCTAGCAACAGCAATCAGACAACAAAAAGAAATAAAAGGTATTCAAATTGGCAAAGAAGAAGTCAAACTCTCTCTTTTTGCAGACGACATGATACTTTATGTGGAAAACCCAAAAGACTCCACCCCCAAATTACTAGAACTCATCCAGCAATTCAGTAATGTGGCAGGATACAAAATCAATGCACAGAAATCAGTTGCTTTCTTATACACTAACAACGCAACTGTTGAAAGAGAAATTAAAGAAACGATTCCATTTACAATAGCACCAAAAACCATAAGATACCTCAGAATAAACCTAACCAAAGAGATAAAGGATCTATACTCTAGGAACTACAAAACACTCATGAAAGAAATTGAAGAAGACACAAAAAGATGGAAAAATATTCCATGCTCATGGATCAGAAGAATAAACATTGTTAAAATGTCTATGCTACCCAGAGCAATCTATACCTTCAATGCCATCCCAATCAAAATTCCAATGACATTTTTCAAAGTGCTGGAACAAACAATCCTTAAATTTGTATGGAATCAGAAAAGACCCCGAATCGCCAAGGAGATGTTGAAAAAGAAAAACAAAGCTGGGGGCATCACGTTGCCCAATTTCAAGCTATATTACAAAGCAGTGATCACCAAGACAGCATGGTACTGGCACAAAAACAGACATACAGACCAATGGAACAGAATAGAGAACCCAGATATGGACCCTCAACTCTATGGTCAAATAATCTTTGACAAAGCAGGAAAAAACATGCAGTGGAAAAAAGACAGTCTCTTCAATAAATGGTGCTGGGAAAATTGGACAGCCACATGCAGAAGAATGAAACGCGACCATTCTCTAACATCATTCACAAAGATAAACTCAAAGTGGATGAAAGACCTCAATGTGAGACAGGAATCCATGCAAATCCTAGAGGAGAACATAGGCAGTAACCTCTTTGACATCGGCCACAGCAACTTCTTTCAAGATACATCTCCAAAAGCTAGTGAAACAAAAGCAAAAATGAACTTTTGGGACTTCATCAAGATAAAAAGCTTCTGCACAGCAGTGGAAACAGTCAACAAAACAAAGAGGCAACCCACAGAATGGGAGAAGATATTTGCAAATGACACTACAGATAAAGGGCTGGTATCCAAAATCTATAAAGAACTTCTCAAACTCAACACTCAAAAAACAAATAATCAAGTCAAAAAGTGGGCAGAAGAGATGAACAGACACTTCTCTGAAGAAGACATACAAATGGCTAACAGACACATGGAAAAATGTTCATCATCATTAGCCATCAGGGAAATCCAAATCAAAACCACACTGAGATACCACCTTACACCAGTTAGAATGGCCAAAATGGACAGGGAAAGAAACAACAAATGTTGGAGAGGTTGTGGAGAAAGGGGAACCCTCTTACACTGTTGGTGGGAATGCACGTTGGTACAGCCACTTTGGAAAACAGTGTGGAGGTTCCTCAAAAATTTAAAAATAGAGCTACCCTCTGACCCAGCAATTGCACTACTGGGTATTTACCCCAAAGACACAGATGTAGTGAAAAGAAGGGCCATATGCACCCCAATGTTCATAGCAGCAATGTCCGCAATAGCCAAACTGTGGAAAGAGCCGAGATGTCCTTCAACAGATGAATGGATAAAGAAAATGTGATCCACATATACAATGGAATATTACTCAGCCATCAGAAAAGATGAATACCCAACTTTTACATCAACATGGATGGGACTGGAGGAGATTATGCTAAGTGAAATAAGTCAAGCAGAGAAAGTCAATTATCATATGGTTTCACTTATTTGTGGAACATAAGGAATAACATGGAGGACATTAAGAGAAGGAAGGGAAAAATGGGTGGGGGGAATTGGAGGGAGAGATGAACCATGAGAGACCATGGACCTGAGAAACAAGCAGGGTTTTGGAGGGGGGGGGGATTGGTTAGCCCCGTGATGGGTATTAAGGAGGGCACATACTGCATGGAGCACTGGGTGTTATATGAAAACAATGGATTGTGGATCACTACATCAAAAACTAATGCTGTATTGTATGGTGACTAACATAACATAATAAAATTAAAAATAATAAATAAATAAATACTTAAAATGTTGAATGGATGGACATACCAAAGGGAATCGTGATGTTTGAGTCTGATTTTATTTTTTAACTGAATAAAGCCCCACCTGGGGCTTATTTCTTATTTGTGTATATATGACTAAATTCTTGCTGAGAAGAAGGGAATAACCCTTTACTGAACCATTCCTTTTCTTCTTGTTCTACTTGAGATTTCCAGGCCTGAGCGAGTAAAGCAAGTGCTCCAAGACCATGCTGCAAAGACAGTCATGCTGGCTCCATCTCATCCAACTTTCGTGGCTTCCCAGGATTTGCATCAGTGCAATTATGACCACATCTGGGAGAATATTTATAGCAACATCAACCTCTACCAGGTATAACAGGAAGAAATAACCAACATGCCTTTCTGGTCAACTCACTATCTGTGTGTAGACCTTAGACATTTACTTTGGTAGTTTTTCAGAGACCCTCCCCATAAAGGCTTCATTACCCAGCCAGGTTTGTTTTTGTTATAAAAAAGATTAAATGCTAATTAAAAAGAGGGATATAAAGAGGTATAATATAAGATATTGCTGCTGGGACATATACTTAACCGCTACATACCAATGCAAAGCTGCACACTCTAGTGCTAAACACCAATAAGCTGGACAATTGTTAAATATTGTGAGTGTTTAGAGGCAAAGTGGTCCCCCCAGGGTTCGTTCTTTTGGGAAAGGCTTTTTGAAGGAGGAGGAAATTGAACTGGGTTTGAAGGAATCGTGGGGCTCAGGGAAGTGGTGGTGGAGACGGAAGCACATTATGTAGGAGGGAAGCATGAACAACAATGCAGAGGACGGGCGCCTGGGTGGCTCAGTTGGTTAAGCGACTGCCTTCGGCTCAGGTCATGATCCTGGAGTCCCGGGATCGAGTCCCACATCGGGCTCCCTGCTCAGCGGGGGGTCTGCTTCTCCCTCTGACCCTCTCCCCTCTCGTGCTCTCTGTCTCTCATTCTCTCTCTCAAATAAATAAATAAAATCTTTAAAAAACAAAAAACAAAAAACAAAAAACAATGCAGAGGAGACACTGTGTGGAGTGTTTAAGGCCAGTTTGGTGGAGTAAAAGATTCATGTGGAAATATGGGGAAGAGAAGTTTTTTTAAGGGGGAGGAGAGAGAAAGTTATGAATGTCCATAAATTTCAGACAAAGGAATTTGTGCTTTATCCTATAAGGGAAGTGATATATACAAAGTTGTATTTTTTAGGAAGATTGATATGGCAGCAAGGTGGATTGGAAGAGGGAGAGATTGGAGGCAGGGAAGCCAGCTAGATAGCTGCTACATAAGATAGGCCTGAAGTTTGGCAATGAAAGGCAATTTCTACACAAACCTATTGGATATTTGTCTTTACAATGGTGCTATCACATTTTTGAATAATCTGCTATTGTTTGTTTGTTGCTCTAAGGGAAGAGTTTTATTTCCTTTGCTTATTTAAGATGGAAAGACTCAATATGTTTATGGTCTGGGAGGAATAAGCAGTGGAGAAGAAGAGATAGAAGATATGAAAGGGTAAATTTGAGAAACAGATGACCCTGGCCAAAGAGGAGGGGATGGGATGAAGAAACCAGTTGAAGGAGTAATTTTGAGAAAGGGAGAGTGGCATCACTTCCCTTTAGGTGAATAAGAATTGTCAGGTACAAAAGGATAAGATGTGCTCACTTGTACATGGCCCTGGCTGTCTCAGAGAGAGAGAAGAGAGGGAGAAGATGCCTGCATTAGTGAGATGCAAGATGGAAGTGACATGTGAGGAGGTGGATCACTGTGGGGAATGCCATAGGGCCACCGATGAGAAAAGAATATAAGGATGACCGCGTAGCTAGAGGGCCCAGTTGAAGTAAGAGAGCATGACTTTTAGTGAGCCCAATCTGCATAATAATCCTATTATTTTCACCCCTAAAGATAATTGTAGAAATTATACATAAAGTCGAAGGTATGAAGAAGTTTAGTAGAATGCTAGAGAGGAAGCACTGCCATGGTCCATCATCCCAGGCTGGGTATGGGAGAAAGTGAAACCTAAATGAGTTACAGATTGGCTGGAAGCAAACACATAAGTACATGCATGTGTACACACACACAAACACACACACACACACCCCAAAACTTCTATAACTTTTCAACCTGTTTAGATAAGGATCTGGAGAATCTAATAAAAAATGAGTTGGCCAAACCGATCAGAAACAGAGACAGCATATCATGGCATGGATCTCCCTGAATTCCCTGACAGGCATGCAACTACCAGTGACACTCCTCAGCTAGCATCCTGCCAGAGTTGAGAAAATGGCCACATTTTTCCTATCCATTGCCATTTCACAATGAGATATATGTCACCAGGAAGACCTTATACTAATAAGGGGATTTTTTTGAAACATTTTTTAATTTAAATTCAATTAATTAACATATAATGTATTCTTGGTTTCAGAGGTACAGGTCAGTGATTCATCAGTCTTATATAATACTCAGTGCTCATTACATCACATGTCCTCCTTAATGCCCATCACCCAGTTACCCCATCCCTCCATCCCCCCTCCCCCCAGCAACCCTCAGTTTGTTTCCTGTGATTAAGAGTCTCTTACGGTTGGTCTCCCTCTTAAACATTTGTCTTCTTCACTAGACTTGGCACCAAATGATTTTGTTGTTTAAGAAGTTCATGAATTAGGGCGCCTGGGTGGCTCAGTTGGTTAAGCGACTGCCTTTGGCTCAGGTCATGATCCTGGAGTCCCTGGATCGAGTCCCGCATCGGGCTCCCTGCTCGGCAGGGAGTCTGCTTTGCCCTCTGACCCTATCCCCTCTCATGTGTTCTCTCTCATTCTCTCTCTCTCAAATAAATAAATAAAAAATAAAATCTTTAAAAAAAAAAGAAGTTCATGAATTAATAAAGGAAACCATCTTCAAAGAATAAAGTAAAACTATAAAAGGAAATATTCTTTCCTCTCATAATTATCTTTCTCTGATTGACTTATTTCACTTAGCATAATACCCTCTAGTTCTATCCATGTCATTGCAAATGGCAAGATTTCATTTTTTTTTAAAGATTTTATTTATTTATATGACAGAGAGAGAGATAGCGAGAGCAGGAACACAAGCAGGGGGAGTGGGAGAACGAGAAGCAGGCTTCCCGCCGAGCAGGGAGCCCGATGTGGGACTCGATCCCAGGACCCTGGGATCATGACCTGAGCCGAAGGCAGACGCTTAATGACTAAGCCACCCAGGCGCCCAAGATTTCATTTTTTGATGGCTGTGTAATATTCCATTGTATATATATACCACATCTTCTTTATCCATTCAGCTGTTGATAGACATCTGGGTTCTTTCCATAGTTTGGCTATTGTGGACATTGCTCTTATAAACATTGAGGTGCAGGTGCTTCTTCGGATCACTACATTTGTATCTTTGGGGTAAATACCCAGTAGTGTGATTGCTTGGTCATAGGGTAGTTCTATCTTCAACATTTTGAGGAACCTCCACACTTTTCCAGAATGGCTGCACTAGCTTGCATTCCTGCCAACAGTGTAAGAGGGTTCTCCTTTCTCCACATCCTTGCCAACATCTGTCGTTTCCTGACTTGTTGATTTTAGCCATTCTGACTGGTGTGAGGTGGTATCTCATTGTGGTTTTGATTTGTATTTCACAAGGGGACATTTAAAAACATCCAGTTCTTTCGCTTCTTGAACCAAGCTTAAGGGGAAGGAGGTAGGGAGTAGGAAAGAAGGGAGGTCAAAGACAGAGTCAGCCCTTATCCCTAAATAAGACCTCTTCTCCTAAGATCCTGGACAGTCTGGCTCTTGATCCTGATATAACCGTCTTTACCTGAGATTCTGGGTTTAACATTTGAGGGCCACCACAAGTCTGTTTTCCTCCTTGACTGAGAGAATAAGGGCAATTAAATTCCTGGGGGGGGGGCTAGATGAGGGTGAAAAGAGGTGAATATGAGTAAGGGAGGGGTAGGAGGCAATGGAAGAAGGAGTCAGAGGTGAAGAGCTTTGTGTTTGAAGTCACGGAGAAGTGATGATCTAGGGTCTGGCTGGACCAGCAGACCAGAATTGTAGCAGTGCCCATGGGGACTTAGGGGACAAAGGAGGCTACCAGGGAAAAGCAGAAAGTGCAGGGCAAGAGCAGGAGATGATGGCTCAGTTTTCTGTTGAAAGGCAGAAAACACTAAGAGCCACAATGTGAAGAAGGAGCCCAGCTACACCGTGGAGAGAACTAACATTTCCTGCCGTTCTCTGTTACTGCTTCCCTCCATTTGCACATGAGGTAGAAAGTCAGGGTATGATGATATGCAGCCTCTGCTTTCACCAAAGTCTGTTTTGAATGCAGTTGCCCAGTGTTAAATTGGAGGGAAAAAGAAAAGAAAAGAAAGGAAAAGACAACCATTTCCTCTGGCTATTTACTGACTTGTAAATGTTGTTCTTGGAAATGACCAAAAGGAGAAAAATGTGAGCACCTATTTTCAAGTTGATTTATGGTAAACAGACCCTAAGGAGACTGAGAATACCTATGGATTTCAGAGGTGGAGCCTGAGGGGAGACATACAGCACACACAACCTACCCTACATATTAGTGTCATGCAAGTTTCCTGTTCATTCGTTCATTCATTCAGTGATTATTACATGGATGCTGCCTTTGTGCCAGGAACTGTGCTGCTTAGGGAACAAAACAGGCAATAAACAGGTGGACAAAAGAGTTAATCTACATCTCTAACTTGTGGGTGCCAGGAGGAAAACCACAGGAAGAGGGGGCAGTGGGGTCGAGAGGAGCACCCTCTGATAGATGGACCAAGCTCTTTCAGAGTTGGGGGCATCTGAGCTGACATTTGATGAATGAGAAGGAGTCAGCCATGCTAGAGAAGAGCTTTCCAAGTGGGGAACAGAAAATAGCACGGCGTTTGAGAAAGAAAATCGTGAGGCAACCATCAATGGTTTTCTACTTTCCCTCGCATTTTCCTGTGGGCGTTACTTTGTGACCTCCTTACGTATTTCTGCTCTGGTCAAGAGGCACTTTATACAGTATCTGAATGCCATTCTGAATGTTGAATACCAGTCAGAGGAGATTAGGATGAAGTTAAAGGTGGCCGAAGGGAGGAGTCACAGGATGTAGGTATGAATTTTAAAGCTCTGTGACTATTTTGCAAGCATGTAGCAGTCAAGTATGAATTTTAGCATCTATACGCTGGTCAGCATTCTGATTCTGAAGTTGGCAAGGGACAATCCATACCCCATGAAAAATAACTTTCTTAAGGGCCTTCTGCATGAAGGAAAGCAAACCTCATAGGATTGCCTGTTTTGACAGCTTGGAAAGAATATAGCACGACTTCAGGACAGTTTCTGATCAGTTTTCAGTGAATACTATTCACTGGTAGCCTTTCTTTAGGGAGGTTTTTTTTTAGAAAATAAATGTTTTATTTCAGAGTAGTTTTAGATTTACAGAAAAGTTACAAAGATAGTACAAAGAATTCCCAGGAATCCCCTGTCAGGTTTCTCCTATTATTAACATCTTATATTACTTTGTCACAACAAAGGAACCAGCATTGGTACATTACTGATATCTAAACTGGACTATATTTGGAATTCACTGGTTTTTCTTTGTGCTCCAGGGTACCACAGTGACTTTGATTGTCATGTTTCCCAGGCGCCTCAGGTCTGGGCCAGCTTCTCAGGCTTTCCTTGACAGTCTTTGGGAGTACTGGCCAGGCAACCTGTAGAACATTCCCTAACTTGAATTTGTCTGATGTTTTTCTCATGGTTATAACTGGGGTTATAGGTTTAGAGGAAGGACACACCAGAGGTGAAGTGCCCTTCTTATTACATCATATCTGGGCCAGATGCTATCAACCTGATGTATTACTGGGGATGTTAAGCTTAATATGTGGTTAAGCTAGTGGTGTTTGCTAGGTTTTTGCACTGTGAAGTTACCATTTTTCTCCTTAAGAAGTTGTTAGAAATCAGTTTTTAAACTACAGAAATAATACATAAACCTCTTCTCCTTGTGAAAAATTGAAACATCACTGAAAAGTTAATGCTTTAACTTTAACTAATGGGAATTCTAATACTGGTCCCCATTCCACTTCCTCAGAGGTAAACACTGTTACTGCTTCAGCCTGTTCAATACATTACATTCAAACATATGTGTGTGTGTGTATATATATATATATATATATATATATATGGTATAATTTTGTGTTTTAGTTTTCTATATAAATTATCTGTCATACTCTATGGATATCTTTGTTAACTTGCCTTTTTCACTCAACAATATGTCTTAGAGATCTGTCTCTGTTGTTCTTTTTAATGCCTGCATTATATTTTATTATATACTACAGATCACACAGACACCTCCCTGTGGACACTTGTTGCCATTTTTTTTTTACCCCATTAGAAAGCATTCCTACTGAACTTTCTTGTACATGCCTCCTTGTGCACACATGTGTTTCTTTAGAGTAGATATTTAGAAGTGGATTTTCTGGGTCACTGACATGCACATTCAAAATTTTCCATAGATCCTGCTGAAGTGGTATACCATTTTTTCCCCTAACCAGAAACTTATGAGAGAACCTGCTTCCCACATTTTAACATTGAATATGTTTGTCTGAACATTGATAATGTTTGTAATGTTTCTATCACAGTTTGAATTGGCCCTTTATTTACCATTGGCATGTAAGGCTGGCTATTTTTTCTTTATACACAATTCTTTTTCCAGATTCACTTAAAGATCTGGGTTTAGGGGTAAAGAAAAAATATCAGATTTTCTTATCATTGTTAATTGAAGATAATTTATAACTAGAAAGAGAGAATTCTGGTCCAGAAAGACTGCATTTTTTTTTTCTTTCGGATATCCTTTTGGAAAAACTTAAAAATAATTTAACTATAGTCCTAATCAGAAGGAATAGACCAGCCAGCCCTGTGTGGATCCTCCCAAACCTCCCAAACTTGTATTATATCAAGTTACTCGTACCCAATGCCATTCCCCAAGAAAACACCTGTTTATTAAAATAGCTGTTTATGTACAGACATTAAGTGCTACTATTGACCATCATATTTCTGAAGATATGGTTTAAATTGGTCACTGTTCTTTAACTTTATGGAGTGCTGCAGTGGCAGAAAACACTATATCCTTTGCCTCTTCTTTTGCTTCTTCTCACTGGCCACACGGAGGAGAGGAGAAGGGGACAGCTGTTGTTTTCCCCGATCAGCGTTAACTGCTCCCCTCCATTTCCGGAGACAGAATGAGGACATGGTGTGTCCTCACAAAAATGCTGTTGTATACAGTAGTTCCAATGTGCAAGAAGTTCAGGGGAACAGAAAACACTTCTTTTCTGGTTTCCCTCATCAAATTCAATAGAACATTTAAAACACAAACATTTTCTGTTGACAATAATGACATGTGTTTATCATACAAAATTTGGGAAATGTAGAAAAGCTCAAGGAAGAAAATAAAAATCAGCTGTAATTTTACCACCCAAATATAACCATAATATTTAACATATAGTTTCTATCCTTCTAGTCTTTTTATTCTGTGGATATACACAAATACGCTGTGGGGACATTTAGGAGGTGGGAAATACATTATAGACTTAGTTTCCCTCTGATTATTCCCTCCCCCACCCCACCCCCGCCACTCCACCTCCCACTCCACTGCCCCTGCCAGTTTCCCAGAAGAAAATGAGATTTGCAATCAGTGGAGATCTCGAAACTGTCAGAATACTGGCCAGGCCATGCTGGCAAAGACCCAGCTACCAAGTAGAGTAAATGTCAAAGGATTTACCTACCCAGGAAGACGGAACAAACGCAGGTGGTGTTGACATTCTGGCTTCTGGTCGGCCCCACTGCTTACCTGCACCATGTCCAGTCCTCTTAGGGGAGGACCCTCGTGCACTTCGGGTGTTTCCTAAGCAGCTGACGTTTGTGGGCTGTGGCTGGTTCTCTTTTTCCAGAGGGTGCTGGGCTCTCTCCCTCTACTCACCCAACCCGGTTGTGCCCCCCTCCTTTCTTCCCAGCCGCCTATGGGTCCAGCACTACTTCTGTGGCTTGCTCAGTTATACCTATTCATAGTGTCTTTCACCGTAACTTGATGTCACTTTCTCTTCCTCCCTCTGTAATTCTGGGTAATTTTAGAAGCACCTGGAAAAGTCACGATCCCATCAGAGAAAGGCTGTGGTTCTGAGCCTGCCCTCTGGAGCCACACCAGGCAAGGCTGAACTGCAACATAAGGGCACCAGAGACCTGGGAGGCAGAAGTCTTCGGGAGAGCCCCTCTCACCCAAAATTCTGGGCCACATAGAAACTGCCAAGATTCAACTTCCCTCATAGAGTAAATGCTTTCCTACAGATTTTCTACAAGTATCTGAGATTCTCTTAATTTGGGGATGATGATCTTGCATTTCTGTATGAAAGAACAGGAGTGCCTCATGTCACCTCCCAGGGTCTTTCCCAGTCCTAGGGTTGTGGGATGTTTACACGGAAATACACTGATGTGCCCACTTACCCAGAACAAACAGGAACTAACTCTACCCCCAGGCAGAATGGGAAGCCATTTCACGATACTCAATTAGACAACTTTTTCTCTCACCCACTCTTTCTAATATCCCTGCCCCCAATTTTCTTTTCTACTGCTTGTCATAAAGACCAATAGTGTATCTTTAGAGTCTTTGGTAGTGTATTAGTTAAAATTATATTTGGCTGTTGGTCATAATTAAACACAAAATAGCAGAGGATTAAAGGAGATGGGAATTTCTTTCTCTCTCCCTCATATTAAGATCCAGGGGGAGGAAGTACAGAGCTAGTGTGATGACTCTGTTCCATGGAGTCCTCAGGGACCCATGCTCCTTCTATCCTGGAGTTCCAACAGATGCAGCCTCCGTACCCGAGATCAACACCTGGTCTGAGATGGTGCTCCAGCGGTTACATTCATGTCCTAAGCAGTAGGATGGACAATGGGGGTGAGAAGCTGCCACTTCAGGGAAATTCCCAGAAGCTGCCACATGGCATTTTCACTTTCATTCCACTGACCAGAACTTAGTCACATATCTACACCTACCTGCAAAAGAGGCTTGGAAATGTCATCTCCATCTGGGTGGCCATGTGCCACAATAAATATTTAATTACTATAGGAAGAGAGGAAAATGGATCTTGGGGAACAACCAGCAGTTTTTGCCAGAAGGACTTTTGGGAATTCCAAGAACTATTAGAATATAAGTAACCCAAAGAGTGGGGTTCCAAGCTAACTCATTGCCACTCAGTGTTTTTGTGGGTATGGGCACCACTATGAAAGAGCGTTTCTTATGAGAATGGGGTATATGCCCAGGGACAGGCAAAGAGGGCAGCTAGGAAAGGGGCTGCCAGAGGACAAGGGGCAGGCTCATTCATCAATATCACCTTCTTCAAGTTTTTCCTAGAACTCTGCGTGTGTGACCTCATCCTGATTGACAACAGGAAAAATGCCCGTAGAAATAAACATAAACCACAAATTCTGTGATAGATCCTGCAGGGCTGACTGACTCCTGCAGTCCATGGGCAGGCAGGGAACTAGCATGTTTTGGGCACCTGTGAGGTGCCAATCACTATGTGCTAATTCTCACAGCAATTTATTTTCTATTATTATGGCATTTTATAAGTATGAAAACAGGATCAAGACTTTAAATAATTAGATCATATAGCTAAAAAGTAGAAAGAGGCATTTAATCCACTGATCTCTCTCAGCCTGGAACAAGGCTAGATTAGAGACATTCAAGGTTTCAAACATCTACAAATGTGTGTATCAACTTTTCATAAGTGAATCATGTAATAGGTGTGTGTGTGGGAGGGTGGTATTTAAAAGCTGTGAATAGGGCCATCTGGGTGGCTCAGTCGGTTAAGCATCTGCCTTCAGCTCGGGTCATGATCTGCAGGTCCTGGGATCAAGCCCCGCATCAGGCTTCCTGATGTCTGCTTCTCTCTCTCCCTCTGCCCCTCCCCAACACTCGTTCTCTCTGTCACTCTCAAATAAATAAACAAAATCTTAAAAAAAATAAAATAAAAGCTGTGAATAGTTTTGTAAAACAAAGACTAAATAATAATAAAAACAGTAGCCTCTAATTTATTTTAGAAATCCAGATTTTCATATGACACATTGCAATGGATCCAGATGCTCATCTGCTTGTTCATCTAAAGATGCCTTGGATCATGGGATTTAGTTTTGTGGTGACCCAACTGTGACTTTGTTAATGATATTGCAAATGTTTATGTAATTCAACTAATGCTACTTTTTTGATAGAATGAAAATATGAAGGAAGATGACCTTTCAATGGAACAAAATGAAAATTACCTAGCACAAATAAGTTGCTGCCAACATGCTGATGAGCCTATTAAGCAGAAAAAAGAGAAAGGGTAAAATTAAATCATGTTATTGCGGACTCAAAGAAATGGATTAAACCCAGTGGGGAAAATTGAGTGACTGATTAATAGGTGGGTTACATGTTAACTCAAAAATATTTGAAGCTGAAATAAAAGCAAGACTGTTAAAGCAGGTCAGACAACTAAATTAACGTTTCACCCTAGGACTGGGTTTTTCACAAGAGTGATTGCTAAGAGAAATTTCTTTTTATATTTATATATATGGAGTAATTATTTTTCATCTAATGCATTTTTAAAAAGTAGCTACTGGTGAAACTCCCTTAAGTTAAATAAAATGACTTCAGTTTGGTGTATATGAATTTTCCGAACCACTTTGAGGTGAAAAGCATTCATTCTATTTTTCCTGTCCGCTAAAGGTACAGCTATGCAGTGGCCCTACAACTGCTGGGTTTGGATGGTGGGACTGGGCCCAGTGATAGGGATCCTGTCCTGATGAGAGGGACCTACTTGTCCTTTCTGTATCTGCGCCACCTGCGAATCAGGGAGCTGCAGGTATGTGGATGGCATGGCACACTGGCTTCAGGCATCTGGAATGTTTGGTTGTCTACCAAGGTGGCTTTCCTGCTATTCCAGTAGCAACACATTTTTACACTTTGTTCTTTGTTCTGATTTTTCCACAAAATCAGGCCTTTCTGGGGGGTGGTGTGTTTCTCTCTCAGCAGTGGAGTTGACTTGACAACTTCCAGGGCCCCATTCAGTTTTATTCTGTTGTGTGGGGTGAGCAAAGGGCAGGGTCCTGACCTGGTCTTTCTCTGTTTCAGCGCACCTGTCTAGGAATTCTGAACTACTTCAGATCTGTTGAACGAACACTGACAATCAACACTTCAGGCCTTACCTTGGTTGCAGGGAGTCTGGTCCCTACCATAGAAGATAGCTCCTGGGTAAATAGGGCCACAGGAGGCTTGGGCACCTTGCAAGGCATAGGAGCTCACCACTATGTCCATGGGACAGCCACCGAGCACAAGGTGAGGTTAAGGTTCTGCTGAGAGTTTTTTCTGCCTTGGTTATCCTGTCTCCCAAGACACCTTCTTCTTAGCACCTGGAATCAGTTAACATGATGGAGTAACAGATGGGGGTTTCTTAGGGATATGGCTTTTTAGAAAAGTTCAGTGTCCACTTGAGAGTAGGACACAGGCAGAGAGGACTCTAACAGCAACCCTGGAGGCTGCAATAGGAAAGAAGGCATTTCAGCTAGGCCCCACCCAACAGCAAGGCACTAGGAAGTGCCAAATCATCTGACATATTTAATGTCTGTCTCTTTCCACTAAAGAGTTCCATGATGGCAGGGATTTGTGCCAATTTTGTTTACTGCTGTATCCTTAGTGCCTAGAACAGTGCTAGTAAATTCACTGATCAGAACATTTGTGGAATGAATGAGTGAATGAAGAGATGAATGAATGACAGGCTCACAGCCTGTGGGAGTAGATGAGCCAACAGTCTAGTATGGCCATGAGCTGAGTGCTATAATGGAGTTAGACAAGTCATGGGGAGAAGCACTCAGCTCTGCATGGAGTTGTAAGGAAGGCTTCCAGAGAGGTGTTATTAGAATGGACTCTCGATAGGGTAGGTACTTACCAAGGAAAGAGGAGGTGAGGGATGGAAGGGCCAGTATGTATGAGGCCCAGAGGCATGAAGAGCTCTGCCCATTCAGAAGAGGGCCAGGCCCAGGTCCATCAGGATGGACGTATGGAGACAGTGGAATGAAATGAGGTACAAGAGGTTGGCAGGGGCCAGATTGTGCTCAGCCTTGAAAAGTACACCTAGAAACTCCTAGATTTGTTCTAGTGAAAGCTAATAACAGCTTGGACTAGGATGGTGAGTGGTGGAGATGGAGAGAAGTGATGGATTTGAGAGATAGGAAGTCAAATTGACAGGAGTTAGTGATAGACTGGACATGTAGGGTGAGGCAGTAGGTGTCAGGAATGATTCATGCAAGAGGAAGTGGCTTTGTGGTGGTGATATTTACTAAAATGGGGAAGTTGGAGATGGCCTAGGTTTGTGGGAGAAGACCACATGATTTGATCATGTTAAATTTGAGGGGTCTTTGAGATGCCCAGGAACAGATGGCAAATAGGTCATTGGATATGTGGGTCTAGAGCTCTAGGAGGTCTGGATTACAGTTATCAATTAGGGAGTAAATGGTCCCTAATCTCAGCTGTGAAAGTGTACTATCTCCTAAGGAAGGAGTATAAGAGGAAAAGATGAGGCCCTAAGACTGGGGCTTAAGTGTGTCTACTATTTAATGACCTGACAGAGAAAAATACACCTCAGGGATGGCTGGAAAGCTGGTGAGAGCAAGGAGAATGTGGAGTCCCAGCAGGCCAGGGAAGTGAGTGAGTCAAGAAGCAGGGAGAGCAAAACTGTGTCACATGCTCCTGAGACATTACATAAGATGACTAAAGAAAGTCTGCTGGATGTGGAGAAAAGATCACTGTTTTTCTTAGTGAAAGTGGTTTGTTTTGATGGAGATAGGAGCTGGATGGGAATGAGTGAGGAGTAGGAGGTGAGGAAACGGGGACAGTGAATGCAGATCCCGTCTTGGGAGTTGGATCATAAGGAGGAGGAGAGACCAAAGATGGGACCTGGGGGGGGCAAGAGGGATGTGAGCATGTTTCAGTGTCAGTTGAGAAATAGCTGGTTGAGAGGAATTGGGTATCCAAGAAGGAGAAGGGATGCTTCAGAGGTGGGATGGAATGGCCACAGAGAAGGAGAGCAGAGTCATTCCCTATAGTACAGGAGGAAGCAGGAGGAGAGAGGCGTGGGTGCAGTGGCTTTATGGGGGCGGGGGTGGACAAGTGGTGGGGGGCTTCTGCTGAGACAGAGTGAAGACTAGGCGTGGGTTGGGGGTGAATTCAGAGTCTTGGCAAGGGTGAAGTTTGGAATTATGAGAATTATTATTAGAATAATGATTCTCAGGATGCAATAATTCCTCAGTCATTTAAGAAAAAGTGTGATTGGAATACCCAGATTACTTACATTAGTTTTCTAGAGCTGTCATATCAAAACACCACAAAGTGAGAGGCTCATAACAACTGGCAGAGAACTTTATTCTGTCATAGTTCTAGTTGTCACAAGCCCAAAATCAAGGTGTCAGCAGGGCCATGCTCCCTCTGAAGTCTCCAGGAGAAGTTCCTTCCTTGTCTCTCCTAGCATCTGGTCCTTGCTAATAATCCTGGGTGTTACATGGCATTCCTTGGCTTGTAGATGCCTCACTCCCATCTCAGTCTCCGTCCTCACATGGCCTTCTCCCCCATGTATCTATCTCCACATTTTCCTCTTTCTATAAGAACATCAGTCATTGGATTAGGGCCTCCCTAATCCAGTATGACCTCATCTTAACCTATATATATCTGCAAAGACTCCATTTCCATATCTGGTCACATTCACAGGTTTCAGGTGGACAGGAATTTTGGGGGGATGCTATTCAATTCAGTATATTACTAAGACATGAGATAGTATTAATGTATTCTTAAAGTATTTGTATAATTAAAATAAAAAATCTTCAACAGTTAATGTTTATAGATCTCAAGTGCTTCATCAGCACAGTGTCACATACTCCCTTTAACAACCTTTGTGGTATCTCCACTGTCCCCATGTTACGGATGGGGAAACAGAGGCTAAGAGTAGCTGAGTGACTTGCCTGAGACACAGGCACTCTGACTTCAGAGAACACCTATAACACTCAGCTCTATTGCCTGCCTTTTTCCAGGTAGCCCTGAATTAATCAGAAAGAACTTCATCAGCTACTTGTCTATCTCACCACCCTTCCCTGCCAACACTCTTTGCTAATATCTCCTTCTTTACATGCAGCGCTTTATACATGCGGCAGGTACAGCTCCATGCTGACAGCCCATTGCATGAGAGCAGAAGCCTGCCATTTGGGCTGGCAAAATATAGCTCTCCCTTCTCCGGTAACTTCTGGGTTCGGCTTTCTTTTCCCCAGGTCCACAGTGTCCAGTTCATGGAGTTCTCGGAAGTGGAGAACCAGGATGACTACTACAGCATGGACGCTGCTTGCCTCTACACGCAGGACCAGCGTGGAGTAAATATCATGTATGATGAAGCCTTGAGTGATCTGAAGGAGCTAGAGGCAGAACTGCTGCTTGTGGCCAGCCATTACATTGAGAAAGGAAAAGGTCAGAAGTCAGCCAGCCAAACAAACAATAAACACTAAGGGCTCCATTTAACACCTTCCACCTCAAAATATAAATGCATATCCAAGAGTATGTGAAAATTCAGTAAGCACATACACCTCCGCAATATATACCTTCTTTAGAAAAGATACGGTTCTGTTTCCAGCTCAAGTCCCTCTTCTTGTTGGAGACTGTAACTATTCTTTCAAAGCTTGATTATAATTCTTACTGTTGTTTAGACTCTACTCGTTCCTCAGTGGCATTTCTGCATTACTCACTGGGTGCAAGTGGTGTCATGCTGGGCCCTGAGGGAAGCAAAGTAAGCAAGTGAAGGTAATGATTTTTTTTCCCCTAAGTGACAAAAAAAAGTGATTGACCTTGGGCAGACAGCAGTTAGAAGCAGACACATCCCTGGGTTCCTGACAAAAAACCACCAGGACGCAAGAAGTTCTGGGTAGAAAAATGCCAGATAAGCACCAAAGGGAGAAATCATTACTCAGGGTAATCAAATAACCTATAATATGTATTCTCTACTTCCTTTTGGCACCACTCAAATGTATCCAATTTTAGAAATAGGTGAGGAAAGAATAATCCTTTTGGAATAATGTGACAACACCAGCATTATATTTGGAAAGAGCTTAAAATTTCTAGAGATATTGCAACACCTAAAGGGAAATTTAGCAAGGGCTTGTGCTATTTTGTAATTATGTAGATGGTAATGAAGAATCATTCCTTTTCATATTGATATAAAATGCTGCTCAAAGAACGTTTGACAATTAACCTTTCTGAGCCAGGCAGAATTAACTTAACGTTGGCTTGAACTCCTCTTTGCCACAGACCACTGGGTGTCTGAATCATGGGATGCAGTGATGGCATCCAACATTCTACAGCATTTAATTTCGGCTTTTGGCTTTTATCTTTACTGGTTATTCTACATACTAATGCATTGTTTCTATTGATATTCATTTGTAATCCCATGCAACCATTTCAAGCTGCTAAGAATTTAATTTGATTGAAACAGTCAGTAGTCATTAGCCACACAGCATCCTTCAACTGAGCTAGGAAGTATGTAGTCATCCATTGTGAAATGATTTCCCAACTGCTACTAGAGAAATTCCTGATCAAAGTCTTTCTCTTGTTCAGTACCCATCATACGTGTGATAATTCCTGAACTTAAAGTTCAGTCCCTGAAAATTTCCTTCTTTTTTGATATTTCGTTCTGAAATAGACCACTCAAAAATTAAAAGCAATAATCATGCTGATACTGAAAGTTAACATTAATGTAGTGGGAAAATATTTTAGCAGAATAATAACAATGATTACCTTTGTTGATTTCAGTTAATAATTAACATAATTAAGGAATATCTTAGAAACTTCTCTAAAGAGTTTTTCCTTGGCTAGCATCATTTGAAATAGCAGGTTAAACTAGGTTTATTGTTAAACCACCGAGGACCTGTTTTTAGAGAAGGAGAAATGTATGTTTTGCCTTTAAATTATAGGTCTGAGGACATTTTAGTGAAGATTTCGTATTAACTGAATTTTGGTTACATTTCTAAAATTAGTCTTTAAAACTAAAATTAAAGAGTAAAAACAAAAACCTCTACTGACTTAGAAGTCAACAAGTATGTCCCAGTCTTTGCCAATGGCTCTCCAGCTGATTCTTAGGAATCCCTGTGACTGTATCAGTGTTTTCATTCCTGAGATGGAGCTGACAGTTGAAGGGCTGCTTTTCTAATAAGAATAGCTTTGTGGAAAGGCCTGTCTCTGGTCATTCTCATCCCCTTCTCTCCCAGGTCACAAAGAGGGCAACGAGTCAAATACTGGCCAGGACTGGGGATGGGCCCATGCAAGTGTGGATAGATTTGCTGTGCTGTATGACATGTGGACTTGGGAAGCAGCCCTTCTAGAAAACAAGCGTCAGGTATTTTTCCCTAGAAAACAAAACATCTGTTAAACATTCTTACAAAACCCAGTACTGAAAAAACAAAAACGAAAAAACTCAGTGGGTCTTTTAGGGGTCTATTAGGCTCCTAATAAAGTAAATAATTATTTTATTTAAATCGTCTCAGCTAGTTGTAAGGATGTGAATAATACATTTTATTTTCTTTACTGTGGTTCCTTTTAATAAGAAATAAAATGGGAAGGATACCTCTTTATCTTACAGGCATAATTTGTTAGAGGGCTGTATAATTTAGGCTTTTATGTGTGTGTTTAGTGAGAATGCGTGATGGTTCCATTCACATTCATTGTCCTGTCAGGGACAAACCTCACTCTGTGAAACACAAACTGACCTTGTTAGAGTCTTTAGAAATACACCACACGGGGGGCAAGCAGTTGGGCAAGGTATGTGCTCAGTGCAGCAAGTTCTGAGGGTAAGTTTAAAGCAATGAAACAGAAGTTTGCTAAATTCATCATCATATCATCAATGGCTTATATCCTAGTAATAAATGAAACACTGCTCTTCATTTGTGTCCTTGGCATGGATTATGAACCCCTCTGATGATCACCAATTGTTAGGAGTTTATTCATCAAACATTAAGTATCTACTCTGCACCAGGTACTATTCCAGACATTAGGAACCTATGGATAAATAAGAGAAGATAATCTGTCTTTAAGGAATTTCTAGTCTATAGAAGTTGATCCAATCTCTTAAGTAAAAATTACAACCCAGTGACTAACAGCTTACAACTGAGGCACATGCAAGATCCCCGGAGACCACAGTGGAGGGAGCGATTTGCCCTGTGGGGGGCTATCAGAGTAAAGGCAATGTTGGCAAATCTTCTCAGAGGAGTAGATATTTAATCCTGTTCCTAAGAGATGAGGAAGATGTTGTCGGTCAGAGAAGGAAAAAATTCTTAAGTGGAGGAAACTGCATTAGCGATGTCAGGGAGGTATAAAATGGGGATGGCGAGTTTGGGGAACAAGAAGGCTAGTATGACTAGGCGCTAAAGGCATGATGAGAAACGAGCTGACTATGTGTTTGGGTGCAGCTGTGAAAGGCCTGCTAATCCATGCTACATTTACAGTGTATTTTATAAGCAAAGAAGAGCCACTGGTGAGTTTCAGGAAGGGAGAAATACGATCATGGCTCTGTTTTCAACAGCTGCTCGGGTATTAGTGTGGAGAATGGATTGGATAGAGCTCCTGCAGAGAACAAGTGCCCTTATTGCAACAGTGACCCGGAGAGGTAGGAGGGGACCTACACCAAGGATGGAAGAGTCAGAACAGGAGGGAGGGGTAAACTCGAGAAGTCTTTGTAGAAGTGGACATGGCAGGATTTGAAGACTGGATGGTGGGGTGAGAGAGTAAGGAATTAAAAATGACTTTCTTAGGGTCAGGGAGGAGGCTACTAACTGAAATGGAATGCAGGAGGAGGGGCACTTTAGAGGGGAAGATAGTGCTGAGTCTGTGGCAACAAGCATGTGAGGAGAGCTTGCTAAAACAGGTGTGACTGTTTTGTGGGAGCTGGAGGTTTGAAGGTCAGGAGCAGGTATGAGCTGAGAGTGAACATTGAACCACAGTAATGAATCAAATGACTAGGAAAAGCCAGAGATGTCTGAGATGCAGCCCTGGGTAACACTTAAATTGTAGGGGAAGGTCCTAGAACAAGAATCCACAAGAGGAGTAAGAGGAAGCCAAAGAAACTGGAGAAAAAAGGAAGGAATAGTGTGATGAAAGCCACTAGGGGGAAAAAAAACCATTTTAACCAACTGAGCCACCCAGGCGCCCAAAAAAAAACCATTTTAATTAGGAGAGGATAGTTAGTAGTGTGGAGTGCAGCAAAACATCAAGAAAGATGACGCCTAAACACCAGGCAGTGGGGTCAGTCACCAGGGTCATTGCCAGGTTCATAGGACTCTCAGAAGAGGTATGGGGGTGGAAGCCACCTTACAGCGCACTATGATGTGGTCAGAAGATGGGGAAGTGGAAATGTTTTCTTTGAACTGTTTTTCTAGTAGATTAGATGGTTTACCATTTCGTCTACTTTCTGGTCTATTACTCATAGAGATGTAGGTCACCCAATTTTTGAAAACACCTGGCTGGGCTTAAAGGGTGGGAGCCTTGGGCTTTGAATACTGTTCCTCTTTTCAAGGGGAACTGGCCTTTACAGAGTTTGCATCTGCAACCTTGATCTGCCAATTAGAAACTTACTTTGATCAACTAAGTGAGAGATCTAGACTCAGAGTGTAATAATTGAAAAGGCTACATTAAAGGTAAATAAGACAGAATCCCTAAACTCAACAAGTTTGTTGGTCCAGACATGAGTTTTAAACAGCCCCCCTTTTCTGGACTCTCTCTCCCCACCTTCCCTTTCAGTGCTCCTAGGCCTCCTATGGAGGCCTCGGACAGGACTCAATGGCAATAGAAGAATAGAAGGGCAAAGAGGACTGAAAAACAAACCAATTTCTCTACACTTTGGCCCATGCTTCATTCTGTGCTAAACTACCAGGGCTGTCCACTAGTTTCTTCTACGGTAAATGAAATTATTTTAACTTAAAAAAAAAAAATCATTGGGGCGCCTGGGTGGCTCAGTCGTTAAGCATCTGCCTTCGGCTCAGGTCATGATCCCAGGGTCCTGGGGTGGAGCCCCACATCGGGTTCCTTGCTCGGCGGGAAGCCTGCTTCTCCCTCCCCCACTCCCCCTGCTTGTGTTCCTGCTCTCGCTGTCTCTCTCTGTCAAATAAATAAATAAAATCTTAAAAAAAAAAATCATTGAATATGTCTCCCTCCTTCCTCACCCTGACAATAAGTTCTCTATAGAAACTGAGCTATCTGTGCCAAAACTGTAAAATGTGGCCTTCTAAATCAGAAATTCTGTCAAAAGAGCCTATTTTTAATGGATAAACCATATTTTTATCTAGAGTACAATTGATTTCTCCCAGTACTGATTCTACTGCCAAGTTTGCTCAGCTGTTTTTGATTGTTAAATATATTGGAATCACTAGAGTTAAGAATTGTTCAAACACACTGGGTTGTCTTAAATCCTTAAGGTAACCATATTATGTATAAATGTTCATAAAACTAGAGCTGATGTGAATTTAAGTGGATTAAGGAACTCTTAGAGAAGCCAGGCATCAGCTGTACAGGCCGCTAAGTGACACGTGCCCCAAATGCTAATTCTGTCTACAGCCACCAGAGGACACATTTTTGGGGTAGTTTGAATTAGTGTTTGGAGCACTAAAAAAAAAAAAAAAAATCTGACAAATTGTGCCTAGCATTGATTTTCTGTTTTGCACTTTCATTTGACCTAAAATGCTATTTTTTTTAAGTTTCTTAAGTCTCAGAAATATAAAAAGTTTGAGGTAAAAATAATACAAACACAGGTTTGAGATTATTCATTTTGACTTCTTTTTTTTTTCTATTTTCTCCAATATTTGAGACCTCCCGTCAGTGTGTACCACATATTATTTTGCCTGAGAGTTGGCCCTTGACACACACAGGTGACATTTGACAGGCTAGGAAGATTTCTTAGACAAATACCAGCCCAGAGTTTAAATGGAAATGGGCCAGTTAGCAAACAGATCATAAATAGAACTTGTAAGGCGGAAAGATCATGGTCTTACCCCCTGTTGGGAAAGAATTAACAATACAATTATGCAAGGGCCCATCTGAGAGCATCTCGAGGTTGAGGCCAATGCTTGAGAAAGCCTTCTCAGTGTAAAAAGAGAGCCACTTTTTACCTTTTCAAAAGCTAGGGCTGCCAAGTAAGATATGACAATATCTGGGACATAATTATACTAAAAAAGTTGTTGTTTATCAGAAATTCAAATGTACTAGATGACCTGTATGTTTTTTGTTAAATTGGGCAATCCTATGAACAACACAAGTGAGCTTGGCATTTTAGTGCCAACCTCTGCAACCTGGTATCAGCAGATTGAAATCACTGGCAAGAACCCTCCCCCATGAACTTCTGCCAAATAGCCAAACAATAGGACTCTTTGTACAAAAAAAACAGGTCAAGGCATACAAATACTATAAACCGGCTCCTGGGATTGCCTTGGCCCAGTCAAAAAGGCTCAAGTTAGTCCAGAATGATTTAGGGAAGTGATTGTTTCTTTCCTAATCTCCCCCCCTAGGCTATTGAGTGACACCGGTCTTACCTATCACTCCTTCATTTCTGCTTTGTCTTCTACTATTTAATAATTGAATGCTATTCTAGAGTAGAGCTCAGTGGAGGGAACAGGTAATTTAGACCACCCTGCTTGCTTCATAGGCCTGGCAATCTCCACCTTCCTTCATTTCGCATTCTGAGATATGTGAGTTTCTAACCTGTGGAGCGAGTTGTGTGTTCTGAGCTTTTGGCCTCCTTTAGTGTTTTCCTTTTTGTGCTAAGGTTGACCTAAGGTCCCTTAGACCAATGTTTCCCAAAGGGTATCCTGCAAAACCCGATGCTAAATAAAGTGCCCGAGGCTCTCCGTCCTTGTGCTTTAGCATTGAAGGCCAGATACTGGACATCTGTTAATAAGGCAGTATTTGATTCCTGGTCTGCTATTGATTCTCGAGTGTTTACCTCATTTGGGAGCCTTGGAAGCCATGAATGGCAAGATGGAGACACTCCTGGCTTTTCCTGCCACGTGGGTCCTTTACTCCCCTTTGCCTCCTGCACTGTTGCCATCTGTATTCAAGTGGTGCTTGCACCTTCTCAGTTCTTTCTGGTTTTGCATTCTTAGCTCTGGACTCCACACAAAGAGAGGGGCTTTTATCTCCTTTTAGGAAATTTCTTAGTTTGTTAAGATGAGGGCTGATTTCCTGGCCTCAAGCCACTGGGAAGACCAACACCCAAGGAAACAAGACACACTCTTTCTCTGATGCACGTCAGAGTGTGCTAGGCTGTCAGGTTGGTAGAAATTGCAACCTCAACAATTCACTCCTTGCTGCCAATTAAATGCACACACTGGGCAAGCCTATGTGACTTTGGTAATAAGGCTACAATGACAGCTGACACCTTCCAGAAGAGTAAAGCCTCCATAAGAGGAGCTAGTGAAAGAGGACTGGGGAGGGATCTCTTGATCTAAACCCTGGAGGGAGGATGTGTTGGATTAGATCCGCAGAGGAAAGGAATTTGTTCTGTTGTGAAATGAATGGAATAAAGCCTCAGAAGCTTCCAGTCAGAGCCGATTTATCCATCAGGCAATGTGGACTCAGTGTTTAGGATCTAAGAGCTTTGCAGGTACCACTGAAAATGTTTGCAATTTGAGGAAAAACACATGCATTACTCCGAAATATGAAAAGAAAATAAAAAATTGTTATCAATAAATGCTTAATTACATGTCAGTAAAATGTAAAAACATTGTAACTGAGCACTTATAAACCTCTCATTGCATTTGAAAATTTATAGCTCAGATCTTCTCACTTCATAAGAACCTCTGAGTATATACTGCCCAGAAATCAGAGCCAATCACTAATTCAATGTGTCGCTTGTAGCCAAATAACTTGAAAAGCAAAATTATGAATATCATTTAACATTTTTACAGGAAAGAATTTGATTGAGATGTGAGCACGTCTTAATGTATTTGATATAATGTGGGACAGGCCTGAACAGTAGTTACACTGTTCAGAACTGCTTATCTTGCCCTTAGGTCCCTGTTTGGGATTCCAGCTCAGTGATCTCTGAAGAGCATTTTTCCGATTAGCACCATGACTAATTACACAAAAACAGAATTTATACACAGAACATAAATTCTTAAGGTCACAGACAAATGTAAAAGCAAAATAAAGAGCATCTTTCTCTGAATTCTCACACTGAGAACCCTCTTCAATGGTTACTGGGTTAGTGTCTGGGAGTTTTCTTTGGTTTTTAGAAAAGGTTTGTGACCTCCACTAGAAGGGAAACTCCCTCGATGCCTTTGAGAGTTCTGTACATGAAGCCCTTCCTAATAGAGTCCTGTCTGGGATAAATGCCTTTGTAGTTAGGGGACTTTCACCTCAGTCTTCCATTCTACCACGCCCTATCATTTCTAGGTGAAATTTGGGCAGACTATTAAAGAAAAGGGGTCAGAAATGGAGCTGAGGATAAGAAGAGGGGAGGAGGGTCACCAGGGTGGCTCAGTCGTTAAGCGTCTGCCTTTGGCTCAGGTCATGATCCTGGGGTCCTGGGATCTAGTCCCGCACCCGCTGAGCAGGGAGCCTGCTTCTCCCTCTCCTTCTGCCTCTCCCCTGCCCCCTGCTTGTGCGCTTGCTCTCTCTCTCTCTCGCTCACTCTCTCTCAAACAAATAAAAATATATATTTTTTAAGATTTTATTTATTTGACAGAGAGAGTCACAGCGAGAGAGGGAACACAAGCAGGGGGAGTGGGAGAGGGAGAAGCAGGCTTCCCTCAGAGCAGGGAGCCTGATGCGGGGCTCCATCCCAGGACCCTCGGATCATGACCTGAGCCAAAGGCAGACGTTTAATGACTGAGCCACCCAGGTGCCCCAATAAAAATATTTTTTTAAAAAGAGGGAAGGAAGCCACCTGCCTACCCTTTCTGTCATTCACTCTCTCAAATAAATAAAAATACTAAAAAAAAAAAAAAAAAAAATGAGGGGAAGAAGCCACCTGCCTACGTTTGGTGATGGAGTAAAATGGGAGCGGGAGAATGAGTCTTCGGAGAAGGGTGTTGCAGATAAATATATTTGATGAAGTGGCGTTGCATGCACTGTCTCATTGGAGCTTATAACTATTAGATGTTATATTATTCATTATATACCCCCTCTTTTATTTGTGGAGAGCAGAGGAAGAGGGGACACAGGCAAAACTAGTGTTCCTTCCTTTGCCCTCCCTACCTCTGTGGGTTTACTAATGACCCTTGGGTTGCCCTGGTGCTGCAGCTGCCTGCACCAGGCTGGTACCCGGAGGGTCTGAGCCATCTCTCTCCTGCTGATGCTCCAGGGCTTTCCAAAGCATGGGGGATGGGAGGCTCACCTCTCTTTGCTGGAGCCTAGGGCTGCCTCTGCTGTTCCCTGACTATAAACCTTATTTGCAGCTTCTTGACTGTTACTTTGAAGCCTACCAGCACGTTCTGGACCCTGAGGAGAGGTTTGCCTTAGCACAAGTGATCACTGACATCATGCACAGGCGCCCAAGGTTTGATTTCAGCCACCCTTACTTCATTAAGGCCTACCGAGATGAATGCACCTGTCTGAGGCTTCACTTGCAGCTCGTGAGGGGCATCCTCAATCAGCACGTAAGTACAATTGGATTTTAAAATATTACATGCGAGGGCGCCTGGGTGGCTCAGTTGGTTAAGCGACTGCCTTCGGCTCAGGTCATGATCCTGGAGTCCTGGGATCGAGTCCCGCATTGGGCTCCCTGCTCAGCAGGGAGTCTGCTTCTCCCTCTGACCCTCCCCCTCTGATGCTCTCTCTCTCTGTCTCTCATTCTCGCTCTCAAATAAATAAATAAAATCTTTAAAAAAAAATAAAAAAAATAAAAAATAAAAAATAAAATATTACATGCGAGAAGACAATGGAAAACCCAGGCCAGAACTGAAAAGTGTTTTCCTTTCACTGCGCATTCAGAATCCAGGTTTTCTAGGGCAGCATGTACAGCATGTTTATTTGTAAGCTCATTTGCATCGTTGAATTCCAAGCATAACTATGGTCTTTAAAGGAAGTTTCCAACCCTAATTACATTTAATGGTCCACAAAAAATAAAAAACTTATTTTCACTAGATGATCGAGTTTATTGGTATTGAAAGGAGGATGAAACATACCCCTTTACAAGCCATTAATGTATAAAGTTATGTTTATTATTTTTTTGTGGCTATTTTTAGGACACTGAAGGAAAAAATTACGTGTATGTCCTCTGGGGGAAAAGCTAGGGGCAGGAAGTAAGCAGGAGATAGACTGTTGCAGTGCATTTACCTTAGACCTGGTTAGAAGTTTTCCCTTGTAGTCCATTATTTGACAGAAAGAAGTTTTCCTATGCCTCTTAATATTGTCTGAATTTGGTCGCCTTTGCTTTTATTGGCTGACCCTTGGCTCAGACTGAGAGACAGTGTGTCTTCGTGTAAATGGATCCTCAAAACCGTGTCTGGGTGAAAATTAGTCAAATAATGAAGGGACACAAAGGACGGCTGTTCTTCTCATACTAGGGCTCATAATTCACATCCATGGGCAAGTTTAACTTTTCTAATTTTAACTTTTATGTTACATTTTTAGATAGAGTGTCAGCGGGAGTATGTCCAGAGGCTTTGGCAGGAAGGCCGTCCGGATGATAGCAGTAACTTTGGGCTTCCCCTTAACATAATTTGCAAACAACTTGTTTCCATCAACAATAGCTGGTATGGTGGCATTGTCTTCAGACATTTTACATTTAATCTTTTAAGTTAAGGTATGGTGTTAAGTTTAAATACTCCTCTATAAAGTACCTCTCAAGTATTTGGGAAGATGAGTGAAGTAGATATAAAAGCCCCAGAAGAGGGATTTTCTTGCATACTCAGTATCCATTTGCTTTGTAAGTAATAAAGAATAGGAGGCTAGAATTAAAGTTATACCACCAGGTGTAGAATCTGTATTCTCTTGAGAAGTTCTATTAAAAAAAAAAAAAAGCAGTTACTCTTAAAATGCCATCAGAGGGTTTAATCAGAGGTGCCACATAAGCCAATGTATATGACACTCGGATGTGCTTAAAAGTTTCTTAAGAAATCTATTTATTCTAGTAAGTGTCACCAAAAAGGTTTCTGCAGACTCACCTTGTGACCCTACCCCTTTAAGGAACAAATTAAATTTCCCGAGATCACTCAGAGAAGGTTCATACTTTAAGTCACCCCCTTGACATGTAGTTTGAACCCCCATTCCTTCCCAGCCTTTAAGGGTAGTGAGGGAATCGGCAAGTGGGTGACAAGCCCCAGGCTTGTCTTCAAATGGGTAGAGAAATTGTCCAGCTCCTTTCAACATGTAACAAGTATCTGTTGAGCAGCTATAGGCCCCAGGTACTGTGCTAGGAGGTGAGGACACAGTTGTGAACAACAGAGGCATGGCCCTGCACTCCTGTCAAGTGCACACTTTCAGTAGGACATTGCCACACTGGCTATGAAATCCTCTTGGGGACCAGCAGGATGCCATGGGATTTCCTAGCTTACATTTAACCTTATCCCTTGAGAAAGAGCCCTGGGAGTTCCAGGCACAAGACAGCATGTTCTCCACAGACCTTTTTCAGGACTGATTTCTTCACTGTAATAAGCTTGAGACATCAGCTGTGTGTGTGTGCGGCTGACTATGTATGGCCAGACTCCACTGTTCAGGAAATGGTTTTTTGGCAGAACATGCTAGGATTATATGGATACCAAGACCTGACAGAATAGTCTCAAAAGCAAATGTTATTTGCTTGATGAGATTCCTTTCTAACCTTAGGGTTGTATTTTTTAAGATTTAGAACAAAGAAAAACCCATTTGCCTAGGTTTAAGAAGTTATTTATGCTCTTTAGTTCGATGTAGGTAGAAAAAGGCCCTTGACTTGTGCTGTATCCTCTCTTTTCAAAGGAATACCGACAGACAAGCATTTTCTCATTTCTGGTCTCATCCATTTATAAAATAGAACATTCTTATGGCAAACATGAATGATTCTAGCAGTTGTGTACAGAGTTTAAAATTTGTCTCTGTTTATTACCATTTTTTGGGAAAAGGATAAAGACTCAGGGAAAAAATAGAAACCAATCATGGAAATTATTTGTTTAATATTTTTATTTTTAAGTTATATTTTCAATTTTAAGTTATTTTGTTTTCAAATATTTGACTAAATGCCAATTATTGGAATGCTTACAGGTTTGCCATATACAGTTTAAGAATCAGATTGGACTTTTAGGAATAAACTCTTACAGCTTCCAATTTTAAAGGGGTTCATGTTAAAGCAAAGAGCATGTTGTATAATCTGGTGGAGTCTGGATGGCCTCTTTGGCCCCTTTGAACTCCTAGTTTTTTATAATGCCCTGGATTATAGCAGCTGTTTTATTGGTTTTAAAAAATGAAAAATTCAAATATCTTTTGAAATAGATTAAGTTCTTCATTGTGTAAAATTGTCACTGATGGATTCTCTTTTTAAGCCCAGCTTTGAAAAACATTTATCTGCTGGAGTTCCACCCTTCCCTGGGTCTCGCATCACTCATCCCCCAATCCCTTGAGTACCTCCTCCGGGAGGCCCGCCACACCTGCAGACCCACATCCGTCAGCAGCCTCACCTTGCTGGAGAGACGTGTGCTGCAGCTGGCCCTGGATGTGTGGCTCACACCAGCCAGGCCCGAGTCCTGGTACAGCACTCAGCTCCAGAGAGATGTAGGTTCTCTGAAGAGGGTTGGGGAGGGGGCGTTCCTTGGCAAAGAGAATGTTTCCACCCAGATGTTACTACTTAGCTTTATTTTTCTGTTTGGCTCTGTTCCTCCCCTGTTTGGCCAGAGACAGATCATAGTCCTAGGCCTTGCCAACATTTTTATGTAATTCTTTTTTCATTTTTGGTTAAAGTTTCCTCTTTATCAGGATACTGCTACAATTAGAAGGGAGATGGGTATGTGGTATGTGGGTAATAGGTATGTGGGAAATGTTTTTTGGCTTATTTTACATATAAATATATATATAATATATATATATTTTGGGCGCCTGGGTGGCTCAGTTGGTTAAGCGACTGCCTTTGGCTCAGGTCATGATCCTGGAGTCCCGGGATCGAGTCCCGCATCAGGCTCCCTGCTCGGCGGGGGGTCTGCTTCTCCCTCTGACCCTCCCTCCTCTCATGTGCTCTCTCTCTCATTCTCTCTCAAATAAATAAATAAAATCTTAAAAATATATATATATATATTTTAACAACATACATTTTTAATTAAAGTTATATATTTTATTTCCACTGAGACTCTTCCTGAAATTCCCTCTTTTTGTCCTGAGCTGAGATCTGGTAGAGGAGAGAGAGGGCTAAGTGAGGAGTCAGGGACCTGGACTCAAGTTCAGCCCTGCCATTAATTTCCTGTGTGACTCTAACAGGTCTCTTAGCCTCTCTGAGCTTCCCTTTCCTATTTTCTAACATTATGTTTGTGTATTTGAGGGGAGGGGGGTGGAAGTGAGCTTGATGGTCTCTAAAGCCCATTTCAACTCTAATGTCCTATGGCTCAAACTGTGGCCTAATGATTTACATGGTATTTGTAGTTAGATTTTAATTCTTTCCTTTTTCTGTTAAGGCTATCACAGTTGAGCCTGGGGTTCCAATTTGACCTTACTCTGTGTGGGTACATGCTGAATGATGAAGAAACTTTCAAGGGCCCCAGCTGCCAAAAATATCCCTTCCATGTGTCTGCCTTGGCCTCCTATTCCCTCTTGCCCAAACTAAAATTTTATTTTACTTTAATTAGTTTTAAATTGATCAAAATAATAAGAATTTTAGCAAAAGAAGAAAGCAAAAAAAAAAAAAAATTACCCTAAATATAATCACTCAAATGCATTCACAATAATTATTTTTTCTGAATTCAAGTCTTCTTCAAATGCATGTTTTACATAGTTATAATCATATCCTTCATATCCTATCCCCTGTTTTCCTCAGTTAACATTGTATTATATATTTTTCCATATTGCTAACTAGTCTTTATACTCAACCTTTATGAGTATAATTCCCTTAAGGGATGAATCATAACTTATCCAACTATTTCCCTATTGTTGGACATTCAAGTAGTTCCTAATTTTTCATTATTATTTAAAATGTTATGAGGTACATCTCCATGCTTACAGATTTTTCCATATTTTAAATCAATTCCTTTCAATACATTCTTAGAAGTGGAATTACTGAAACAAAATTTAAGTCTTTGGATGCAAGTTGGCATATTGAAATGCCACCAATAATTTATAAGAGTATCAATTGTACTACATTGTACAGTATTAGGTATAAGTATATAATGTCTATATATATTTATATAAAAATAAATAAATCTCTCTCTGTATATAACAGTTGGCATTGCACTGTTAATTTTCATTTCCTTGGTATTTGTTGAGACTAAATATCCTCCTAAATGTCTTGTTACAAGCTGTATTTTTTGTGACTCTTCTGTTCTTTCCCTTTATCTCTTAGAATCCTAATGCCATTCCTATCCACTTACATGAGCTCTCTTAAATGAAAACTTTAACCCTTTTGTCTACCATATTTTCTGCAATATTTCTCCCAATTTGTCTTTTTATTTTTTAACTTTATTTTCATATAGTAAAATCTGTTGATCTTTTTCTTTGTGATTTCTTCTATCTTCCTAAATCCAGAAAGCAAATCTTTTCCCACATGTCTTATGTCTTACTTTTTTATAATTTCTTAAGGCTTTGATTTCATTTTAAAAATATTTAACTTCTTTAGTATTCTACCTGGAGAGAGAGAGAGAGAGAGAGAGAGAGGAGGGTATGAAGTGTGGCTCAAAATTGAATTTTTTCCAAAATTACCAGTCATGTATCTTACTACCACTTATTGCAGATTCTTTTCACATTGTATTATGGTACCAGATCTTTTAAATGTACTTTAAATTCTCTTATAACTCATAGTGAATATTTAAGATACTTGTCTAGTTTCCCATTGATGCCATGCCAGTTTTAATTATTCTTATTTTCAAAATGTGTTCAAATTTGTAGCCAGAAATGATAAATCCTCAGATTAACCTTTTGTATTAGGCCGAAAAATGGGGCAGGTATTGCCCTCAGAAGACATGCAGAAATTAGTTTAATACATTTCTTTATCATTTGGAAGACTTCAAGGATCGAGAAATTGCATCTTCGAGTAGAACAAGCCTGTGTAGATAAGTGGACAGATAAGGGAGCTTGTGCACCCCCAGGGAGCCAAGCCAGGAAAGGCAGATGCGGGGGAGGCCCCAAACTGGGTCCTTGCTGGGAGTAAGTGAAAGGATAGCAGAGATGTCAGAGCAGAGGAGCTGACCGTGGCAGGAAGGAGTTAAAGAACAATGAGGTTATTTAAAAAATTGCCCAGGGCTGGCTCTTCCATGAGGAGCACTATAAAGGCAGTTTAGCATACTGTAAAACTACTGAACTTGGAATTAGGAAGCATAAGTTTACCCTTGGTACTGCTGTGTGACCTTGGAAAGTTTCAGTGTTGCTTCAGATTTCTCACCGATGAAATGGAAATCATGGCGTCCGTGATTCCTATTTCATGGGGATCTTGTGAAGATAGAAATGAGGTAATGTATGTGAAAACACAGGTGCCTGGGTGGCTCAGTCGTTAAGCGTCTGCCTTCGGCTCAGGTCATGATCCCAGGGTCCTGGGATCGAGTCCCACACTGGGCTTCCTGCTCGGCGGGAAGCCTGCTTCTCCCTCTCCCACTCCCCCTGCTTGTGTTCCTGCTCTCGCTGTCTCTCTCTGTGTCAAATAAATAAATAAAATCTTTAAAAAAAAAAATGTATGTGAAAACACTTTGAAATTTTGAAACTGCAGTTAGAAGAGTTTATAGGAAATTATTATTATTATTGGCCTCTAAAATACTTGGAAAATATCAGGGACTTCTTCTATTCTTTATTTTGGCTTAAAATATTTATAATAATGATAACAGCAAATACTATGTACCAGGCACTTTTGTATGTATTAACTCACTTAACTCTCTCAACAATCCTATTAGGTAATTTTTATCTACTTGTTCCTCTTAGCTACTGTGACTATTCTTATCCCCCCTTTACAGATGAGGAAAATGAGAGATAGCAAAATTTCACAGTTTATAAGCAGCAGAGCTAGGACTTGAACCCAGGAAATCTGGATCCAGAGGCTGTGCCACCGAGACTGTTTTTCTTAATATGTGAACTTTCTTTTTTTTAGATTTTAAAAAGTGCTTTGTTTTCTTTCAGCTGTTTTCAGCTAAAGTAATGGGAGATCCCTTTCTCCTAGAAGAGATAGGTCTGCTCGCACTCAAGACTGCAGCAGACAAAGGAGAGAACCAAAGCCAAGATTCTCCTGTGCTGCTCCTGGAGACATTTTCCAAACTTCTAGAACTTCTGACCCTCCGCCACCGGCTGATAGAAATGAGTCTGGAGAGTGTACATTTAGCTCGGTCAGTAGGGGGACTGAGGATCCAGATGGGGGAGAACAGACCACAGGTTTCCCTGTCTACAAGTCTTGTTCCCTCTGTGCCCCAGGGCAGCCAGAGTGAGCTTTCTAACTGGCTGAAATGACCACCTTGCTCCCTTGTTCCGTCTTCACACAAGCCTCCCTATGTGCCTCTCTGACCACTCAGCGAGGCTAGGCCCTCCTCTTGGCACCCGGGCTTCCTCTCCATTCGGTACATTACCTTTCAGTTAAATGCTTGATACTGGTTTATCAGTTTTCCTGCTGGTGTCAGCTCACTGATTGCAAAAACACTGTCCATGTTGTTTCCTGTGGTGTCCCATCACCTGGTATGAGGCCTGACCTACACGGTCGCTCTGAATATTTACTGGATTTGCTCTTAACTATGATGAAGTTGAATAGCAGAGCAGAAGCAGTAGAGGACTAGAGAGAGGAGGGGAGGAGTCAGTGACAGTATTCAGGCCTGACAGAGGTTTGGAAGGCTCAACAGGTAGGGAGAGACAGAGAGGTTTTAGGTATGAATGTGAGGTGATGGGAAGACATCCAAGTGGACATGTTCTAGAAGCAGGAAAGCTGTGGAATTAAAGGGTCAGTTGCAAATATGTATGAGTTCTGTTATGTTCTAGTCCTCATGAGAGTTGCCCTAAAGACCTAAAGGGCCCAATCATCTACCACCAACCATTACCGAGAGTCTGCTATGGTTAGGGTCTGTCCTGGGGACTTGATGTGTATTCATTCATTTAATTTCCAGAATATCCTTAAGAGGATCCTTACTAATATTTTACCAGCAAGGAAGTAGAGGCTCAGAAGGTTAAGTTATTTGCCTAAGATCACATAACTAGAAAGTAGTAGAAGCAGAATTCAAACTGAGTTAAGATATTTATTAACTTTTATGATACTACCTCCCCATAATTTTTGATCCTTGTTCTCAGGGAGCTCATTAAAAGTTAGTTCTACTACAGTTTAATATATTTTAGTCATACAACCAAAATACTATGGGAACTCAGAAAATGGAGCATTTCATTCTCTGTAAGTGGATCAAGGGAAGCTTCATAAAAGAGGCACTGTTGAGGGATGAACTGTGTTCCCTGACAGGTTTATATGTTCAAGTCCTAATCCCCAGTGCCTCAAAATGTGATCCCATTTGAAGGTAGGGTCTTTACAGAGGAATGGAATGATTAGGGTGGGCCCTCATCCAATATGACTGGTGTTCTTAGGAGGAAACTTGGACATAGATACACCAGAAGAAAGATGATGGGAAGACACAGGCAGAAGACGGCCATCTATAAGCCAAGGAGAGAGGCCTGGAATGGATCCTTCCCTCATGGCCCTCAGAAGGAACCAACCCTACCAACACCTTGATCCCAGACTTCTAGGCTCCAGAACTGTGAGACAAATCTCTGTTTATGGTACTTTGTTACAGGAGCCTAGCAAACTAACAGAGGTGCCATTTGAATTCAGCCTTAATGTACCAACTTCTCAAAATGGAGAAATGTGTTAGAGAATGTGGGTGTGAGAGGAGGGGTGGTGGGAAGACATTCTAGACTCTTAAGGCTGAAATGCCAGAGGGGCGTCTGAATGGAGCCTTGCTCCAAGCCATGTAAATGTGAGATCAGAGCTCAGATTTGGGACAAGACAGAGATAGGGCCACAGGTTCTTATAATAGGGGGTGATCATTAGGGTTCAGGGTTGGAAGATGAACACCCCAAGGAGGGGACAGAGAAGATAAGAAGAAGACCAGGTTTGGAACCCCAGGAAATACTAGGATTTGAAAATAAAGAGGAAGAGAAGCCAGTGAAGACTGAGAGATAGTGGTCATGAGGCAGAAACATGGAGATCCTGGATCCAAGAGAACAAAGATGTTCCTCAAAGAGAGGATGAGGCCAGCTGCAAAGAGCTCTGAGAGAAAATAGCCTTGTATTGAAAGCAGTATTGGTGACCCCATGAGCACTCTGAGGACAAAAGCCAACTTGCAGGAAATGAGAGTTGAGGAAGTACCCAAGCACATCTCCTACTTTAACTTCTATATTTAACTGTCTGTCATAATGTAGAGTGGATGCAAGACCTTTGTGACTCATTCACTTTATACTGGACTTGGCTTACTCTTGTTTTGACTTTTGCTTTTGTGCTTATTCAGATTTTTTGGGTTTTCTTACCACTTACTTTTCTTTTAGTGGAAAATAATAGTAAATGCTCTTGGTTCTTTATCTACCCCCCCCCTTTTAGTCTCTATAAGGAATTGGCATGGGAGATGGGTTTTGAAGAGTTCCATTTGTATCTGAGACCTGTTCACTTTGAATTTGCACCACTCAAAGAAAAAGTGGACCGTCCATATCCTGTCTTTATCACCTCTCTACTGAAGGACAGTGATCAAGTGGACAGGTGAGCCTTGAAAAGTTCAAAGTAAAAATAATGTAGTGGTAGAATGAACAGCCAGTGAAAAATAATTTCTATCACCACTGGACACACAAATACAATTTTATATCTGAATTCCCTCTCTTATATTCTATCTGCCATGATGCCATTTCTTTTTTTCTTTTTCTTTTTCTTTCTTTCTTTTTTTACTTTACTAAGGGTGGGGGAGAGATCTCAATGAAGGGGGATAATTGAATTTAAAAACGCTGATTAATGGAACAATTGGATCAGAGAGCTCAAGTGAGATAGAATCACAGGCTCAGCCACTGCCCAGGTTGACCGTGTTGCTTCTGGGTAGAAAGGGGTATGAGGGTTTGTCTCATAGGGCAAGAACCATGGATCAGAAGTCCAGATCGCTTCACCCACTTCCCCTAGGACGAGGAAGAAGTCAGTCAAATTTTTTGAGCCCCTGTTTCCTTGAAACTCTAATATAATGTATGAATTTAACGTGTATGGCAATATCTCAGTCACTCTTTGGTTGGCAGCAGCAGAAGCAGACTCAAAGCAGTAAAACTTCTTCATGCCCCATAGGTTCAGCCCATTGCTGGAAAGAAAACACTCTTACTAGTAACAGATCATGAGTCTACTTAGTCAGGGAAAGGAATCTTTTTCCTCTGTGCAGAGTCAGTCTTTGTTGTGTGCTGAGGAGAAACTTCTGTCTCCCTCTTCTTTCCTTCTCTTCTAGTCTGCCCTTCCCCTGAGGGTCCAAGCTCTGTCCCTGGAGATTCCTGGTACTGGCCCCACCCCAAGGAAAGCAAAGATGACTCCAAGGAGGAAAAATCCCCTTTGTTTTGCTAGTGTGGATCAGTGCTCAAAATGTAACTTTGATGTGTTAATATGTTAAAGGACTCCTCTCTTCTCCAAAGAGACCATGGGCTGAAATGGAGAAGGTTAGGATGATAGAATATGGTATCCCAGAATTTCTCAACCTTGGCATTATTGAAATTTGGGGCTGGATAACCCTTTCTTCTAGGGGGCTGTCCTGTGCAGCAGAGGTTGTTTATCAGCATCCCTGACCACTACCTCCCAGATGCCAGTAATAGGCCTTCTCCTCCCCGATTGTAACAATCACAAATGTCTCCAGACATTGCCAAATGTCCCCCGGAGGCAAAATATTTCCTGCTCTATCCTGTCGCACTAGCTAAACCAAAAAGAGAATTTATCATAAGGATATAGAGATGTCTCACAGAAACTGAAGGCAGGAAGTATGATTGGGCCTCAGATGAGGCTAGTTAGGTCTCCAGCCTGGAGCCAAGCTATGCTCTGGCTCTTCAAGGCCTCCTGCTGGAGCTGGTATTCTGCACTGATGTAAAATAGGGCATATTTTTGTTTAACTGGAATCAACCAATCAGCACAAAGTGCCCAAATGATCTGTGACCTGGTCAAGCCATGATTGATTCTCCCAACAATGATCCAACAATCCTGTAAGATCTGGGGAGCGTTCTGAATTACCAGGGGGAAGGTTTATGCATCCAAGGGTCTTGTCTCTTGAGTTTGCATTTATTTTATGTATGTTAATTCCTTAAAGTTGCCACTTTGGAGTGCTGTTATAACAACAACATATATCAAACATGAGCATAGTGGCTTACATTTTAAAAAGCACATTCATGCATATTATCCCATTTAATATTTGCCTTAACCCTATGAGATAGGTGATATCTCCCATTTACAGATGAAGAAACCAAGATTCATAGATATTAAATTACTTGACATTTTCGTAAGTATGGACAAAGGACTATATCCCAAGGCATAAACATGGTTGCAAAGAACATTTAAATAATTATTGGGGCAATGGAAGAGAGAAAGAACTGGACAGCTTTTAGGGAGTGGATAAAAGGGTTTGAGTCAGTGAAGAGCCTGAGGACATGAGGTCAAAGGTACAAAGAGAAACAGGATAAAACAGTGGAATGGTGATCAAGAGAAAAAGAATTTGGAGTCAGTGGTCACCACAAGGAAACTGCAAGGAGATCAAGTCCAATAAGGATTAAGAAGACCCCAGAGCCCTTCAGTCTTTGGGCAGAAATATCAAGTCCTTTTTTTTTTTTTTTTAGAAATATCAAGTCTTGTGTAGCATCTGCACTTGATATTATTGCTGATGTCTCAGAGCTGATCACATATGGTTTGGTCCCATCAGAATGGGCATCTCTTGACTAACGCCATGGTACAACAGAACAATGTCATGTTTCTTCTTGCAGATATTCTCCTACTACTCTTGTCTTAGCCATCTCTGAGGTGGATGATAACCAGGTTGGCAAGTTTAGCTTTTATACAAAGGAAGCCATCCTTAAGGTAAATTTTTTTTTTTTTAAAGAAAACTAAAGTAAAATTAAGCAATTTGCTCATGTATTTCTTTACAAATCATCATATTTAATTCATACATTTGGCTCCCATGTAGAAGAAAAGCTTCCAACTTCATAAATAATGATGATAGCCTTGTCTTATTTGTTGTGCATATTGGTCTGGTTTGAAACATAGAGCCTGCAACACCCTTGCAATAACTTCTGTTAGGTTTTAAAAGGAAGCACTTGTAGTGAACCATCTTTGTACCAAGTTTTTAAAACATGCACCTATTATTGGAGCTTTTATCTGATCTTCTTAAACTTGGTACTGTTATTTTCCCTTTCCACTCAGATGAATCTCTTTGCTTCTGTGTGTGTATGTATAGGTTTGTATTTGTGTTTTTTTTTATTTTTTAAATTTATTTATATATGTATTTTTAAGATCTTATTTACTTGAGCGAGAGTCGGAAAAAGCACGAGCAGGGGGAAGGACAGAGGGAGAGGGACAAGCAGACTCCCTGCTGAGTGTGGAGCCCACTTCGGGACTCAATCCCAGGACCCTGAGATCATGACCTGAGCTGAAGTCCAATGCTTAACTGACTGAGTCACCAAGGCGCCCCTGTGTGTTTATTTTTTAAACATTGATCTAATCTTGGCAATTTTAAAAGGCTGCCACTGAGCACGTTTGCTAGTTCATCAGAGCCAACTCATCCTTTTCTGACCAGAAACCTGTTGGTGTCCAGCTACAGAGCAAATCAGGCCTGGAGGGTGCCTTCCGGGATGAAATGGTGCTTAGAGAGAGACCAGATTCAGTCCTGTGGCTGAGGAACAAGGATCTCAGCTCATCCTGCAGTTTGATTCATATGTTTACATGTTAAATAAGTGGTGATCTGAAATCCCCAACTTCATCTCTTTCTTTCTGGCAGAAATTCCTAATATCTTTCACATTTTCTTCCTTTAGCTCTTATTCCATTCAGGAGTGGAAAATATGCAAGTGACCCTTGCATGCCAAGCAGCTCAGAAAAATGCCTTGATGGTGGCTGTCCAACAGGCATCCTTCTATCACACGCCCTGGTGGGGCTGTCCTGCTGATGTGAAGGTCAGCCGATAAGATAGAGAAACCTGAGGCATGTTACCACTATGACAGCTGATGCCAGGCTACCCATACTGCGCCTTCTTCCTTTTAGCCTGCCCCCTCTCTCCTACCTTCTTTCCTTCCTCCCCTTCTCCCCTTCTCCCCTTCCTTCCTTCTCTTTCTTCCTTCCTTCCCTTCTCTTTTATCATTTTATCTTGTTTCCTTCCCTCCTTCCTTCCTTTCCTAATGTGAAGTCAACACATGACCAAATCCTTACTGGGTCTCTTAATTTTTAGTGATTTGCTAACAATTTTTTCTTTGTATGTAACTCTATAATATTGGCTAGCTAGAATCAGCCAGCAGAAAATATCGTGTTCTTCCACCTCTACCCTTTGTAGACAAATGATTTTATTGTTTTCTGTTTTATTCTTCCTGCATTTCTTTTTGCAAAAGTAAAAGGAGACATTTGTCCCTTCTTTTTTCTGCAAAAGGTTACACATAATGTATAACACTTCCCCCCCCCCAGATTTCTTTGGTTGTTATTGAGATATAATTCACATAACATAAAATTTACCCCTTTAAAGTATATAATTCACAAGATCTTGTAACCATCACCACTATCTAATTCCAGATCATTTTCATCACTTTCAAAGGAAATCTTGTACCCATTAGCAGTCACTCCCCATTCCACCCCCTTCCCTCAGCCCCTAGCAAATCGTAATCTACTTTCTGGCTCTATAGATTTGCCTATTCTGGACATTTCACATAAATGGGATCATTCAACAAATGGCCTTTTGTATCTGGATTTTTTCACTTAGCATGTTTTCAAGTTTCATCCATGTTGTAGCATGTATCAGTACTTCATTCCTTTTTATTGGTGAGTAATATTTCATTATATAGATAGACCACATTTTGTTTATCCATTCATCAGCTGACAGATATTGGGTTGTTTTTACGTTTTGGCTATTATGAATAATGCTGCTATGAACATTCATGTGCAGGTTTTTGCAAGGACATATGTTTGTTTGTTTTTTTTTTAAGATTTTATCTTTTGACAGAGAGAGAGCAAGAGAGGGAACACAAGCAGGGGGAGTGGGAGAGGGAGAAGCAGGCCTCCCGCGGAGCAGGGAGCCCGATGCGGGGCTCGATCCCAGGACCCTGGGATCATGACCTGAGCCGAAGGCAGATGCTTAACAACTGAGCCACCCAGGCGCCCAAGGACATATTTTTTTGAGTTTTGCTAACCCTTGTTAATGTCTCTTTTTTATTTTAGCCCTCCTATTGGGAGTAAAATGGTATCTTATTGTGGTTTTGATTTGCATTCTCTAATTATTAATGACATTGAACATCTTTTCATGTGCTTATTGGCCATTTATATGTCTTCATTAGAGAAATTTCTATTCAAATTCTTTGCCCTTTGTATAAAATAAAATTTGTCTTTTCATTATTTAATTATAAGAGTTATTTATGTATTCTGAATACAAGTATCAGTATATGTATAATTATCAAGTATATGGTTTGCAAATATTTTCTCCCATTCTGAGGGTCATCTTTTCACTTTCTTGAAGGTATCCTTTGGCCAGAAGGTTTTCATTTTGATGAGGCCAATTCATCTAGTCTTTCTTTTGTCATTAATTCTTTTGGTGTCATATTTGAGAAATCGTTGCTGAATCCAAAGTCACAAAGATCTACTTCTCTGTTTTCTTTTGAGAGTTTTGTAGTTTTAGCTCTTGCATTTAGGTCTATGTCCATTTATGGTTAATTTTTGTGTGTAGTATGAAGAAAGGGTCTAACCTCATTCCTTGACATGTGGTGTGCTGTCCCAGCACCATTTGTTGAAAAAACTCATCTTTCCCCATTGAATTGTCTTGACACGAATGTCAAAAATCAATTGACCATGAATGTAAGAGTGTATTTCCTGACCCTGAATTCTATTCCATTGTTCTATATGTCTATTATTTTTATGTTAGTACCCCTGCTGTTTTGATTACTGTAGAGTTGTGTTAAGTTTTGAAGTTAAGAAGTATGAGTTCTCCAACTTTGTTCTTCTTTTTCAAGATTGCTTTAGCTATTTTGAGTCCCTTGCATTTTCATATTAATTTTAGGATCAGCTTGTCAATTTCTGCACACACACACACACACACATAAAACAACATTTGAGATTTTGACAGGGATTGCATTGAATCTATAGATCAGTTTGGATACTATTGCCATCTTAATTCTTCTGATCCATGAGCATGGATGTCTTTTTATTTATGTCTTTAATTTCTTTCAACAGTATTTTGTAGTCTTCAGTGTACAAGTTCTGTACTTCTTTTGTTAAATTAATTCCAAAATATTTTTTCTTTTTATTATGTTATTGTAAGTGGAATTGTTTTCTTTTTTTTTTTTAAAGATTTTATTTATTTATTTGAGAGAGAGAGAGAGAGCACATGAGAGGGGGGGAGGGTCAGAGGGAGAAGCAGACTCCCTGCTGAGCAGGGAGCCCGATGCGGGACTCGATCCCGGGACTCCAGGATCATGACCTGAGCCGAAGGCAGTCGCTTAACCAACTGAGCCACCCAGGCACCCGTGGAATTGTTTTCTTAATTTCATTTTCAAAATGTTTATTGCGAATGTATAGAAATACAATTGATTTTTGTATCTTGATCTTGTATCCTGCCACCTTACTAAACTAGTTTATTAGTTTTAATAGTTTACTTGTATGTATGTATTCCTTGGGATTTTTAAAAAAGATTTTATTTATTTGAGAGAGAGAGAAAGAGAGCACAAGCAGTAGGGGGAGGGACAGAGGGAGAGGTAGAAGCAGACTCCCCACTAAGCAGGGAGACTGACACAGGGCTCAGTCCCAGAACCCTGAGATCATGACCTGAGCTGAAGGCAGACGCTTAACCGACTGAGCCACCCAGGCATTCCTCCTTAGGACTTTTTATACACAAGATCATGTCATCTGCAAATAGAAATACTTTCACTTCTTCCTCTCTAATCTAGATGCCTTTTCTTTCATTTTCTTGCCTAATTGCCCTAACTAGACCTTCCAGTACAAGGCTGAATAGAAATGGCAAGAGTGGGTATTATTATCTTATTCCTGATCTTAGGGAGAAAGCTTTCAATCTTTTACCACTAATTATGATGTTAATTATGGGTTTTTCATAGATGCTTTTTATAGGTTGAGGACATTTCTCTCTATTCCTAGTTTGTTGAATGATTTTATCATGAAAGGGGTTTGGATTTTATTTACATATACTCTTTTGGACTTTGTTTTTTCACTTAACAGTATATCCTGAAAATCACTCCACATCAGTTCATAGAGATTTTCCCCCACTTTTTTAAACAACAGTATAGTTCTCATGTGTATGTATGTTCACCAGTAAAATTAAACATGGTTTTAGGAAATCAACTTTCCAGGTGGCCTTTTAACATTAAGTCTTATAGATTCTCTACAGCTCACCATATTTACCCCTTATCACATTTCTCAACCTCTATTTATCTATTTCTACTCTTCATGTTAATAGGAGAATCCAAATTTATGAGTATGGCAAGAATACTCATTCCTCGCTTCTACTGCCAAATAGTAATTCCCATAAAAATTAAATACTGAAGTAGAAAATAAGGATAGAGTGAGTTATATTGATTTTTTTAAATCTCAACCCCCCAAATCTTAATTCAGTACCTCCTATAAGTTAGGCTCATCAGATAATACTGAGGCACAATTCCTGCTCCTGAGGAACTTACAGACCAGGGTATATAAGGGGGACAGGCTCACAAGTCGTTTAAGCACAAGGCATAAAAGAGGTTCAACAAGCTATAGAAGGAATTTAAAGAAAAGAAAGGTCACATCTGGGAAAGTAGGAAGGGCAGCACAGAGAAGGGGCATTTGGGAAAACCTGAAGGATGAGCTTTTTTTTTTTTTTTTAAAGATTTTATTTATTTATTTGAGAGAGAGAGCATGAGAGGGAGGAGGGTCAGAGGGAGAAGCAGACTCCCTGCTGAGCAGGGAGCCCGATGCGGGACTCGATCCAGGGACTCCAGGATCATGACCTGAGCTGAAGGCAGTCGCTTAACCAACTGAGCCACCCAGGCGCCCAGGATGAGCTTTTTGACAGGCAGAAAGAAGAGCTTTCAGATAACTCAGGCTTGGGAACAATAAAGGGCAGATGGGTACTAGATAAAAATGAGGAGTCCAGCTTGACCACCACTGGTGATTTTCATACATAGTTGACATAAGGAATTCTTTATTCAAGTACTTTAATCTTACAAAGAATACTAATTATATAAAACAGATATAAGTGGGGCTATTCTTGTTAAAATGGAGAGTGAGAGGATTATGAGTCCCTAAGATCCATTCAAAAAGCAAATGTTGAAAGTCGCTAGATTGGAGCACAGGGCAGGAATAGGAAGACATTAGGGTTACATATATTTACATATATGTAATATATATGTATTATGTACATATATTTACATATATATGAATGAATATGTGAATATATATAGTAATATATGAATATCTAGTAATGTGTGTGAATATATAGAAATAATGTGTGAATGTGTGTGTGTTTATATGCTCTCCTACAAGGGTGGGACAAGATGAGGACTGATGGTATAATAAGGAGGAATAAATGATGGAGACAATGAAAGGGAACAAGGGGAAATGAGGGAAGGGAGGAGGGACGGAAAGAGATGAGAGACAGGGAGAGAACAAAATTGTGCACTGCTATCAAAGCAAAGGAGAGGAATGTTTCAGGAAGAAATGAGTCACCAAAGAAGATGTACAGATGGTAAATAAGCACATAAAAAGGTGTTTAACACCTTTTTAGTTATTAGAGAAGTTAGAGTTGTTAGGGAAATGCAAATTAAAACCGCAGTGAGACACTACTGCACACCCATTAAAATTTAAAGGACTGGTTAAAATTTAAAAGACTGACCATTTTGAGTGTTGGCAGGGATGTGGAAGATCTGGAACTCTCATATACTGCTGAAGGGAATGCAAAATGGTCAATCACTTTGGAAGACATTTTGACAGTTTCTTAAAAGGTTAAACATACACTTACCAGGATTCCGCTCCTAGGTATTTATCCAAGAGAAATGAAAACATATGTTCATACAGAAACATACACAGATGTTTATAGCAGCTTTATTTAAAATAGCCAAGACCTGGAAAGAACCCAAATGTCCCTCACCAAGTGAACAGATAAACAAATTGTGGTATATCCATATAATGGAATACTACTCAGCAATACAAACAAATGAATTATTGAGATACACAACAATATGGATGAAGCCATACAAAAAAGAGTATGTACTGCATGACTCCATTTATATAAAATTCTAGGAAATGCATTCTAATCTATAGTCAGAGAAAGCAGAGAACAGTGGGTTGCTTGAGAAAGGGGGCTAGATGGATGGGATGGTCATTCTGATTGCAGTGATGATTTCATAGTTGTATACATATGCCAAAACTTATCTAATTGTACACTTTAAATATGTGTTGTTTATTAAATGTCAGTTATATCTCAGTAAAGCTACTGTTTTTAAAAGAAGATGAAAAAAGAATAAGAAGTTGAAAGTTGATAGAGTTAAATGTAGAGGGAAGAACCAGAAGAGCAGGGATTACAATGAGGCCATTTGACATTCTCAAAAGCTCATTGCTGACTGAGACAGCAGTTCTAGTGGGGTTGAAAGCAAGACTTACTTGAAAGCAAGGCTTTCAGAGTGAAGGAGTGAGAGGGTGATAGAAGGATAGAAGCAGTGTGCATTTATTGCTCCTGTATCAGTCCATCTAGGCTGCCACAACATAATACCATAGGAAGTTTTGCTTCCACATTCTCTCACTCCCCCGCCCTTTATCATTACCTTGTTCATGGCAGCATATATAGCCTACCTCCATTGCTTAGGCTGAACCACAGTGGGTACCCTGCCTCAGTTTCTCAGACCTTGCAGCCATGAAGTCCATCAGCAGTATTTCTTGAGAGGCCACTCTGTACAGAGCATGCCAACTAGCTATCTTGTAGAATGGAGAATTTTTTTCAGGGTAATTTAGACAACTGTACTTTATTGTAGAAATAGTTACACTTAACTGCCTCACCCCCATATTGTGCAAAATCTCTCTTCCCTTCCCTCTTGTACCCTGTCCTCTCCTCTGCTCTGTTACCCTTCTCCTCTCTTTCTTCCACTCCAATCCATCCAGACCCCACACACTTAAGCATTTTACGTGTATTTGCGGTCAGTTGCAACTGTGAGATCATTTTGCGGCCAGTACTACAGGACTTACAAATCCAACAAATTTAATTCACTTTGGTTTAAAACATTTTAGGAAATAACTTCAGATCTGAGAAATTATGGTGGAATGGGTCCAGCCAGAAGAAGAAATTCCAGAATTGTGAATGGCATAGAGAACTTACTGTTAGCCCCAACTCCAAAAGTGCCAGACACCCTTACTCATCCTTCAGAAAGATTCCAGCCTACCAAAAGGTACTACCCTAGGGGTTTGTTTAAAATAACAAAAGTGTCCTCTTTTAAGTCAATTAATAACAGATTGTGGGATTGAAGGATGCCTAAATTCCCAAAGTGACCAGCATGTGTTTAATTTTTAAGACCTTGTATGAAGACAGAACACAAGGAAGAAGAATATGGGCCTCTCCAAATTTTCCATGTTTATCTTAGACTGAAAAGCACGGAACTACCCCTCACTATTCTAACAAGTGTTTTATCAATGCTTAGGATAATAAGGTGCTGCATTATCAGAGAGCTAGAGCCTCTACAGAGAGATGGCTCTAAATCAGGAATGTCCTATAATGTCCTGATCTCTCTATCATGACAGAGAAAGGAGATATTTGTATTCTGTAATAAATATTCTGAGTATTTCCAATGATAGTTTAATTTAATTCTGGCAAATTTAAAATGTAAAAAACAAACAAACAAACAAGCAAAACTACTCTACTATCCAAGATGTCATCAGTCTGACATATGGCCAGAGTTCAAATACCCTAAGTTCACATTCCCAACATGTGGATGGAAGATTTAAGACCAATATGTCTAGTCAAGAGGACCCTTGCATGGCTACTTCAGTCCAGGAACCCCTGCAGTAGAGGCCAGGAGGGCACAAAGGGACCTGGGTAGTATAAACACTGAGCCAGGCTCTGAAGTTCAGGACAGAGGAGGAACTGCTGATACATGCTCTAGGCACATGGGGGCCACAAGAAGGGCGGTGACACATCAGCATCCCTAGTGAATATAATCAGAAACATCTGAAGAAGGTGAGAACCATGGAGACAGAGCCACCTGCTCTCCTTTTGTGATGCCTAATACTCAGCCCCAGGTTTCCTGTCCTCCAGGGAGCTCTTGTGTTGTCTTTTTATTATATGTACACTTACTTCTTGCCTTGGGCTCAGATGTCTCTGTTCACTTGTCAGGGCTCCGGAGGCTTTTGTGTCTATTCAACTAGAAAAGGTGGGGCTGCGGGACATGATGCTGAACACCTTCCTCCTCAGGAAACAAACCATGGCCAACAGAATGAAGAGCCTTGTGAGTTTAGTGAGAAGGGCTCCCTAAAGCTCTCATTATCTTTTACATTTGAGCAAATAAAAATTCTTAACTTGTAATCTGTTGCTTTCAGCCTATTTGGATAGGACTATTGAAAATATAAAGAACTGTAAAAGGGAATTCAATAAGAAATAGAAAGGAAGTAATTCAAGCTAATTGCAGTCTAGTTTTAAAAATATGCACATTTTTTCCAAGACCACATTTTATTTTGTCACTTTCTAAACGGAACTAGTTTTAGCACCTGCTCTGGAACATTAGCCCACTCTTGAGTGACCCACAGATGTTCAGGGGGTTTAGACAAGGTGAGCAAGGGCTCTTACTATCTAATTCATGTGTTATCTGATTATCCAGATATTAATGACATGTTTCTATTTAAGGATTTTATACTAGCCCAATCTGTTGGAAAATACAAAATTCAAGCCTTTAAGCAGTTCAAAGTATTGCTTAATTTTGTGAATATGGTTTCATTATTCATTAATTTTTTGAGGAGGAAATCACTAGACTAATGCATATTTCTTTGGGAGAGAAATCATAGGTTTACAATCTCTAGGCTTCTTCCCTATCTATGACTGAAAAGGAAAGACTTAAATTTCCCTTAATCCAGTTCTACAAATGCGATGTGAGGGAGGCCAAACTTCTAGACTACTGCTGAGCAATAGTGGAGGCAAAGGACTCCTTTAATAAGTAATTGAGATATTCAATTACCTTTTTTACTACTATATTCAAAAAATATTGACCAAATGAAAAATTTTATAGCTCATTAACTGCACTTCAGGATTATCCAGTGCCTATCAGATTAGAAGACACAGGACTCCTAGATCATAGACAAAGAACTTTATGACTCACAGCAGAGCAAGTGACATGACCTTTATGTTTGTATCAGTTCTCTTTGCCTCCCAAGTCCCAAGGGGGCAACATGGAGGAGCCTAGATGTATGCAGTGGGTTTTTGTCCCAGTCAAATGACACTGAGCTTAAGGAATCTACCTCTTTTTGTGGCAAGCTTGCTATTTTTCCTGGAGGGAGACGTTACCCGTCCCTCAAGGTTGCTCTTTGCACACAGAACCTTGAGAAATGGCCCAAGTAAAGAGTGGTCAGGGCCTTGCATTCTTGGCATACTCAGCAAGGTGTGCAGGAATGGGAGAGAACCATGGAGGAATATTTCTCAGCAAGTTGGCCTTCAGAAAGTTTGTATACATGTACTAGGATGGAGAGTTTTTATAGCCAACCATCTAATAGAAGAACTATCATTCTCTTTTATTACAGGATGAAATTGGTAAAGTCAAGAGAGACGTTATAGTTGAATATTGTCAGAAGTAAGTATGGTATATGTGCACAACATACGCTAATTTCTCTGAATTCAATAAACTGCAGTGTTATGTAGAAATCCAGACAATGAGTCAGGTGGTTTTCTTAATTATTTATTTATTGTTTTCTACCAAACATTTATTTATTTACATATTTTAATTTAAATTAAATTAATTAACATATAGTATATTACTAGTTTCAGAGGTAGAGTTCAGTGATTCATCAGTCTTATATAATACCCAGTGCTCATTACATCACATGCCCTTCTTAATGTCTATCACCCAGTTACCCCATCCCCCACCCCTCTCCCCTCCGGCAACCCTCAGTTTGTTCCCTATGATTAAGAGTCTCTTATGGGGGGCACCTGGGTGGCTCAGTCAATTAAGCATCTGCCTTTGGCTCAGGTCATGATCCCAAGGTCCTGGGATAGAACCCCACATCGGGCTCCCTGCTCAGTGGGGAGCCTGCTTCTCCCTCTGTGCGCTCTCTCATCTCTCTCTCTCAAATAAATAAATAAAATCTTTTTAAAAAGAAGAGTCTCTTATGGTTTGTCTCCCTCTCACTTTATCTTGTTTTATTTTTTCCTCCCTTCCCCTATGATCCTGTTTTGTTTCTTAAATTCCACGTATCAGTGAGATCATATGATAATTATCTTTCTCTGATTGACTTATTTCACTTAGCATAATACCCTCTAGTTCCATCCATGTCATTGCAAATGGTAAGATTTCTTTTTTTTTTTTTTTGATGGCTGAGTCATAGTCCATTGTATATATATACCACATCTTCTTTATCCATTCTTCTGTTGATGGACATTGGGCTCTTCCCATAGTTTTGCTATTGTGGACATTGCTGCTGTAAACATTGGGGTGCAGGTGCCCCTTCAGATCACTAGGTGGTTTGTTTTTAAATAAACACAGTTTTCTTGGATAAAACCAAACCAAACTATTCTCTGACACATAGAAGAGTATCAGAAGTGAAGGATGGGAGGTGCTTTGAAGAGGTTCATGCCTCTGCCTTCAGGCAATAGCAACCTGACCCAGATAGAACTTTCTTCTTGATGAGGTCCTCTATTATCTTTGAAAGATCTTTTAGGGAAGTAGATCCTTCTGAGAAGGAATGGAATGGAATAACTTTGATTCACTTTGTGGACATCATCTCTTCTGACTTTTCAGGTTCAACTGCTGTATGTCTCACTATGCTCTTCGTGGTCAGATTATGGCATACTGCAATAGCCTGAGAGCCCTGCTGGAAGATTTCCCTACCATCAGGGACACCTTTTTCATGGTGGGGCAACCACAAGAAAAGAAAGGGTTGAGAGACTCCAAGGAGGGCCTCAAGGCTGACCCCAGGTGTGTAATTTCCTTTAGAGCTTTTTACTCCCCCTCCATACCCTACTCCTCCTAGGGAAGAGGGAGGAGGCATGTTAAATTTCGTATGGGAATCTTGCTTTCTTTACTGCATTTGACCTTGATCTTCTGGTTCAGAAGGGCAAAAGAAAGAGCTAACACTCTAAGAATAACACTATCTTTGTATTTGAACCCAGAAGAGGTTCTTTGTTTATGGGCTGTTTCACTGCTTTTTTAATCTATGCAGTTTTGTTTTCTCCTGGAGAGTCCAGAGATTTCCATCAGTCACACCCTTTTACATAAGCCGGCATCTAAAATAAGCAAACAAATAAGTAAACTTGATCTTGAGCTGTCCTGACTTCAAATATTTTACTCAATGGAGCAGAAGAAATAAGAAACACACACACACACACACATTGATGTACCAGTGCCTTAGATAAATCTGCCCTTCTGTATTTCTCTGGCAGAGGAAAAAAAATACATGTAGAGTGATATTACGTGATAAGAGCAGAGCTGCTTCCATATTTCCTTATCATGCCTTATCCAGTTTTCCAATGTTCTTAACTCAACCTGCCTGGAGTTCACTCACCTAGATGGAGGAGTTAGCATACCTGTGCAGTCAGCGACCACGTTTCCTTTAAAAAAGAAGAAAGAAAGAAAGAAAGAAAGGAAGGAAGGAAGGAAGGAAGGAAGGAAGGAAGGAAGGAAGGAAGGAAGGAAGGAAAGAAAGAAAGAAAGAAAGAAAGAAAGAAAGAAAGAAAGAAAGAAAGAAAGAAAGAAAGAAAGAAAGAAAGAAAGAAAGAAAAAGAAAGAAAGAAAGAAAGAAGGGATGTTACACAGTTCTGCAGTCTCCAAGGGGGAGCAAAAACATCCTGCAGGGTGAGCTTACTTTCCTCCTAAGGTACAGAGCTTAGTGTTGAGTAATAGTAATACTCAATAAATATGATCATAGAACAGATGGATGAAAGTGAATTGAAAGACCATATGTATCAGACCACTCATTCACTCACTTATTCATTCATGCATTATTCAACCAGCATTTATTTAGTGCTTACTTAATACCAGGCACTTTGCTATGTGCTGGAGTTACAAAGGTAAATAAGCCACTGACTCTGGCAATAAATTCAGTCGAGTGGGGGAAAGCTCTGTAAACAAAAAAGTAACTTCAAAGATTTTAAAGATAATCTGCTAGAGTTATGTGAAATGTTCTGTGAGGACACAAAAGAGGGAGTGTTTAACTGTAGCCTATGGCCTAAGGGAGAAATTCAAAGAGGAGGTGACAGGTAAGTTGGAGCTCACCAAAAAAAATGGGGATGATAGAACAGGCTAGAGAAATCTGGAGAATGAAAAACACTTGAGTTTGTAAGCCCTTGACTAACTGATAGCTGATACCAAAATAATGACCAGTCCTACCTTGATACTTTGATAGGTACCCAGTTTGTGGATACCAGTGTCTGTCTCATGAGCTCAGCCAGTACATTCACTTGGGGAGACTTCCAGATTTACCCAATGGAAAAATGCATTTGAAGGAAGTGCAGGGCAAATACACCTCAGTAGACTGACTATTTTGCTGAAGGGTTTGACTGTACACCTGTTGCCCAATGAGGCTGAAGTGTATCTTTCTCTCCTATGAAACATCACAGGATAATCCTCTAAGACTTCTTTCATTATCTCATCTACCCACTAGCCCAGTCAACCATTTATAAGCCCTATCTGTATTTGGGATCAAATTTTTAGAATAGTTTCCAGAAGTCTAACCACATGTCACTACATTTGTGTTTAGGATAAAATGTATTCAGGAAGTCTGTTTTTGTTTCTGATCTGTTTTATTTGAAGCGCCCAAATAAGGAGGTCAGGAAGGGAAAGAAAAGGAAAAAAAATGTCTCTAACTTGCAGGTCTTGTTCTATTCCTGTATTGTTTATTGTAGATGACTGGGTGTTTCCTAAAGATCAAAAGAAACCATCATTTAAGGGGGATGAGCCTAGAGCCCTAAATCATCTGGTCAGTTATTGTGTGATGATTTCACGGCAGGACTTTTGTCAATAAAAGTGAGTAAAGTAAGTGCTCACCCAGAGCCCAAGTAATAGAGTTAGACAGTGGATGCGCAGTGACTGATAAAGATTCAGTATTTTTTGACTATACCTGTCTCCTACTTCCTAAACTCTCTAGATTTCAACATGTCCCTTTTAATACACTACAGAGAATGAAGCAATAGAGAAAGGAACTTCTGTTTTACGTGGAAGTTTAAAAAAGTATTGTATAAGATTATTTTTAACTCCAAAGTCTGTGATTCCATGTACTGAGTATTAATAAAAATGAACATCAGCCACAAGGAGATAGAGTGGAACGAGTCATGGCCTTGGTGTTAGAATATTTGGACTTTACCCAGCTCAATTATAACTTGCTCCGAGGTTTCAGGCAAATCACTTCTCTTCAGTCTCTGAACGTCAACTCTTCATCTGATGAGTGAGGAAATTGAAGCAACTCTCTGAAGTTAAACATACTAAGATTTTTAGTGCTAGGGTATCTAGAGTTTGATTCCAAGGAATGGAACTGCTGAGGAAAGACTTCCTGGGAAGGGGCCATTTAAGAGTGTTCATGAAATGATAGATGAGACTCACCCCAGGACAAGTTTAACTAGAGATGAAGGGACAGAGTGGGGGAATGATGAGGGTCACGGAAGAGAGAGGTCCTCACTCACCTCATTCTTAAAATATGGAGGTGGGTTAGGTCGAAGATAAAAAATAAGTTTCCCTTCAAATATCGGTTCTAACAATTAATGCCCTGCTGAGGATTCTGAGCCATCCCAAGCTTATGAGAGTGTTCTAATTGATTGGCAATGTCTGTCACGGCCAAGGACAGGGGCAATGTGGCCTCCCTGTTTGTGTTTGCCATCCCTTGACCAGAAAAGCCCCATGAGTTCTGTAGGTTTAAAATTCTAAGATGCTATTTAATGCTCTAAAGGCTGTAATGTACTGTGTTTAGTTTTAACAGAGACCACATTATCCTCAAACCAAAGTCTCTATAGAAGAGGAGCCAAGAGTTCTCCCAAGAAGGATGCCCCTTGAGGCCTTCTTGCTTTTCATGGCTCCAGAGGAGACTAGAATCTGGAGACTGGGATGATGCTTGGCCACATTCCAAGAGCAGTGGTGTCGGCTGATTGAGGAGTGAAGAAAGGAGAGAGAGGATATTCACATTAATCAAACCCTTACAATGTGACAGGTAGAGCCACCATGATCCCATCTGGTGCTTTATGCACATTAAAAGAAGGCAAGCCTTCCTCTGGGCAGGTGTAGCCCCGTGCCAGGGTACAGAGTTTGGGAAGTAAAACATAAGCTGGATCTCAGCCACTGCTGGGTGCCTTATGGCACAACCCAAATAGCAGTACATGGTAACTTTGGTGCCAAGTGCTGTACAGCAATGGATACACATGGTCCTTGCCCTTCAGGCAAGGGGAAATAGGTAATTTTTTAAAAAAGATTTTATTTATTTATTTGAGAGAGAGAGTGAGAGAGCAAGAGAGAGAGTGAGTGAGGGGAGGGGCAGAGTGAGAAGCGGATTCTCTGCTGACCAGGGATCCTGACGTGGGGCTCCATCTCAGGACCCTGAGATCATGACCTGAGCTGAAGGCAGATGCTTAACCAACTGAGCCACCCAGGCGCCCTGGGAAAATAGGTAATTACAGTACATTGTGATAAAGAATAAAATATAATAAGAGTATAATAAAAGCACCCACCAGGAAATGTTAAGTATTATCTAAAGGATTGGGGAGGTGGGGATGGGGAGCAAGGCAGGCTGCAGGGAAAAGGGGATGCTTAACCTGGAACTTAAAGGATGGTTAGTGTTTCAGGTAGACCAGGAAAAAACTTCAGTTCAAGCTGGGAGACTCACAGGTACAATGACACAGAGATGTGAGATAGCACGTGAACTCTTGAGTGGCTCCTACCCAGGGTATGTGAGGATGAGCAATGGAAAGTAGAACGTACAGAACGATGGGCAAGATCCAGACGTCTGGCATTTGCCCTTCAAAGGCAGGAAAAGGGGGAGTAAGATGATTGTTTGGGATCTCATTTAGGAAGCTACTGAAACTGTACAGACAGGAGATGTTTAGGAGGTGAAATCAGTTGGCCAGGTGCTGGATTTAATGGGAGGCTAAAGAAAAAGGAGGGGGGCACCTGGGTGGCTCAGTCATTAAGCGTCTGCCTTCAGCTCGGGTCATGATCCTAAGGTCCTGGGATCGAGCCCCGCCTCGGGCTCCCTGCTTAGCGGGGAACCTGCTTCTCTCTCTCGCACTCTCCCTGCTTGTGTTCCCTCTCTTGCTGTGTCTCTGTCTGTCAAATAAATAAAATCTTTAAAAAAAAAAAAAAAGAAAAGAAAAAGGAGGAATCTAGGGTTTCACCCAGAGTCTCTGGCTTGGGTAGATAAAAAGATGGCAGTGCAATTATTGTTTCATTGGTACAGAGTTTCCATTTTGGAAGATGGAAAAAAGTTCTGGAGATGATGATGATGACAGTTGCACAACAATGTGAAAGGACTTAATGCCACTGAACTGTACCCTTAAAACTGGTTCCAATGATAAATATTATGTTACGTATATTTACCACAATTTCTTTAAATGAGGAAAAATGGCAATGCCATAAAGAGGAAGAAATGTAGAGAGGGAGATAATGAATCCCAGCTCAGAAGCTTCAGTGGTGAATTTCTTCCAATAACCTCCCATCAGGTCCTGGATGCTCCCTATTCTGGATATTTGCTGCACTTTCTTTCTTTTTTTTTTTTTTTAAAGATTTTATTTATTTATTTGAGACAGAGAGAATGAGAGAGAGCAAGCACATGAGAGGGGGGAGGGTCAGAGGGAGAAGCAGACCCCCCGCTGAGCAGGGAGCCCAATGTGGGACTCGATCCAGGGACTCCAGGATCATGACCTGAGCCGAAGGCAGTCGCTTAACCAACTGAGCCACCCAGGCACCCTGCTGCACTTTCATATACGGTTGACCCTTGAACAACACAGCTTTGAATGTGCAGGTCCACTTATACATGGATTTGTCTTTTATAAGTACGGTAGAGTAACTGTAAATGTGTTTTCTTTTCCTTATGATTTTCTTAATAACATTTTCTTTTCCCTAGCTTCCTTTATTATAAGAATACAGTATATAATATATATAACATACAACATATATGTTTATCAACTATTGATGTATCTGGCCCACAATAGGCTATTAGTAGTGAAGTTTTCAAGCAGTCAATAGTTATACATAGATTTTCGATTTTGAGGTGGGTCAGCACCCCCTGAACCCCTGTGTTGTTCAACGGCCAACTGTACTTCTTCCACCGTGCTTCTATCATAAATCATGCTTGCACATCTAGCTGCCTCAGAAATGTAAGAACCTTGAGGGCAGTGGCCATCTTCATTTCATATCCCAGGTGTGTACCTCTGCCTTTGACCTTGATTGAAGGGGAGGATGGGGGTGGGGGAAAGAGCCCACAGGAAATAGGAGGAGTTCCAGCCAATGGCCTTTAATTCAATTTTGAAATTGTGTCATCATCTGCTGGCAGGAATTTGGTATGAGGCTGAAAGAAGTCTTGGAATTATTAGAAAAGGAAATGGGCATGAAAGCTGATCAAAGGAAAGAATAAGGGTTGTCCTAGGGTGACACAGCTCAGGCTGGAAACCATTTACTTGTTCTTGCATCAATACAATTAGTGGTGTGATTTCCTCCAGCTGTGCTCAGCAACATGCAACTGGAAGCAGAAAGCATAATAGCTGGAGGGATCCAGAGTTGGGGTTTTGCTAGGTAGGTGAGTAGTGAATACAAGGAAGCAGAGACTGGAAAGTTCTGGTGAGAGAGTAGTTCCTATGCTTGACTGCGAGACCCAGTCTGGGCAGGGAAAGGAGGGAGGTCAGAATGGAACTGACAGATGGAAAGGGGAGACTAAAGGGCTGGACCATGTCAAGGAGCATATTTTGTGGGGATAATGGAGGTTTACTGGGAGTGAATGAGTAAGAAAACTGGAATAAAAGGTTGGGATAGGAAAAGATGGGAAAGTGGGATGTTGAGTTTAAGTCTTTGGAGGTGACATGATCCCAGGTAAGGATAAGGTCTGGAATGTGGCCCCAGAGTGGGTGGCTAAAGGGGAATGGAGGTGAAGGGGGATGATATTGAGCAGGTCAATGAACTTGCAGGCTAGGGAGTTGATGGGCCATCCACAAGGAGGAGGGAGGAATCCCCCTTGTGGGGCTGAGAACCAGGTTATACTCTTGTACTCTGCACCCAGAGCTTGCTGCTACTCTCTCTGTCCTTCCTCAGCAGATGACTGCTCGCTGCAGGCAGGGGTGGAAATGGGAGGAAAGAATGGAAGAGAAATAAAGGATAACACTTGGTAGAGGGCCCTGCGGCTCCGGGGATGTTTGTGCTTCTCTGAGGCCAAGGACTGGTTCAGCCACCCTGCTGCTGCCAGCCCCTTGGCCCTCAACCTCGTGTGCTCGGCCGCAGACCTGGTGACTTTTTATTGTTGATATTTGATGTTTCTTTGGGGCACCTTTGGACATTGTGAACTGAACAATGGAGATAAGACTGGATTACACTGGCTTTGATCTGCTCCAGGATCGTTTGACTTTGTGATTGCTGAAATAAAGGAAATTCTCCAAACTAACACCATCCTTTGTTCCCAAGCTTCAAATTACCTGATTAAAACCCTGAGACTTAAAAGGTAGCTTTAAGGCCAGTGATTCACTTCACGTACATTTTTAATGATTTAAAAAGTCTCATACTCTGAATGATATTGAAAACACACAGCCCTCAGTTAAAATGAATTACATTTTACTTTAGTAACTCCCAGAGACCCAGAAACAATAACAAGAGTCAAAAAACAGCCCTATGATTTCCAAAGTGCCCTCCAGAAGGTGAGAACCTCCCACCTAGAGTCCTTGCTAGGGACAACGGAAGTGGGCATGAAAACCAGGTACAAGTATGGGAGAATAGTGGGATGAGTAGGACCTGAAGAGTAAAGGAGAAGAGAGGCTCTAAAAATGACTCCCTGATTTCTGGTTTAGGGGGCTGGGGGTTGTGGTTCTTTTAACACAGGAGGAGGCACAGGATTGGGGTAGAAGAGGGTAAGGAGTTCAGTTCTTGCCTTGTTTGACTGAGATGCTCTGAAACCCTGTCAGCCAAGAGGAAGCAAGTTGAAAGTGTGGAACTGTGGAGGGGGACCAGGCATGCACAGGTGGATTCAGGTGTCACCGGTGAATGGGTGGCATTTGCAGCCAGAAGAGTGGACACAACTGTCCAGGACTACGGGCAGAGTGGGAAGAGCAGAGGTGGACCCCAGGTTCCCTGGACAGGGGTTGATGTGGCGGGAGGGGTGGCTCCACACCCACGGCACACCTCCTTCCACTGTCTGTCTGTCTGTCTGTGAGGCTTGCCTTGTCTAGCATAACCGAGATGGGTCTGAGGTGGCACTCGTCTCTGGCCTTGCCCTAGAACCCTCAATTCTAAGACATCCTCTCATTAGTGTGTTCAGGTTCCCACTTGTTAACAAATAACCCCAAGGGTTCCTACCATGCCTCTCTACTGGGCCACAGGTGTCCCTTGCCCTCCCCCACCTTTGGCCACTTTGCTTAGATACCCTTACCTTAGCATTCTAATACCAAACTTTGTATAGCACTTCATAGTTTATAAAATACTTTTCACATGCTTGGTACTCGTTTTAAAAATTATTCCTTACATCAATTCTGTGAGTTAGGAATCATTATCCCCATTTTATGTATGAAAAGACTCAGATGGTAGTGCATCTAAGGCCACACAGCTGTGGGTGATGGAAGTTGGTCTCAAAATGGGGTCCTCTGATGCCAGAATCCACACCTGTTAACTGCACATAGCACCATTTTCACACCAGATGAACACAATTAGACTTAAAGCCATCAAACCATTCAAATGGAAAACAGTCCCCTCACCAACCCTCTGTTACAGTGGGCCACCTCATTCCTGAGATGACATAGAAACCAGGTCAAGATGCCACCTTCCCCCAGCGGGTATGCTAGAAAGATCATGGGCTTCCGTTGGTGTGAAGGTTAAAAACAGGCAAAACCCAACAAAATAATCTTTTAATGGTTTATCCATTTGTGGTAAAACCACAAAGAAAAACTTAACAGTGATGAATGTAAAATTCAGGATGGTGGTTTCTCCGAGGGACACCAGGGAGGTGCAAATCAGGCTTCCAAGGAGCCAGTGAGGGGCACCTGGGTGGCTCAGTCGGTTAAGCATCTGCCTTCGGCTCAGGTCAGGTCTGGGATCGAGTCCCACCCACGTCAGGCTCCCTTCTCGCAGGCAACCTCCTTCTCCCTCTCCTCCCTGTTTGTGCGCTCTCTAAAAAAATAAAAATAAATAATAAATAAATAAATAAATCCCAGCTTCATCTCTTAGGAGCTGGGCAGGCAAGCTCTCATAGGGCCTCAATTTCCCCATCTGTAAAACAAAGCAAGTACATTCTAAGGACTTAAGAATTCAGTGAGAAAATGCGTAACCCCCAGAACGGTGCCAGCCACCTCACTCACGTCTTCTCTTTGCTTTCTTACCACACCTTTCCTGCCCTCCAAGCCCACTCCTTCCTCCGACACAGCCGAGGCTAAAAGCAGCCTCCCTGCTCCTCTCTGCAGTTATTTATAACCCGGGCCCCCTGTGAGCGGCCTGAGAAGGAGGCGCGCTGGTCCCGGCTTGGACGCCGGCCTCGGGCTCCTGTGTCACCACAGCCCGGGCTCTGGCGCTGTGGCCGCAGGGCGGTGCTATAAATAGTGCACATCGGGGCCGCCTCCTTTTTCAAGAGAAACGCTGTGCCGACCCCAACTTTCTTTTAATGCCGCAGGAGTTTTCAGCCCCGGCCTCGGTGTTTGCTGTCTGCTGATGGGAAAGTCTTCCTCAATTTATGGTTCCTACCTCATCCTTCTGAAGTGCTGGGTATGTTCAAACCTCTGCCAGAAAAGGTTTGTATTTCTCTCTGTGTGCCAGAATGAAAACGGGCTGGGACTTTTTTATGTCTCACGGTTAAGCATATCAATCACAGAGAACGTCTCTTGTTTTTTTCCAGGGATATCTAGTACCTGAAATCTTCACACAGCTCCCAATATTTTTGCCTGCTTTATAATCCTTTCTCTTGGGCCTCATTATTTCCCTGAGTTCTGTTTCTCCCTAGTCACTAATGAACGTTAATTCGAGCTTCCCACATTCCTTATTAATCCTCAATTTCCTCCCACACCCTTCACGAAAATCCCACTCTGCTGCCCCGAAGCTAATGACAGGTCGAGATCACAATCCTAGTAATCAGCCTGTTTTTTGAGGGGTTGCTCTGTGTACCTAATTTACTGTTAGAGGATAATATTGATAACCATAAAAAAAAAAAAAAAGAAGTAGATCTAGAAATACACAGAGTACTCAAATAAGTATTTTTTAAGTAAAATGCAGTGCTGAAAAATGGCCATTTGGGAATATTCTGATTTTTCTTTAAGTGAAAACCTGTTTAACAACCTAGGTTTCTTACCCTTTTTTTCCTCTGCCCCAGTTTTATTGAGATGTAACTAATGAGGAAATTGTATGTATTTGAAGTGTACAACATGATTTATTTTTTTTTTTTAAGATTTTATTTATTTATTTGACAGAGAGAGACACAGTGAGAGCAGGATCACAAGCAGGGGGAGAGGGGAGGGAGAAACAGGCTTCCCGCAGAGCAGGGAGCCCGATGTGGGGCTCAATCCCAGGACCCTGAGATCATGACCTGAGCCGAAGGCAGACGCTTAACGACTGAGCCACCCAGGCACCCCTGAAGTGTACAACATGATTTAACATATGTGTACATTGTGAAATGATTACCCCAATTAAGTTAATTAACATATCTATCACCTCACCTAGTTACCTTCTTTTGCATGTGGTAAGAACACTTATCGACTCCCCTAGCAAATTCCAAGTATGCAATACATTATTATTAACTATAGGCACCATGCTGTACATTAGATCCTCAGAATTTATTCACCTGAGAACTGAAAATGTGTACCCTTTGACCAACATCTATCCATTTCCCACCCCTTGGTAACCACCTTTCTATGAGTTCAACATTTTGTTTTTTTAGATTCCACATATGAATGAGATTGTACAGTATGAGTCTTTTCCTATCTGGCTATTTTACTTAGCATAATATTCTCCAGGTTCATCCCTGTTGTTGCAAATGGCAGGATTTTCTTTTTTTAATGTCTGAATAGTATTCCTCTGTGTGTGTGTTTCAGTTTTTTTATCAATTTATCCATCCACTGGACACTTTGATTGTTTCCATAGCTTGGCTATTATGAGTAATGCTGCAATAGACGTGAGAGTGTAGATAGTCTCTTTGAGATACTGATTTTGGATATGTACCCAGGAATGGGAGGATCAAATGGTAGTTCTACATGCAAAAGAATGAAACTGGACCCCTATCTTTCACCTCTCATAAAAATTAAGTTGAAGTGGATTAGAGACTAAATGTAACACTGGAAACTGCAAAACTCTTGGAGGAAAATGGGAAAATCTCCTTGACATTGGTCTTGGTGATGATTTTTTGGATATAATACAAAAAGTATAGGCAACAAAAGCAAAAATAAATAAATGGGACTACATCAAACTAAAAAGCTTCTGCTCAACAAAGGAAACAATCAACAAAATGAAAAGGCAACTTACAGAATGGGAGAAATATTTGCAAACCACATATCTGATAAGGGGGTGATACCTGAAATATGTAAGGAACTCCTGCAACTCAACAATAAAATCTGATTTTAAAATGGGCAAGGGTCATGAATAGACATTTTTCCAAAGAAGACAACCAGATGGTCAACAGGTACATGAAAAGATACTCAACATCACTAATCCTCAGAGAGAGGCAAATCAAAACCACAATGAGGAGCACCCTAATGCCTGTTAGGATGGCTATTGTCAAAATGACAAGAGACAGCAAGTGTTGGCAAGGATGTGGAGAAAAGGGAACCCTTGTGCACTGTGGATGGGAATGTAAGTTGGTGCAGCCATTATGGAAAACAGTATGGAGTTTCCTCAAATAATTAAAAATAGAACTTTCTTTCATTGAAGAATTTTAGGAGTTTTAAAATATGTATTATATATTTTATAATTATTAATTATAAAGATAATTATATATTATATATATAAATACTACCTTCTTTAAGTTGGATCGTAATTTTCCACTTTTCCTTCACTTGAACATTTATAGTTAAGATCCAGGGTTTGATTTTTTTTTGTTGTGTGTTTAAACTACATTGATAAATACCTATGTTTTGCTTACATGTATTCCCTCACAGCAGTGGTGTCTGAATATGGGTTCCTGCTAGGAGTTTATCTGTGACCCTTGTAATCTATCAGTGGTCATACAAACACATTTTGCTTTGCTTCTGGTCACCAATGTCTTTAAGCAAAGAGAAACACATTGCTTTAAACCCCTCACTCCAGGAGTTACCTGTCCAAAGGCATATAACCTGTTGATGAATAGGTTTGTTCTGTTTTTCAGATATTATCCTGTATTGTATTGTGAAAATGTTTAATATTCTTGTTTAAAGGTATTATCCCTAATCAATGCTCATATATTTTTGTCTCTTAGAAACTTCTTAAAATGTATTTTTTCTGTTGATTTTACCCACAGGCAGCTTTTCGAGCCTTACAGCTAACTCTACAGCTGTTAGCCTCTCTCCATGACATTGTGGCCTACCTTTTCAGTTTTGCTAAACTTGGAAATTGTCCAACATGTTTTGAATTTCCTCTAAGTGCTAACCCCCTGAAAGGTGACTGGGGAGGAACTGAGGGCATTGGTAAGTGATTAGAGGTGATTCAGATCACCTTCAGGATTCACTTCAAATTCTATGAAGCTCTTTTCTTTCCCCAACTTCACTGAAGTATAATCGGCAAATAAAATTGTAAGCTATTTAAAGTGTACAAAGTGATGGTTTGATATACGCATACATCATGAAAAGATTCCCCCCATCTAGTTAATTAATATGAAGCTCTTAATACTTGGAAAGACAGAACTAAAATATTTTTTTTCATAAATGACAGTGAGAAGAAGGGCAAAGGGCAAAACCTCATGATATACTGTCTCCAAACTAATTAATTCCACATTTACAGGTTAAACCACAAAGTAAAGCAAGCAGGAGTGGGCCAGCCTGGGTTTTTACCCTGTATCTGCCACTTGGTTCCTGGAAGCTGGACACTTTACTTTCTGGGTCTCTCTCCATCGATAAAATGGGGGTGATAACACCTGTTTCATGGAGATGTTCTGTGGATTAAAATCTATGTAAAATTTCTACAAGAATGTACATGCCCTTCTACACACTAGTTTTCTTTCATCCCCTTTCTGGCCTTTGTGAGCTAATATGTCAAGGTCAGAGCCATGCATTTATTGTCAAGAATTTTTTGCAGACAGTCTTCTGTTAGCTAACAGTAGCATGATAGTCCTGAAGTAAGAATGATTGAGGCTTTAGTTTTATCCGCCAAGTGCTAATCCCATAAACCCTAAATAAGCACTAAGTTCTAAGATAAATGCACAAGGTAAATTAAAGACTGAAATGCTTAGTAAGCTGGGTTGATCAAAAGTAGGGAAACTGATCTCGTTATTTTAATAACTTAACTCGCAGCCAATTTATGTCATTAGTTATGTAAATATTAATTAACCGCAATATATTATAACAGAGTAGCCAAGGATTTTAAAGGATGAGAAGAGCCAATGGAATGAGATAATAATATGCCTATTTAAACCTAGCAGTCTTCAAACAAGTGTATTATACTCTGAATCTATTCCTGTCTGGCCAGTGCATAAAGAAAAGGTGTTTGTGGGAGACCCTGACTTGTTTGCTGGTAGATTTGCAGGGTGCTACTGAGCACTGAAGGAATCTGTAAACGTTCAGATGGGAGACCTAAGGAAGGGTATGAGTGGTGATCCTGGAGGAGGGTCGATGCCTGTCTCTGAGGAAAGGCGGCATGAAGGAAGGATAGATTGGGGCTGACTCAGCAGAAAACACAGAATTGTCAACAAACTAATGACATTTCAAAACTACTAGCATGTCTTCAATGTAAGAATCAAGAGAGTAGAGAAGTTCCAAAGCATACTTAGGGCCTTTTACTAATTCCGGGACTGTTACAAAAGGGGTTTACTCAGAAAATAAGCTAAGATACTCTTAGGGGAGCTGCTGGATTTGGGGAGGGTGTGGGGGCTGGGCTTTAGATGAGGGACAGGAGAAAGGTTGGGATGGGAAGAATGCCATCCCTGCCCTTGAGATAGGGAGATAGAAGCAGAAATAGAGCCAGAGCCATCTTTCCCAAGGAAGACCCTGCATAGGAACTCCTCCAGCATCTGGGAGGGCAGAGCCTGCAGGGAAGGTGATCTGGGGGTACTTGTCCGCCCTTGAATCAATGGAGAAAACTAGAGGGATGGTCTTGGCAAGACAGGAAAAGGACACTGGCAGAGGCAACAGGCCAGACTGCACATGGCCAGTCCAGAGATGGGTGAACCTACCAGTGTGACATTGAGCAACAGTAGGATATGAGGCCAAGTTGTTGAGGACCTAGAATTCAGGATGAAGGAAATCGGTTTCTTACTATTTATATGCTTCTGAACCAGAAACCACGGAAATATGTGGGGCCCAGGCTTTCCAAGGTGTGCATTTAGAGGCATGCACCTTGTCATGTTGCCAGCGAAAACATTTGTGCTCCAGGGAGAATGTGCGAAGTTTTGCATACTCTGCTCTGCTGAAAATAGGTAAAGAGCAAACTGAACTTAAAAAAAAAAAAAAAAAAAAAAAAATCCCACTCTAAGATAATCATCTTTTTAAAAAGACTCGGTTGCTCAGTTCCTGGCCTACTTCCCAGAAGGAGGCAAGGAGAAGTCAGGTGAACAGAGGAGATGAGTCTGTTCATATCCTCTCCCAACTCTTCTCAGCTATTGCCAAGCTATTTGGAGTTAGATAAAATGACTTTTGTGGGCTTATATGCTTTAAAACATTTTTTAAGGGGACACTCCAGATTTCAGCTTTGGTCCTCCCACTTGACTGAGGAAGCAGCTCTTCGACACTGAGCATGAGCTCTGTGGACCCTGCCAAATCCTCTCCTTCCTTGAAAGCCAGCAACTCCCTTTGGATCAGCAGAGGATGTAATCAGCATGTGGGAGTTTACACTGTGATTTCCTTGTAAAGGTTTAGGAGGCCAATTAAAGCCCAAATACTATCCACTAAACTTAGGGTTTCAGGAACTCTTGAGACAAACTAAGCACAAAATGTACCGGCTCTTGAGTATTCACGTGGAGACAGGGCCATTGTGATTCCTCTCTCTCTCTCTCTCTCTCTCTAATTTCCCAAATGGGGCCCTCTTGGGGAAAGGCTCATTTGTTTCCTGATGTTTTTCTGGCCGAGGGTCTACTCCACCCACCCCCCCCACCACAACTGCATGGAAACCATCTGCCCCATCCTCACGGAAAAGCTGACTGCCCTGCCCTGCCTGCCACCTTCCCTCCCACCCAGCAGCAGCTTGATGCCACTAAGAAAGGGAAGTCTAAATGAGGATCCTAAAATCTGTAAACCACAAAGAAAGGGGAGTGCCCACCTCCACATCTGTGTTTTGGTGATAAAGCTTCTGCTACCTATCAGCACAGAACAATTTTGCTGGGCAGTGATGGTATAAAGATGCACATACAGCCTGCACGTAAATGAAAAGAGAAAAAGTATCTGTAACCAACCACTGTAACAAGAGAGAGATTCTTGTTTGTCTTGACTACCTTCTAGCCCTTGTCCAAACACACTTTACATTTAACAGAGCTTTCATCATAGGGCGTGTGCACCTTTATATTCTTTTTTCATTGTCATTGCAGAGGACTCTAAACCTTCCCCTGGTTGCTACTTAGCCTGACAGAATGTCTTGCTTACAGACCGTCATGCTAGGCCTTGAACAAATAAGGCTCACTTACGAACCCCTCCCATCCACCACTAAAATTCTTGTATAATTCACTCTAACATGACTCCTCTTCTCATGGAAGTTTCTTTTCAGTCCAACATGACCATCAGATTTATAGAGAAGTCGTAAAAATTTTAATGATTGGATCCAATTTTTCAGAGGCTGGACGAGTACCTAAAAAACATTTTTCTCTTGTACGTAAAGCATCAGATGGATATGAAACCTAGACTGCTCATCTTTTCCTAAAGGCAAAAGCATATGTTGCAAGTATTAGCAACTCTTCTCAGTCCTGGTTCTGCTCTAGTCAGGCTCTCATGGGCAGCTTCCCCATTCCCTCAATTCCTCTGCCTCCCATGCTTGTGGGAAGATATCCAATACCAGATCAGATAGGATAGAAGGCTGCTCAAGTCTGGACAAGCTATGGAAAGAGTAACTCTGGAAATGCCTCATAGCTATCCCGTCTCTCTTCTGCCTCAGGCTACATGTCAGGTACAGTGACCACAGTGACCAGTTCCCACAGTCCTCTTCCCATAGCAGGGATGTTCTCTCACGTAGAAAGCCATCACTGTCCTCACTGGGAGTTGAGGAGCATTTCAGATCATTCTAATAGCCCTGGAAGTGTGGGCCCACCCACTTCCCCACTCTCCCTAAGAACTCATCATTTTCTTGCTGTGCTCTCCCATTCTGACTAGCTCCTCTCCTGGGCCAATAATAGTGATGCTACTCTAGCCATCTAGACCCAGGTCAGTTTCCTCAACCCGGCATTGAGTGCCATAAAAGGCCCCTAAATTAAATTTCCTTTCAAAACACATATAAGTCTGTTTATATCCAGCCCACTTTTGCAGTAAGGGTCCAAGAAATAAGTCAGTTTAGGATCTCTCACACCTACTCCTAAAATGATGAGAAGCTCCTAGAAGAGGGTGTGTGTGTGTGCGCACATGCAGGAGTGAGTGCATATTTCTTGCTTGCCTTGGATGGTCTTTTTTTTTTTTTTTTAAAGATTTTATTTATTTATTCGACAGAGACACAGCAAGAGAGGGAACACCAGCAGGGGGAGTGGGAGAAGGAAAAGCAGGCTTCCCGCTGAGCGGGGAGCCCGATGTGGGGCTCAATCCTAGGACCCTGGGATCATGACCTGAGCTGAAGGCAGATGCTTAATGACTGAGCCACCCAGGCACCCTGCCTCAGATGGTGTTGAGTCTTCTTTAATCCATGAGCCAGTGACAGGATGAGCCAGTGACAGAGGGGTTTGATTTGTATGGCATGGCTATGAGAAATGAATGCTGGTTTATAATCTATAATAACTTTAAGCCCCTAACAGATCTACTGAGACTTATATTTTCCCATTACTTGTGATTCTTTTTTTTTCAATCTAGAGGCTGTAGCCTTGTAAAATTTAAAACTTTCATTCAACAATATGTTCTTATTCTGCTGAAAAGCAAAGCAAATTTTTATCTTATTGAGGGAGGAAGGAAGGAAAGATAAATCAGACCTTGGGCTCTAGAACGTAAGACTTTGCTGGTCTTGCAAAATATATAATTAGTATGCTCACAAACAAAAAGAAGTACATTTAGGTAAAAAGTTAGCTTCAGAGGTGAAATAATGGCTCATTAGGTTAGCTGTCATAGCCTGTATGTTACACTGTCTGACTGAAATGTCATCCGTCTTCCAGGGTCTGAGCTTCAAGAGCTGCAGAAAATGATTGACAGCCTCCAGAACCCCCAAGACCCTACCCAGGTATCCCAGGCACTCCTCCTTCGAAGGGAGGTTGTATTTTTGCAGTTTGATGCTGCAGTGAGGCACCTCATCCGGTAAGGGCTGGAGCGTGAATCCTGTCCAGTTAATTGTGTAGGGCATGTGCTTCGACCATCGAGGGAGGTCACTCTTGGCAAGACTGAATAACGAGCTTAAAACAGTCACGGGCACAACCTGATCCAGAACACTGTGACTACCAAATGTGTCTTGCTGCAAAGCCTGTCCGTGTAGAATGTGTTCTTTTCGGATTATGATAGTCTTGATTTTATTAAATGTGATTTAAATATAGTTAGTTTGCATAACAATGGCTGCTTTTACTGTTCAGGTTGTTTAATTGGGAATAATATTTTTTATACTTGGGAAGATGATTCTAAGAGTTTTGTTTATTCTTTTTAGCCCTTAATTACCTTTCAAAAGAACAGAATTTTCACTGCACTTGTGAAGCCCCTGGAATTGGCTACCTGAGTTAAATTTATAAATTCAAATAAATAAATTGTAGCTATTAAGTACTCTGCATACAAAAGACAAAGTCTCTTTAGTTAATTAGTCATGACTGATGAGAAAATTAGTTTGGATTGAGAGTCATACTGTTTCTAGGATAAATAATAAGTTTTTTATGGGAAGGGAAGAGGTCAGGCCTGAGCATCTCTGCTTATTCTTAAATTGTCAAAATCAATTAACTTCCTTTGATTAATTCCCAGTGTAAGCATTTAGCCAATCAGGGGGACCTCAGGAGGCTACGCTCTTACCTGTGGATTGTAATTGCATTCCACCATTATTAGCATGGGCATCCATAGAGAATGGAAATGTAGGGATTGAACTGAACTCTATTTTCTCTTTCTATTCTGCATTTTCTTTACTCTGAGTATCCGGGGTCTCTGGATTCAAATTAATTCAGCAGAACAACGACAACAACAAAAAAATAGACTTGTTCAGTTTCTTTTTATTGACAGCTTTCTGAGCTATAGCTTTAGTCAAGTGGGTAGGATATAAGACCCTAATTGTCAGGAGGGCCATTCATTAGCCCTCTGACTCTGAAACCCCAACTCAGAATTTGTGAAGAATTTACACAGGATGAAGAAATAGAACTATACCCTGGAAGTTCTTTTCAGCTTCCAGCTATGCAGGGTTCCACTTGCTACTGTTCTCCCAGGGGAACTAGTCTGCTTCCTCTAGGAATTGCTTTGAGGGGCTTTCTTTGTCTGGGCACACTCAGTCTGCAGGAATGGAGGGCACTGTGTCCTATGTCTGGTTTCAGTAGATTCAGTATATCTTTCAAAAGACTCTAGAGGGAACTGCTCAGGACGGTAGAGCTTCATGAGTCCCTCATTTATCGCATTTCCTCTAGCCTTTTCATTCAGGGCTCTTCAGAGTGTGTATGTGTTTGGAGTCACACAGTTAGTAAGTGACAGACTAGAACTAGAACCTACATGCATTTGACTCCCAAGCCTGAGAACTAGGATGGATGCCAGACAGCAGGGTGGAGAGAAAAATAGACTCTGGAGAGAAGGCAGGAAACAGGAGAGAAAGAGAAATGAAAAGATAAATGTCATCCCACTTGATGATTCTAGTTGCTGATTCTATTGCTAAACCTGCAAACAAGGAAAAGTCCTCAGATAATCAAGAGACAGGAAGCATGGCAGAGTTCTCTCACACTTCCCCAAAGTTCACCAACTCTGAGCAAATCTGACTGTTGACCCCAGGGAACTTTTTGCTTATGTTAACTGAAGGCTTCTCCAGAATTTGAAAAGGAAGAACTGAACTTTCACCTGGAATGAGAGTAGCATGCTTCTATTTACTGCGGGGAAGTGAGGAAGGAGGTAGCTCAAGGACATCAAGATAGTGGCCCTGTGATCACCTAATATCTGGCTCCTGCTAATATGTGGCATAGATCAGATCTGGTAGCAGGATAGATGCACATTTCTTATTTTATTTATTTATTTATTTATTTATTTAATTTAAATTCAATTAATTAACATATAATGTATTATTTGTTTCAGCGGTACAGGTCTGTGATTCATCAGTCTTATATAATACCCAGTGCTCATTAAATCATGTGCCCTCCTTAATGCCCAGCACCCAGTTACTCCATTCCCCCCACCCACTTCCCTCCAGCAACCCTCAGTTTGTTTCCTGAGATTAAGAGTCTCTTATGCTTTGTCTTCCTCTCTGGTTTCATCTTGTTTCATTTTTTTCTCTCTTCCCCTATGATCCTATGCCATGTTTCTTAAATTCCACATATGAGTGAGATCATATGATAATTGTCTTTCTCTGATTGATTTATTTCACTTAGCATAATACCCTCTAGTTCCATCCACGTTGTTGCAAATGGCAAGATTTCATTCTTTTTTTTTTTTTTTTAGATTTTATTTATTTATTTGACAGAGAGAGACACAGCGAGAGAGGGAACACCAGCAGGGGGAGGGGGAGAGGGAGAAGCAGGCTCCCCGCAGAGCAGGGAGCCCGATGTGGGACTTGATCCCAGGACCCTGGGATCATGACCTGAGCCGAAGGCAGTCGCTTAACCAACTGAGCCACCCAGGCGCCCAAGATTTCATTCTTTTGATGGCTACATAATATTCCATTGTATATATATATGCCACATCTTTATCCATTCATCTGTTGATGGACATCTGAGCCCTTTCCATAGTTTGACTACTGTGGACATTGCTGCTATAAACATTGGGGTGCAGGTGCCCCTTCGGATCACTACCTTTGTTAGATGCACATTTCTAAGCACAGAAGTTTCACTCTGTCCCTGTCAACCTGCCCTCTACCAAGCTCCTGGTGGAAAGTGGTATTGTCCTCCAAGGCCATTGGAACCACATTGCCCAGGGCCCATCACTTCTGGGCATGTCCACCAACCTGCAGGAGTTATTTACTAGCTGATGCAAGAAATGCCTGAGAAGTGAGCTTATCTTTAATTTTAGGTGAAGTAATCATTGTGTTGAAAGAAAATGCTTGGGTGGTACAGCAGGTCTAATCGATCTTATCTGTTTGGCAAACTTCTATCCTAGGCCCCTGCCTGATTTTTGTATGGCCTCTGGCCTAAGGATAGCTTTTATAGCTTTAAATGGTTGGGGAAAAAATTTCAAGAAAAGAGTACTATTTTGTGGCGTATGAAAGTTATATGGAATTCAAACCTCAGTGTCCACAAATGAAGTTTTTCGAAACACAGTCATGCCCATTCATTTACAGATTATCTGGGACTGCTTTCACACACAGTTGAGCAGTTGCAACAGAGACCGTATGATACACAAAGCTGAAAACATTTACTATCTGGCCCTTTAAGAAAAAGTTTGCCAACCCCAGATTTAAAGAATTGGATTCCTTTGTAATTCAGGAATGGAGGGAGGCAAAGCAAAGCAAAATAAAACAAAAAGTCCCTTTATAGGGACTCTGTAGAACAGGATAAAACATGTGGCATGGAAGGTGCCATTAATCTGAATGTATTGCTGATGTTTGGAGTGATTAGGGCAAAAAAGAAGAAACTTGAGGAGATACCCTGAAGATACCAGTAACTTTTGCAGCAAGCTGGAACTGGGAGTACAGAAAGGGATCTCTAAAGAAAGCCACACCAGCTTCTCAGTCCTTAAAGTTTTGTGGGTTTTCCCTTCATTTTTAAATTTATTTTTATACTCATCTAGCTTAAGTGTCTCCAAACACAGAGATATTAAAGTGTGCCTCAGCGATCTGGGGACTTCTGAGATACAGAGAAGGCCTCCTGTGAGCCAGGGCTGGCTTATGACCATGGTCCTGGTCCCCAGCGTCTGAGAAATGAAGAGCCACACTCTCTGCCTGGTCTCCTCTGGGCTACTTTGCAGGTGCTTTTGTTGTTGTTTTGTCTTTTGCTTTCTTTTTTATATCCTTACATCCAGGAAAAACTCTAGCATGTGCCTTATGAATTTCCTGCTCCCTGTGATCTGAACCAGCTTGCCTGGGATCATGCCACAGGTGGATCTCTTGCACACAGGATGCCTGGTGTGTTAGGAAACCTTTGACTGCTTATTGACAATAAGGCAGCTGGAGGGTGGCAGAACAGTTTGGAGAATTCCGTGTATCTATTCTGATATTTTATTAGGTTGGCAGGTGCCACCGACCCAAGCAACAAGCCGGCCTTTCATTCCAGTGGGCTTCCTTGTTTCTTGAGTGCTGCCAGCAAGCTGTGCTGATCAGACATACCCTCTCAGAAGACACAGGCCCAGGCTTACCAAATGAGGGCCTCAGTGAGTTGCAACAGGACCCCATAACCTGTTTTCAGTATCTCAAAAGGCATGGTGAAAAAGACACATTTGCCCAAAAGCTCTGCAGGTAAACAGAATGTCAAGTTTCTTTCTTTTTTTAAGTGGAATTCTAAGAACTGCGATAAGGGAAAGAAGACATTTGCTTTGGATGAATTCCCACCACGTGCCGACTCCATGGGATAGAAATCGTTTTCCCCATTTTTACAGATGAGGAAATAAAGACTAGAAAAGTTGCATAACTTGGGCCGGGTCACACAGCCTGTTGTAGCAGAGCTTGCATCCGTGCAGTTTGTCCGACTCCAGAGCCCTATTCCTTCCTTTATAACATGTTTCTTCATTTCTTCCTGCAGCGCAGAGCTGGGGCTGGAGGCTGATGCGGTGTTGAGTTAAAGTTGGGAAAATGCTTAATGGCTGTTTGGTAGAAAAATCTTTCAAAATATGGGGTCCATGGAGAGGCGGGAAATAAAAGAAGATCTATGCTAAAATATATTGGGTATCATCTTGAGACCCCTTTATTCACATAGCATTAGAAACATTCTATTGATAGGAGCAGGATGGGTCCTACAAAGGACAGTGATCCAGACTGAGAAAGGACAAAAGTGGGGAAAAGAATAGCCAGTGATTTGGTCAGTAGTGCTGCCTGTAGTTTGACTCTGGTCTCTCTAGAGAGTATATCATAGTCTATGATTCTGTAGCTTGGACTAGCAGCCATATTCACATCTGAATGTATTATATTTTTGAATATATTTTTGAATAGTCTCCAAGCATCCATAAATTAATAGACCTAGTATGCATATGAATCTGTGTCTGGGCTGTGTCTGGGCTCTAAAACTGCCGGACATTGTGTTCATTTGTGGCACTTGGTAGTTACAAAGTTCTGCACAAACTTGCCAGGATAAGAGAGCACGTCAGTGTTCTGTGTTCTTTTATGTGATTGTCAGTCAGGTATAGCCACAAGAAGAGAACAGAAAAGACCCAGGAAAAACAAAGTTTATTATATTCACAGGTGCTAGAAACAGGATGTATGCCATGACACACACAGCCACATGGGAAAGCCACAAGGAGAGTGCTGAGGCCATAGCCTGGAAAGGCAAGGCAGGGCAGGGTGAGCAGTTTAAGATCTGCTGGGTTGAATAATTCCAGTGGACTCTGGGTGGCAGAGGTCGTCTCTACTTTTCTGTTGACTAGCCCTGGGATGAATAAAGCAGAGGACTATTGCCTCCCTACGTGCAAGGGTCAGATAGAAATGGTATGGCTTTGGATTGGTTGGTTTGCGTATCAAAACCATGCTCCCTGCTGAGTCCTTTGCCGTCTCTAAGAACTGGCTAGCCCAAGGAGGGGCAGTCTCTTTCTTAACCAGAAAGGTCTTTAAAGATGTCAAAACATCCATAATAAACAGAAAACAAATTTTAAAATGTAAGCGCTACATTCAAGGATTGAACAAGTAAGATGTGAACAAAGCTGGACCCAGAGGCCAAGAGAAAGAGAAATCATTCTATGGATTGGTGGGAGAGGAGAGCAGGAATGATATGAAAGGAGCCAACCAGGCAGAAGTTGTATGGGATACTGGGCTTCTGTGCTTTTGATTTGGGCTGAAGATAAATGTTTCTACTAGAATATTCTGCTTTTTGGTACCATTGTTTTGAGGAGATCCATACAATCTATACAAAGGTATGGGTGTAGAAAGTACCATGGGAGTTTAGAGGATGCTGAGAAGCAGCTGGATAATGAACTCTGCCTCACTGGGCTCCAAGTAGGCTAGAAGTTCAAACCCATTTTTGTATCTTGGACAGTTCTTGCACTTTGCTTTGTACATAGTAGGTGAATCATTAGAAAACACGTGAAAGATACGAAGAACAGGAGAAAATGTTCTCATTGAGCAACTCCAGGCTCATCCTTGAACTACCCGGATAAATCAATTATCTTATTGAGTCTCTCAGTATAAAATAATATTCAACTATCTTTTTTAAAATTCTCATTAAAATGTGAAAAGGTGGTATGATTTTTGTATTAGTACAATGGTTTGATGTAAAAATATAGAGCTCCCTTTATCTATCTTGAAGTAAAGTTCACAAGCCCCTTTTGCTGATGGCTAAAAGATTAAACTTTCTAATTCCATGTCATTCAGCCACATGTAGAGCTTAAAAGTGGTCAGTTTGAGATTTAAAATTAATTAATTCAAGATTAATTAATCCCCATTTCCCTTTGTTTTAATTGCCTCCTATTCACCCTGTTGGTAAGGGAGGGGTTCTGCCCTGGGGTTACGGAGATGGCCAAACACATGACACTGAACACTGGACAGGTGAGATTAAGGGCAGTTTACTAGTTATATATACTCACAGCCCAGGGAAGAGGACACTGCATGCAATGCAGAGCCACAGAGGAGTTGCCCTTGGGAACAGACTGAACAACCAGGAACAACAACAACTGTGGGAGACAGGCTTTGTAGTATCAAGAAGGTGTGATGTCCCCTCATTTCTGCAGGAGAATGTGATTGGTTCATTTGAATACTTTTGTGGTCTGGCAGGGAACTGAAACCACTACTCAGGGATAAGCAGGAAATGCACTGGGTCCCTTAGATAAGGAAGGTTATTGGACTAGGAGACCTTATCTGTGGGAACAGAGTGGAGAGGTGAACTTATAATTAAGCCATTCAAGGCCCTCTGATTTTACCAGGTACAAAGGCAGCACATGATATTGGACCTTAATTTTAGGCCTTACACCACACCTTTCTCCTCCTTCATTGCTCTCAGACAGATGATATAAGTGCCTGGGGGTGCTTATAAATCATCATAGCAGTTGAGGAGGAGCAGCTACTTCACCTACCCATCGTGGGTTATCTAGTCCAACCCCAGATCTCTTCTGGCTTGATGCCCAGCACCACACATAGACACTCTCTTGTGAGGGCTCAGGCACTCCCTAGGTCTTTCCCCAACACTCTGATTGTCTGCTCATCTCTGGGAGGCTGCATCATTTCCCTCAGTGCTAGTACCTCCGTCAGTCATGGTTAATCACCTTCTTTCTGATGTCTGCTTTATATAAGACTTGGGCCAAGCCCATGGAAAATCCAGGCAAAAGTTCCCCTCTGTTTCAGGATACCCTCTCCTCAGTGTATCCTGTGTCAGCATCTTTTTTTAGGTATCCACTAGACCTAAGTTCTAGAAATAGTCTTTCCTCGCTTACTAAACTCTTATTTCCTTTTAGGCAAAAAAAGTCATTGTAATTCATCATGCATAATTCCTTCTCTATGACTTATGGTATAAATTTCATGCGCTAGTCTTCAGGATTTTTGGTTCTTGATATGCAAAGCCATGTTTTGTTCAAAGCAAAACAAAAAGCTTCCTCTCGCAAACACCAAGATTTTATTATTTAATTTAAAATTTGGTTTTATATATCAAGAATCATCTCTGCTATTGGTCTTAAAATAGTCAATTCAACAAACAATTCATGTCTTTGTTCTAGAGCTACAGCTGAACTGTCCAAAACAGTAGTCATCTGTGGCTATTTAATTTAAAAGTTTAAATTAATATTGATTTAGGTGACATAAAATTTAAAATCCAATTCCTCAGTCACAGTAGCCACATTTCAAGTGCTCAGCAGCCACGTGTAGCTAGTGGTTATCATACTGGACAGTCAAACTTAGAACATTTCCACATTGCATAAAGTTCTATTGGACAATGCTAGTCTAGACTATATCCACCTTTCCCTTGAGGGTTGGTGAATTGCGAGTGAAGGGCCGTGTGTAAAGAAAGAGGGGTGAGGGTTGAGGTCGTTGAGGAAGAAACCTGTGTATGTCTCAAAATGTTATCCTGCTAAAGAAGATGTGGTATATATATACAATGGAATATTATGCAGCCATCAAAAGGAATGAAATCGGGGCGCCTGGGTGGCTCAGTTGGTTAAGCGACTGCCTTCGGCTCAGGTCATGATCCTGGAGTCCCGGGATCGAGTCCCACATCGGGCTCCCTGCTCAGCAGAGAGTCTGCTTCTCCCTCTGACCCTCCTCCCTCTCATGTTCTCTGTCTCTCATTGTCTCTCTCGCAAATAAATAAAATCTTAAGAAAAAAAAAATTAAAAAAAAAAAAAGGAATGAGATCTTGCCATTTGCAACGACGTGGATGGAACTGGAGGGTATTATGTTGAGTGAAGTAAGTCAAACAGAGAAAGACATGTATCATATGACCTCACTGATATGAGGAATTCTTTTTTTTTTTTTTTAAAGATTTTATTTATTTATGTGAGACAGAGAGAATGAGAGACAGAGAGCATGAGAGGGAGGAGGGTCAGAGGGAGAAGCAGACTCCCTGCCGAGCAGGGAGCCCGATGCGGGACTCGATCCCGGGACTCCAGGATCATGACCTGAGCCGAAGGCAGTCGCTTAACCAACTGAGCCACCCAGGCGCCCGATATGAGGAATTCTTAATTGCAGGAAACAAACTGAGGGTTGCTGGAGTGGGGGGTGGGGTGGGAGGGATGGGGTGACTGGGTGATAGACACTGGGGAGGGTATGTGCTATGGTGAGCACTGTGAATTGTGTGAGACTGTTGAATCACAGATCTGTACCTCTGAAACAAATAATGCAATATATGTTAAGAAAAAAAAAAGAAGAAGAAGAAGAAGGTAGCGGGAGGGGAAGAATGAAGCGGGGGAAATCGGAGGGGTAGACGAACCATGAGAGACGATGGACTCTGAAAAACAAACTGAGGGTTCTAGAGGGGAGGGGGGTGGGAGGATGGGTTAGCCTGGTGGTGGGTATTGAGGAGGGCACATTCTGCATGGAGCACTGGGTGTTATGCACAAACAATGAATCATGGAACACTTCATCTAAAACTAATGATGTAATGTATGGGGATTAACATAAGAATTAAAAAAAAAAATGTTATCCTGCGGCAGTAACTTTGAAGAAAGTTTTGAGCTTGAGAAGCTTTAATAACTGCTTTTAATGAGATGCCCTCCATGCTTGGGTAGAAGAACATTTTTGGCAGCTGGAAACGCTCCTGCTTACCAGTCTGTCACAGATGGCATGTACCATGGATTGACACCACTGAGCAACTCTCTTGGGAAGAGCATTTTTGCTTCACAGCTCAGCCTGCCCCAGCCACTGGATCCACGGAGCCTACAGGTACGTTGAAAGGTACTTTTATACCTATAAACAGTGTGTTATATATCAGGGATTTGGGCACTTTGTTTCCATGTGGTTTAAATTTTGCAGGGGCTCTCCCTGCTCTAGAGCTCTTTAGCCTTGCGTGGCTCCCCTTCATTGACACAGTAGAGCAGCCTGGGCCTACTGTTATTCCCAGTCAGAGTCTTTGACAGGCAAATTGGGGCAATAGCTTATCTGCTCACAGCTGGTAGCAAAACCATCAGTTGATCTTTTCTATTTAATAAATAATAATGACAGCAATCACAATACATAAATTAGGTCAGCAGCTAAGTTTTGAAGAGCCCTTTGAAGAGGTGTTATCACATGTAATCCTGGCAACTTCTATTGCTCCTAGGCACCAACAATCTTACCCACTTTTTACTACTAAAAGGTTAAGGTTCTGGCAGACCAGAGATCAGATTGCTAGGCAGTCATGGCAGTACTAGGTCACAAACTGTATTGCTAACAAATTGCCCCCAAATTTAGCAGATTAAAACAATAAATATTCATCATCTTATATCATTTCTGAGGCTCAGGAATCTGGGAACAGTTCATTGTGTAGTTCTGGCTAGTCGTGTAGATCTCTTACCGATCAAGGTATTAGCCCAGGCTGTAGTCCCGTCTGCTGGGGGAGAATGTGCTTCCAAGCCCACTCACAGGGCTGTTGGTAGGCCTCAGAAGAGCCACTTCCAAGCTCATTCACATGGGCTTCTCTACAGGCCTTCCTCACAACAAAACAGATGGATTCCTCCAGAGCAAACAATTCAAGAGAGAACAGGAGACAGATCCCAAGATGGAAGTCATAGTCTTTGTATTACCTCATTTCAGAAGTGACATCCCATCATTTTTGCCATATTTTATTCACTAGAAGTGAGTTACTAATTTTAGCCCACACTCAAGGGGAGAAGACTTAAACTCCACCTCTTCCTGGGAAGAGTATCAAAGAAGTTGTGGACATATATTTAAAACCACCTCACAAACCCAGGTCTTCTGACTCCAAAAGTTCCAACTTAATGTTTATATGTTACAAAGCTAAGCCAAGTAATGCCAACATCAACCCCATGTAAGTCCCACACTTTTACATTCCCTAGCAACAAGACAATTACTCTTAGCCCAAGCCTTGACTCTCATTTAGACCCAGAAGACAGATTGACCATGACCATTGAGCCTGTTCCTACTGCCTTTGGATGTTGCCTGGGATTAGGTAGATGCAAGTGTCCTGGCTTCCTGCTACCGGAAACAACTCTGAATTGTCTGAAGCCAGTACCAAGTCTGCAAGTATAGAATAGGGTCAGATGGACAGGCCCACTATGTTCAGGGCTGCATGTGGTACCACAGGTAGTGGGGGATGCCTTGGCTGTTGGATAGTGATATGGAGAAGACAGAGGCCCACATGTTAATGTTGTCACATTGGCTTTGAGAACTGGAACACAATGGTGATGAAGGAAAACATTTTAAGGTTCCTAATACTGAGAACATTTGAGTAAATTTACATTTGTTGATGTAAATGTGTCCCATTGTTATTATAGTATTCTGGAACTTCCAAACACTGGTGCTGACTAGTTACACTGAAGTCTTAAGTACCCTTCTATGTTTGGCCAGATTCTGGAGGAAAAGAAAAAAAAATATTACTCTCTCCTCTACATTATCAGGGACTTTCTATTAAGAGTTATTTCTACATAGTAAATAAATCATCCCATGGTGTTTTGGAGTACAGACACAGAAATTCTGTTCATATAAGATGTTTATTATTTATGGACACAGTACAGCATTATCGTGTTTCTTATTTGGTTCTTTTAGGCATCTATGCTATTCCCTTGGAGAACATTTCTGGAAGATGGAGGACTGTTTCCAGTTATGAGGAGCAGCCCAGACACCCTAGAATATAATATGCAGGTAGGATAGCTCTTCCCACTTGTCACAGAGAGAACTGAATGCAGACTGCAAAGTAGGTGTCATTGGGTCCATAGGTCAGTGGTGAATAATTTATGAGATAAGCAGGGGTGTTTATGGGATTATGAAGCCATAAACCCAATGATACAAGGTGAGTCAGGTTTTCTTCTGACAGAAGAGAATTATGTTCTCAGTGGTATGGGCCTCAGTTGTAGACTCAGCTGCAATTCCCATGGCCAGTAATGATCTGGGAGAGTGGCCACCCATCTCCAATCACTCTCTGGGCCTCTTAGAGAAACACCTAGGCTGGAAGTTCAGGGTTGTGGGACCAGGATCCTGGCCTGCCTGTGAACAGTGGCAGGAAGAGAACTCTTTAAGCAGGATCCATAAGGAGAATTTCTTTCAATTATGTGTTTCCCCCTGATTACCTAAGCAAATATCATTGTGTTCTCATTTTTAAAGATAGAAAATATAAAAAATATTAAGAAAAACATGAAAATCAATCATAAATTTGCTCCAAAATAATATGGAAGTGGGGAGTGACAGGGATAGGGGCAGGACTGGCCATAGGTTGTTAGTTCTTAGGGCTGGGTGATGGGAATGATACTGTTTGCTTTTGTTTCTGCTCAAAATTAAAATTGTTGGGATTTTTTAAAGTAAAGTAGTAAGAATGGTTAAGAAAATCAATTATAGTCCCCCACTAGGAAACAATCACAGTTCACATTTCGGTTTATTTTTTCCAGTATTTTCCTTATGCATACATGTGTTTATATCTGTACTTTTAAAGGAAAATTGATACCATACTATACATTCACCATGTACAGATACTACTGTAAAGTGCTGGGAAATTTGGACTTCCATACAAAGCCAAACGTCTGATATGTTCAAGAAGGACTTTGAGCTAGGGGCGCCTGGGTGGCTCAGTCGTTAAGCGTCTGCCTTCGGCTCAGGTCATTATCCCAGGGTCCTGGGATCGAGTCCCACATCAGGCTCCCTGCTCAGCAGGAAGCCTGCTTCTCCCTCTCCCACTCCCCCTGCTTGTGTTCCCTCTCTCGCTGTGTCTCTCTCTGTCAAATAAATAAATAAAAATCTTTAAAAAAAAAAATAAGGACTTTGAGCTAGAAATGTTACTCTGATTTTTATTGATTTTCTAATAGTCAAGAGGGCAGGGCTTATACACATAATTATTCCTAGTTTTCTCCCCAAAATCATTTATAAAGGATACCTAGAGATCTTCAAAATGGGTGTTTTGTTTTGTTCTTTTTTTGTTTTTAGCTGTGCCTCTGTAGGCTGAGCGACCCTGACCTTAAGGTGGCCCATGGAGAGCTGGTGGGCATGCAGCTGCTTTTGGAAGATGTACTTCTGAGCAGCAATCATATGATCATGGAGGATCCCTCCAGACAGCAAGCCACACTGGATAAACACTCTCAAGTACGTAATTGGCCAGTGCTGTATTGTACTAAAGGAACTTCCTCTCTGGGAGATGGGCCAGAGAGCCACCTCTGTCCAATAGCGTCTCCCAATGGGTCCCAGGACTGTGCAGGGGTCGCCTGTGATCCATGGTATATTCATTTCTTTTCACTTTAAAAATAGAACAAAGGTTGTGGGCAGCCCATTGAAACCAAATGGAACAAATAATCCAACTGGCTGGATTTCTTTAGGAGTCACACACATTTAGAGTTGGAAGACACATTTAGAACTGGAGTTGGAAGGACTGGAGGGGTATGACAGAGGCCCTGGGTGAACTCCTCCAGCCTGGAGGTCTTCATCACTCAGCTAGCCTGTGGACCTAGGCACTGCCTCCTCTGGACTTGTCCCTCTGAAGCTCTGAGGTACCAAGAGCCTCTAGCCCACCTTATCATGACTGGAAACAATTCTGCCCATATCTGGGAACCAGACAGAGACTTGTCTGGACACAGGGTAAGCTAGCCGGTGCCCCCATCTGAAGAGCCTCCTCTTCCGAGCCAACCTTTCCAAGAGAGGTCTGCAGCAGCCCCCTCCAATTCCTTACCTTCAGTCCGCTCCTCAGAAACTGCACTTAGTCACCACTGAGACTGCTCTCATCAAGAGCACCATGGTCCTTGTCATTAAATCCCCTGGATACTTTTTAGTCCCCTTCCAAGCTGACCCCTTGGCAGCATTTGACACAGCGTGTCCTTCTTGCCATCTCCCTGTGCCTGGCTTCCAAAGCACAGCTCCCTCCTAGTTTTCCTCCGGCCTTGGTAGCCAGGCCTTCTCAGACTTCCCCATAGACTCTCCTCTGCCTCCTGCCTCCCCTCTTCCTCTCGCAATCCCCAAAGTATTATTTTTGGGGTTCTGTCCCGCTGCTACACTCCCAGGTCTGCATTTTGACTTCCATGACGTTAGCCACTTTTGTCTTTGTAGGTCCCTTCCTCCATAAAAAAGCATTAAAAGTGATAGTTTACAACTGTGTTAATATAAAAAAAATAATATCCTATATTAAAACATTTTATTCAGCCTCAATATCCTTTATTTTCTGATTTTAAAATAAATTAAAACACCCTGTGGGCCCTAGGCACTGTGCCTTCTGTGTCTGGTCAATAAGCGTCTCCTGAACACTATTAATCCTACTATTGGCTACGACTGAGATCCTTTCAGAGTGCTTTAGTAATTATTAGTTTCTTTAATCATCACAATAATTCCATGAAGTAGGTACTTTCATTACTCTCCTTTTACAGATAATACTGAAGCTCAGAAAGGTTAAGTGATGTGCCCAAAGTCACATACCTAGTGAGGAAAGAAACCCAGATTCCAACTGAACAGTCTGGCCCTGAAGCTCCCTTCTACTCTCACCCACTACGTTTTTCCACTTCTCATGAGGCCTCTCCTTAGGCAAACTCATCTGCTTTTGTAACTTTGACAACTTTACATGTGATGACTCATGCAATGACCATCTACATGTCGTGTCCAAGTTTCAATCCTGTCAGATTCGTGCATTCACTTCCTTGTTCCATCCCAGAGTCCGTGTGTCCCAAACTGAGCATATTTCACTGCCCAAAACTTGCTCTTCTTTCCATATTCCCTGTCAGTGAACCACCATCTGCCCAGTCGCCCAAGCCAAGAAATCTGGACACCCACCTTTGATTTCTCTCTATTATACCCCACAATCAGATGCTAAGTTTTACTATCCTATTACTTTAATATCTCTCAAGTTTGTCTGCTGTTCCCCATCTTCCAACACCAACCCCCAATCAGCATCATCTCCTAATGTTAGGCTATGAGCATAACCTCCAATTGGACTCCCTATATTCACTCTTGCCTTCTTCCTGTACATTCACCAGGGTAATATTTTTAAATGCAAACCTGATTATGTCACTTCCCTCTTATAACCCTTCAATGACTTCCAAATGCCCCAAGAATAGAATCCAAATGCTGTAACCAGACCTTCACCACCTATCTCCTGCTGACATCTCTACCCTCAACTTCTTTCATTTTATCAAATGAACCATGCTCTCTCTCCTCAGTAACTTTGTGCGAGCCAGCCCCTCTGCTGGAAAATGTCCTTCCTTGTCCTCCTCCTTCTCTACTTCATCATCTGATCAACTCCTATTTATCCTTCAGATTTCAACTTCCACACCAGTCTTCCAGAAGCTTTTTCAGATTTTCTACCTTTGAGCTGATGCCCCTCTGTGCCAATGAGGGTGCACTAGTTATAAGCGACAGTTGTCCTGCTCTCCATGACTTAAATTAGGGTACTAATCTTTCAAAACAAGTCTAGAAGGAGGTGGTTCAGGTTGGTACAGTCACTCAGGTTGGTGTAGGCCCCAGCTCTGCCATCATGGGTGTGTCTGAAAAATGTCTCTTTCATCCTTGTAAAGATGAAAACAGGGGCAAAAACCTTTCTCCTTAAGGGGCTTTAACTTTTTACCAAGGAAGAAAATCCTTCCCAGAGCCTTCTAATAGATTTTCCTTGTGTCCTACTGGCTAAAATTGAGTCACAGGTCTACTTCAGGCAAATTAGGGGAAAAGGAATTGTGTTTAGATGTGCCATCTAAATTCCACAACAGAATTAGATGTTTCACTCAGAGGGAGCATTTGCAAAGCAGGCATTGCCACCAAGTAGTACCAAGATCAAGAAGCATGCTGGGCCCTTTGGGCCCTCTATTTGCTATTTCTTGGTCCTGTTTTTGATGGATTGCCATCCTTTCCTGACATCCCCACTGTCCCCCACCTTCGTGCTTTATCCTGTCTCCTGTTCTTTCATCCTTTAAAATACTTAGGAAGAGAAGACTTCTCTTAATATGAATATATTAACAAGGTAAGTTTGCTTTAAAGTTATTTATTTTAATTAGTTTTATTTCATGATTTGTTTTTAAATATTCATAGACAATAGGAAGCACTGGGATCTAGCCCCTCATTGGGCTCCCCGCTCAGTGGGAAGCCTGTTTCTCTCCCACTTCCCCTGCTTGTGTTCCCGCTCTCACTGTCCCTATCTCTGTCAAATGAATAAATAAAATCTTTAAAAATGAAAAAAATGATAATACATAGTGATTCCATGTTTGTATGCGCTGCAAAATGATCATCACAGTAAGTCTAGTTACCGTCCATCACTATACAAAGTTAATACAATATTATTGACTGTATTCCCCAAACTGTACATTACATCCCCATGATTTTTTATTTTATAACTGGAAGTTTGTACTTCTTGATCCCTTTTACTCATTTAGTCCCCCAAACCTCCTCTCCTCTGGCAACCACCAATCTGTTCTCTATATCTATGTCTTGGTTTAATTTTGTTGTGTTTTGTTTTTTAGATTCCACATGTAAGTGAAAGCATGCAGTATTTGTCTCTGACTGACTTATATGACTTAGCATAATACCTTCAAGATCCATCCATATTGTCACAAATAGCAGGCTTTTATTCTTTTTTATGGCTGAGTAGTATTCGTGTGTGTGTGTGTGTGTGTGTGTGTGTAACCACATCTTTATCTGGTCATCCATCAATGAACACATAGGTTTTTCCAATATCTTGGCTATTGCAAATAATGCTTCAATGAACATAACATGCATATATCTTTTCAAATTGTATTTTCATTTTCTTCAGGTAGATACCCAGTAGTGGAATTACTGGATCATATGGTAGTTCTATTTTTTTTTAAGATTTTTTTTTTAAGATTTATTTATTTATTTATTTGACAGAGAGAGAGATAGCGAGAGCAGGAACACAAGCAGGGGGAGTGGGAGAGGGAGAAGCAGGCTTCCTGCTGAGCAGGGAGCCCGATGTGGGACTCGATCCCAGGACCCTGGGATCATCACCTGAGCCGAAGGCAGACGCTTAACGACTGAGCCACCCAGGCGCCCGGTAGTTCTATTTTTAAGAGGAATCTCCATACTGTTTTTCATAGTGGTACACCAATTTACATTCCCACCAACTGCACAACAGTTCCCTTTTTACCCTATCCTTGCCAGTACTTGTTGTTTTTTGTCTTTTTTATGATAGTTATTCTGACAGGTGTGCAGTGATATCTCATTCTGGTTTTGATTTACATTTCTCTGGTGATTAGTAATGTTAAGCATTTTTTCATATACTTATTGGCCATCTGTATAGGTTTTTTTTTTTTAAATGTCTATTCAGATCCTCTTTTTAAATTTTTTTGTTTTTTTGTTATTGACTTGTATGAGTTCTTTATGTATTCTGGATTTTAACCCCTATTAGGTATATGATTTGCAAATATCTTCTTCCATTCAGTAAATTACTTTTTATTTTGTTGGTGGTTTCCTTCACTGTACAGTAGCTTTTTAGTTTGATGTAGTCCCACTTGTTTGCTTTTGCTTTTGTTTTCCTTGCTGTTTCTCTTGCCTTTGGAGTCAGATCCAAAGAAATATCACTAAGACCAATGTCAAAGATCTTACTGCCTATATTTCCTTCCAGGAGTTTTAAGTTTCAGGTCTTACATTCAAGTCTTTCATCCATTTTGTGTTTATTTTTGTATTTGGTGTAAGATAGTGGTCTGTCTTAATTTTTGCATGTAGCTGTCCAGTTTTCCCAGTACCAGTTATTGAAGAGATGGTCCTTTCCCCATTCTATATTCTTACCTACTTTCTCATAAATTAATTGATCATATATGCATGAATTTATTTCTGGGCTCTCTATTCTGTTCCATTGACCTATGTATTTATATTTATGCTAATACCGCGCTGTTTGATTATTATAGCTTTGTAGTATAGTTTGAGCATGATACTGCTGGATTTGTTTTTCTTTCACAAGATTGTTTTGGTCATTTGGGGGTCTTTTGTGGTTCCATATAAATTTTAGAATTATTTATTCTAGTTCTGTGAAAAATGGCTTGGAATTTTCATAGAGACTGCATGAATCTATAGATTGTTTTGTCTAGTATGAATATTTTAATATTAATTTTAATTCTTCTAATTCCATGAACATGGAATATCTTTCCATTTATTAGTGTCTT